TTGGCAAGACTTGTTGCATTGTTGCAAGAAAGTGTCAAAATTGTATCCCCTTGTAGTTGACCCTGCTGATGGACCTTTGAAAATCACATAAAATCAATGCCATAACCATTGGGGGTGGGGCTATGGCCAAAGAAAAGAGGCTGACGACGGAACAGGAGGGCCCCTGCCCATATCTGGACACAAGCCGCTTCTTCAGGGTCCGGCCCAAGTGCAAGGGCCCCTTCTTCATGCACACAAACACACGTCCTTTGACACAATCCCAATTCACGGCAGTCTTGCACAAAGTCATAGCAGCCTGTGGAGTTGACACCCAAGAATATTCTGGGCACTCCTTCCGTATTGGGGCTGCCACTTCAGCGGCAGTCCAGGGATGGGACCCCACCCGCATCAAGACATTCGGGTGCTGGCGCTTGGCAGCTTACAAAAGCTACATTCGTCCCAGCTCCTCCTCCTTAACACTTGCAATTTAATTTTCTTACAGGTTTGCCCACCACAAAGATCTGGGTTGTGGGACACAGCATTGTCCATTGGATGGCGGAGCATGCCTGGTCGCACAATGGGGGTCGTAACCTTAACATTCACCCCAAGGTACGCATTTATTGGATGGGCCACCGGGGCATGCATTGGCTGGGCTTGATGCCCATGCTGAGTAAGGCCGCAGCGGCGCATGGCCCTCCGAGAGTCTTGATTTTGCACCTGGGGGAAAAGTTGAACAAAAAGGCATTGCCCTGACCCTTGATGCAAGGGCAAGCTTGCATGCCTTGTACCCAGCAATGGCCACTGGCTGGTCCAATCTCCTCCCCTACCTGTGCTGGAGAGGGGTTTCCAATCCCTCTTGCATCAATTATGCAGTGGAAAAAATCAACAGGGCCATGCGCAATACCATGCAGCAGATCGGTGGACTCTCTATCCCACATCCCACCATCAGGGCAGATATGGCTGGCATATTCAGGGCGAATGGAGTGCATCTGACACCATTTGGTACTGACCTCTGGTTGCACGACTTGCGACAAGTCCTCAGGGGCTGGTTAGACAGCAAGGTTTGGTGGCAGAGCATGGGTGAATGTTCCTCCGTTGTGGGACTCTTGGCGGGGAGGCCCTTAGGGGCCTCGGGTGGCGGTTTTAGGCCTTGGCAAGGTATCCTTTATCATCAAGTCGGGGGGATGCATTCATGCTCCCTTCCCATGCGGCAGCGCTTGCAGGGCCCGTTAAAGGGCAAACCAGGAGTCCCTGGCCCTAGAGTGGCGGCATGTAGGTCAAACTCCTGGGACGAGGTTAGTAGAAGGGCATGCTGTGTACGTTTGTGCTTTACAGTCCCCTCTCACTGCACCTCATCAGCCTGCATATCCTCACCTAGACGGGCTGAGAGGATTACCTGCCAAGGCCTGTGCCACGTTTCCCACTTCTGAAGCTCAATTAAGTTGTGGCCAGTTTGAACCCATACTCTGGTCTCTTGTCTTTGGGGGAAAGGGTAGGCACCACAGACAGGGTTTAGCGCATGTGCCGGCAAATAGTTTTATTGTTCTTTAGCTGGCGGGTACTTAAGGTGTTAGGAACTTGATAACTGGGGCAAGTTGATAAACTTGGGTAACCTCATGACTCCCCTCCCTCCTTGTGACATGATGATGATGTATCAGCAACGTATCAATGATGGTTCTGGAAATGTATTCTGGGTAGGGAGGGAATGTCTTCAAAGAGCTTGTAACCAATGTTCAGGGTTCTTACTCTGTGTGCAGACCTGTTGCGCAACAATAAAGATTGTGGTCTACTGACCGCTGTCTTGCTCCTATATTTGGCTGGAACTTCCTTCTTCTGCTAACCACAGAGACTTGCAGGGACTTTCGCCCTGACAAGCTGGGCTGTTGAGTATCTTCACACCCCAAAATTTTCCATCTTAGAATCTAGAGCCAGCAGGCCCAGAGTCCATGACCAGCTGAACAGCCTTCCCCAGCTCAAGGGTCAGGTCAGTAGTAGTACCTGCTGCACTTTAATCAGTGGGAGAGTGTGAGTGGGGCAGATAGACTAGGCAAGCGAGCTCTCCCAAGTCTCCTCCATGCCTTCCTTCCTCCTTGGCTTGAACAGAGCATGGCAAGCACATGTGACTGGCACTGGCCTCACCCCTCCCAGGCAGAGAAGTCGTATCTTTCACACTTCACAGAGCCCTGTTGGTGCCTGCAGCATGCACTGCAGATTGCCCACAGGCAGAGAGAGGCCTTGGGGATCAGGGAAGGCAGCAGTGGGAAGGGAACCTCAGAGGGATCCAGAACTACCTGTAGAAGGCAGGAGGCCAGGCTGCAGGTTGGTAACTGGCCCTCATCCTGACTCTGATGTTAATGGGAAAGGGGAGACCAGGCTCCAAGCTAACAATCTTTTGCAGGAAATGGAAGAACTGGAATCTGTGTTTAGGCTGCATTTTTGGACCCGTGTGCTAGGTCATTTTCACAAGGTCAGCAAAGCCTTCCAAAAATCAGATCTGTTATTGAGTTCTTGTGCAAGTTTGTACAGTTCACTTCTGGATTTTTAAAGGAAAATCCGAGATGATTTTTATGAGCTTGAGAAACAAGCAAAAGCCACCTTGCCAGATGTCAACTACAAAACAAGGAGACAAAGAGTGAGGGAATGGCAAAGAAATGACAGAAGTGTACCTGATGCCTTAGATGCACTTTCTTCAAGAGATGTGTTTAGGATAAAATCCTTTATTCCTTTAGAAGATACACTTGAAGCCAATTTAAAAAGAAGAAGTACTATGTACAGTGATGCTGCACAATTGTTTGCCATTTTTGCTAATTTGACAGCATCTAAGCAAGAAATTAAGCAAGGTGTTGAACAGTTGATGGAAGCATACCCAGAAGATATTGACCTGAAACCTATTGATGCACTTCTGCACTTTCACCTGTACGTGACACAAAGCCATAGGCCTACAGCAGAGCATTCTCTGTCTCATACAGACCTTTATCAAATTATATATAAGGACAAAATTCATATGGACTTTCCTAATGTGAAAGCAATCTTGCAGCTATTTCTTAGCCTTATGGCCACTAACTGTTCAGGAGAAAGGAGTTTTTCAGGACTCAAAAGAATTAAAAGTGATTTAAGGGTCACAATGTTTCAAGAGAGGTTGTCTGCACTGAGCATTGTGTACACTGAAAGTGACAAACTTAGACAAACAAATTTTGATTAAGTTTTGGATGATTTTGCTATGAGGAAGGCTAGGAAAAAACATTTTAGCCTTCCTGTATTTGATGGTTGTAGTTTACTTCTTAATATACATTTTAAAACTGACTTTTTAAATGACAACATAAAGTAGATTCTAAAAGTGCCACACTGTCAGGTAATCATGGTCATATTATTTACACTTCCTAGGCAATATAATTTGTAAACTCAATGTGTGGTGTGTTTTTTTAAGAATAACATTACAACTTCATTTTCCTAAAAATTTTCCTAAAAATTCCACAAAAGGTTTACAAAATGCAGATATTGCAAAAGTTTTTCAGTGTTAATTTTATGCATTTTTAAAAATCACCATGGTACAGTGGTACCTCGGGTTAAGTACTTAATTTGTTCCGGAGGTCTGTTCTTAACCTGAAGCACCACTTTAGCTAATGGGGCCTCCTACTGCTGCCACGCCGCTGCTGCCCAATTTCTGTTCTTATCCTGAAGCAAAGTTATTAACCCAAGGTACTATTTCTGGGTTAGTGGAGTCTGTAACCTGAAGTGTATGTAACCTGAGGTACCACTGTATTTAACAATAACATCTTATGTCCTTTAGAGGAGAAATTGAGAATTGCAGAATTTTAAATATCCATCATCATCCTTGGCTTCACTCAATTTTGTTCATAACACTCTTCCATTTTCTTCTAGTCATGAGGGTGGGGGGTTGGGAGGGGCCTCACAAGTGGAATAGCCTAGGGCCTCTCTTCATCTAAATCCGGCCCTGGTTGGTATTTATAGGATACTTGCTGTTTGTTTAATTTTTTAAAAAATTAAAAACAGCCTTGTGGATCTTTATGTATTTATTATTTATTAAAGGCATTTTCAGACTGCCTTCAGAAAGTGGCTTACATATCAATTACTCTAAAACAATCAAACAACACAGTTCCTGACCTCAAGAATATAATCTAAAATACATGACACAAAAGGAAAGCGAGATGGAGGGAGGAGGAAAAAACGAAACTCAAACACCAGTTCTCAAATACGTGGTCGTTGTAACAACCAGGTCAATTGGGGTGAAAACTATTCACTGCAAGGAGACAAAGAAAGCTAGTCTCTCAGTAGAATCCATTTTTTGTGGTTAGAAAAGTGGGGTGTTTCATTGTTTTGTTATTTGTATGTGTGAGTTTTTGTTTTCCATTGGCTTTGTAAAATTGTTGTGGGGGGGATTATATATAATAAAATCGTATTTCAAAAATTTCCATTCTGGAAATAGTTTAATAATATTTTTTAACATATACGCACTCTTATGTGGAGGTAAACTCTGCTCAATGCACCGGGACTTACTTCCGAGAAAACGTGCATGGAAATAAAACACGCAGAGGATTGGGCTGCACGTGTTGGAATTGCAGAACGGGCAGGCGCGCAGGACAACGCCAGTCTTCCCCGTCTGCTCCCAGGAGGCGCAAGAGGGAGCAAAGTGCGAATAATGATCATAATAAATCCCTTAGCTCAGATTTCCCCGCAGGTGAGCGCTCAGTTCGTGGGATGCGGGCGAGCGCAGACTACTAAGGGGAGGCGGCCCTGCTTAACATGCGCGGGGCGCGCTTTTCCTGTGGACAACAATAAGCCTTTTGGAGATGCCCCCCAAGCGCGCAGCCTGCTAGCCTGCCCCTGTCACCACGAAGGCTGCTGTCACCCGCTCGGGTCCCAAAGCGGCGAAGAGCGGGAAAAGGCGGCAGCAGCACCCGAGTGGCTCCCTCCGCCCCGCACACATAGCGGGCGCCTCTCAGCGAAGCGAGGGGAGGAGGCGCTCATGCGCACGGGCCGCGTAAAGGCTGCGAGGCAGAGGGAGGGGAGCCGCCGCTGCCGCGCGTGCGCAGAGGGCGCCGCGAGTGGGGAGGGTGCCCCTGCCGAGGAGGCAAACGAGCAAGGGAGGGTTTATCGGGCGGCCGATTTTGATTAAAATATTCAAAATGGCGGACGGAGGAGCAGCGAGTCAAGATGAGAGTTCGGCGGTGGCGGTGGCGGCAGGTAATCATTACTGCATTTTACATATTCATATTCATACTCGCACACGCGGGCGCCCCCCCCTCCGCCGCCCGCCTTCCCCGCTTAGCATAATTTATTAGTACTCAGGATTATTATAATTAACGGCACAGGAGGGAGCTGGGGGGTGGCCGCCGTGCGGGGGAAAAGCGAGAGGCGCACGGAGGGACACGCGGGCACCGGGGGACGGGGGGCAACGGGCAGGGTCCCCCACCACCACCACCCTCGCCCTGAGGAGCCCTGCTCGGGCAGCTAGGCCGGGCACCACCGCCGCCACCACGAAGCCGCTTTACATATTCATATAGACTGTATAATAGGGGTAGCGGCGGAAAAGCGAGGCGGGGGGGGGGGCTTCGTCATAATGACCGGGGTGTGGAGGGAGGGGGGGTGTCGGCGGTTGGGAAGAAGGGACGGAGCGGCGGGCGCGCAGCACCTTCCCCCTCAGCCTCCTCACCGGTCCCCGGGTGCAACCGCACCCCCCGGCCCCTCTGGTGTCGCATTGGACGGGGAGGGAGGGGGCGGAGGAGGGAGAAGTCGTGCATTTATTCCTTTCTATTTTCTTAGCGCCTCGGCTCCCGCCCTGCAACGGCCCCCCCTCCGCCCCTTTCCCAAGGCAGCCCTGTTTCCCCCAGAGGCCGAGGCCTGCGCGCCAAACAAGGGGTGTTTGGGGTTACTCTCGGGGTAGGGCTGCCTGGCCTAAGGGGAGGGAGAGGGGCGGCAGTGGGAGCTTGCTCCTTCCGTGTGTGTGTGTGTAAGAAAGAGAGAGAGAGTGCGCGTGCAAATTGGGAGTGTGTGTGTGTGTGTCTGTGTGCCCCCTACAGGAAATCTATAAGGGGCGGCTTGTCTCCCCCCCACCCCACCCGGAGGTGTCTGGGGCTGCCCTGACAAATCTTCGCCTGCCCTTCTGCGAGGTGGAGGGAGCCCTTGAGTGGCTTGCACCGGATCATAGCGGCGGGGGTGGGATGGGGGGGTGCGGCGGCAGAGGAGGAGGGAGACGACACTTGACAATGCCTTGTCTCTCGTCCCCGTCTTATTATTATTATTATGGGGTGGCCGGGTCAGGGTTCCGGGGTGGCCGGCTGGCCGCGAGCGGACTGTGGCTGCTTTCTAATTCTCCCTCCCTCCCTCCCTCCTCCTCCCCCAACCCCGTCTCTGGTCTCTTTCTCTCTCATTTGAATAATGTCTAATTCGGGGAGGTTTATATTATTGAAATGGCCGCCCGGCTTTCCCCGCCTCTCATGTTTAGTAATTCAGGCCTTTAATAACAGCCACTCAGAGCCCAATGCCGTGTTTATATTTTACATTCGCCCCATGTGCTTTTGTGGTTCAATATGATTCTTCTTTCTCGCTCTCTGGCTTTTTTACATTTTCTTGGCAACGAGCAGGGCCTTGAGATCAAACCCAGGCTGTATGGAGGGGAGGGAGGAAAGCTAGGCCCGGACTCCTTTGGCAGGCGCTTAGGCCTCACTCTCTGCTGCTTGATTTATTTACTAATAACCAAAATGCCCCCTCTCAGCCCCGACAGCAAAAACAAAACCCTCCTGGGGCATGAGCAGCATCAGATCTGCTCACAGCTCCTCTCTCTCTTTCTCTCTCCCCCTTCCCTTCATGCCTCAAATATAAGGGGCTTATTTTTAATTTATAGCAACAACAGGACTTTCTAAGCTGCTCCTTATAGAGCAGTGGAGGTGGGGGGGGGGGCTTTCTTCTCTCTTTGTCCTGATTGACTTTTTCATGTAGAAAAGAACAGTTTCTCACTTACAGTCTGAGGGACTGTGAAAACTGCATCTCCCTGAAATTAGCAATTCAGTTACTTGTAATAAATATAGTATGTATTATCAAGCAATGATAGAATAGGTGACAATCTAGACACTACAACCTACATTATAAATTATGTGCAATAATCTGAGATGTTATTAGAAATAACTTCCATTTTGATATTTAGGATCTGAATGATGTGGACAGAATATGTTTGGTATATAATTCTGTTGTCTCCTTTAAAGCTAGTAGATGTTTATTAAAGCTAAAAATGATTATGAGTGGTCAAAAAAGAGTGATTGAAAAAGGATGAATGTTCCTTGTACTTCATGAAACTAGGAACACTTTTTTAGTTAAAACAAACATTTCAATTCGGCACAATGCCTAGTAAGTTACAGTAGCTCTCTCCCTAATTATTTTAAAGGTGGTATCTATTAATATAGTGCTAGCACACTTGACAGATTTATGTAGGCCTCATTAGTGACCATTCTCTTCAATCTGTGCAGAAAAATAACCTGACAGCAGGATATTTTACAGTATCTATGTCTGATTAATATTGAACAGTCCTTGAAGCATGACTATGAGCTGCATATACAGGAACAGTTTGTATTTTTGTAAATTTCATGATGTTTTTATTTTATTTTAAAGTAATTGGTCTTCTGCCTTTTTTCACCCTTACAAAGTTTTCCCTTTCATGGTATTGGCCAGACAAAAATGTAATATGATTTTATGCCTTAGAAGCATATGTTTCTGCACCTATTTAAAAAGATGTGGTCCAGCTGATGATGTCACTAGCCAGAGGACAAGGTGCAGTTAATTTGATTTATTGACCTGGAGCTAGGTGTAGTGGTGAAGCCTTCTCATAGGGAAACCATTTATCTGAAGACAATTTCATTTCTAGCTACAATTCAACCACTGCTGTGGCCATAGATATTTTATCCTGAATGATAAAAAATATACCGTATTTTTCACCCTATAGGACGCACTTTTTCCCCTCCAAAAATGAAGGGGAAATGTGTGCATCCTATGGGGCGAATGCAGGCTTTCGCTGAAGCCTGGAGAGCGAGAGGGCTCCGAGGGTTGCGCAGAGCTGCCTCCAGTCCCGGGCTCAGCACAGCTCTGCGCGGCCATCGGGAGCCAGGCACGAAGCCCCACCCAGCTCCCGATGGCCGCGCAGAGCTGCCTCCAGTCCCGGGCTCAGCGCACTTCTCCCCATCGCCAGCCCCACAAGCTTGGGGGACAGCGGGGAGGCGGAGCACGCCTTCCCGCTGTTCCCCGACCTGGTTCTTCCAGCCCTGCACCTGGGGGGGGGGAATTTTTTTTCTTTATTTCCCCCCCAAAAAACTAGGTGCGTCCTATGGGGCGCAAAATACGGTATATCACATCTTTATTGCAGCTGACAATTTAATAATTTTCAAAGGATGTTTTGCTAACTGCAAATTCTGGTGTGTAAGGGAAGAGTTGGAGTTTTATAAACCCAGGAGCCTACTAGCTTCTCCATTTTTGGACTAAAACTGATAATTCTGTGTTCCTTTACTTTGTCTTAGTTTTTATTTATTAATACTAAGTAAGGCCCCTTACTATTATTTACCTGGAATGGGTTGTAGATCTAATATTGTCATTTTACTAGGATGTTTTCTCCAGCTGTGGCACAAGTTTTATTTCTTATCAGCCATTGATTCTGATAGGTTAAATTGAAGTTCCATTATGCTGTTTGTATGTAGCTTGTGGGGGAAAAACATTTGGTCTCCCCCTCAACCCAGAGTGGCTCATGTATTATTCTGTTCTCTCTCATGGCCCTTAGGTTGCTTGAATGAAACTGAAATAGTGTTCTAAGCTGTTGTAATCATCTGTGGTTGTAATCACCTGTGGTCTTTAACTCAAGATTTATCAAACGTTTTGTTGGCTCATGCTGCTTCTGCTTAGTAACTCTGGGATTAATGTGGCTCCTGGTATGGCTAGTGATATTAATAGTAAAAGGTAAAGGGACCCCTGACTATTAGGTTCAGTCGTGACTGACTCGGGTTGCGGCGCTCATCTCGCTTTATTGGCCGAGGGAGCCGGCGTACAGCTTCCAGGTCATGTGGCCAGCATGACTGAGCCGCTTCTGGCGAACCAGAGCAGCACACGGAAACACCGTTTACCTTCCTGCCGGAGCAGTACCTATTTATCTACTTGCACTTTGACGTGCTTTCGAACTGCTAGGTTGGCAGGAGCAGGGACCAAGCAACAGGAGCTCACCCTGTCACGGGGATTCGAACCACTGACCTTCTGATCGGCAAGTCCTAGGCTCTGTGGTTTAACCCACAGTGCCACCCGCGTCCCTGATATTAATAGTAGAAAGTGTTAATTGTGCTTGGGCTGACTGGAAGAGAATCTGCCTGTGCACCTACTATGCAGTATCCGTAGACTAAACACTATTGCCTCAACTTTCTGGTTCTAGTCTAAAATTTGCTTTTCTATATAACATCTGTTTGGGAGTCTTGTCTTAATTGTTAGGGCTTTCAGTTTCTTTGGTCCGCTTGGAGAGAAGTCATATATGTTGGGTAAAAGACGTAAAACAGTTGTGCAGTTTGCTTGTCATTATTGCAATGCAAAATCATAGGAGAACTCTGACAAATCTTTTGAAAAACTGGGGTGTAGTTGGGCCATGCTAGCTTTACCATGGTTCCACATTATATTATGTAATTGTCTGGGTAGCAGTCCTTTCTCATTACACTTACATTATGCAGTCAAGCTAGCATGCTATGGTTTAATTCAAAATAACTATATTTTGCCATGCATAGCTTTGGCTATGGTGTTTTAAGCCACTATTGATATTTTCTGCAGCAATTTAAAAGGCATCAGAGGGCCCTTTACTTTGTTCTTTGTGCAGTTGAATCTGAATTCGGGGCATTTCTTAAAGTAAAATTTGTGAAGAGTTACAGAAGATGGAGTTGTCTGATTCAGCCGTGGCCTCCATTGCATCCTATTTTACTGCTGGGTGACTGTAGCCCATATCATGTAGTGCTTGTCTTTGCACAATGAAGGGGGGTATCTGGCTGTTCCTGGCTTTATTCTGGCTCTTTCATGCCAGGCAATCTTTGAGGCAGTCAGAAACATAGCAGGATATGCAGAGGATCTCCCTCATCTCTCTCTATGCAGCTGGCTCATACCAGAAACATACAGAGAGGTTTACTCCCACAGTCCATGTGCTGTTGGAATTGTAAGTAAGAGTTGCTGCTGCTTCGTTTTGTGCATGCTGTTGTACACCAGTGACGCTTGAAGTCAGTGTGCTTGCCTCTATTTGAGATTTTCACCCAGTTTAGGAAGCCCTGCCACTCCAGCTTTTTTCAGTGTTACTTTGGACTCTTGAGACAAACAATAGCATTGGAGACCTGTGTTGACATTTCACACTGTTATGGTAACTAAGGTTGTAATCCTAGATCCATTTATGTGGGAATAAGGCAGATTGAATTTAATTCAGAGTAAACATGTTGAAGATTACATTGTAAATCTCTATATTCATATTAGCAAGAGAGTTTTAATTGCTTATGCTTTAGGGAATCACCTGAACAGTGAACTCTGAGTAGAATTGAAGTAAGGTGTTGGTGAGGGCAGATAGTTTTTAGGTTCAGTGTGTAGGAATGACAATTTGGGTCCAGTAAAAGATATAGCTGAGGTTGCAGTATTTTGGTCTGTACATCACATTGGAACATGTGATGTACAGTGGTACTTTGGGTTACATACGCTTCAGGTTACATATGCTTCAGGTTACAGACTCTGCTAACCCAGAAATAGTACCTCGGGTTAAGAACTTTGCTTCAGGATGAGAACAGGAATCTTGCAGCGGCAGTGCAGCGGCAGCAGGAGGCCCCATTAGCTAAAGTGGTGCTTCAGGTTAAGAACAGTTTCAGGTTAAGAACGGACCTCCGGAACAAATTAAGTACTTAACCTGAGGTACCACTGTAGATAAATAGGTACCGCTCCGGCAGGAAGGTACGACTGTACAAAGTATAAGGCAAAATTAGTGGTCTTTGAGTATTGGAGGTAATGGGGTTCATGGCAGACTTTAATTCTATCCTAGTTTGCACTTTAAATATCAGTGAACAAATGTTAGCATAAGACTTCTCCCCCCCCCCCAAATCACCGCGTTTGATTTAAGTCTTCTATTTCCCCCTTTTACATGGACTGAAATATTGACAAGTTAAGAGTCATCAGCTTATCTTTACTACAACATTTAATGTAAAGTTTCGTAACTTTAGGTAGCAGCAACAAAAACCATACAATGAATTAACAGTGAAATGTAGATAATATGTTTCTGCTCTTTTTCTAAAAAGAAGTTTGCTATTGGCCCACATCCCCAATGTTACCATTTTCATACAGTGAGCAGTTAAATAGGCCATGGGATAAGGTAAAGATGGTGTAAACTGCTATATTTAAGAAGGAGCAGAAGCAAGTTATTAATTGCTTATTCACACAACTACATATTGGAGCAACTGCTGTACTTGCTGCCGCCTTACAGTAATTTTTCCTAAACAGCTGTGGGATTTTTTTTTAAAGGCTGCAACCATAAGGACAGGAAACACAAGAGATACCCTATACATTTCAAAAATGCATCATTTTCCATCAACCCAGCTTCACTGCCTAAGTATTGCAACATGCCCTTTAGAAACTCTTGTCCAGCCCTTACTACCTTGCGAGTTACAGTGGTACCTCTAGTTACGAACTTAATTTGTTCTGGAGGTCCATTCTTAACCTGAAACTGTTCTTAACTAGAGGCATGCTTTCGCTAATGGGGCCTCTTGCTGCCGCTGTGTTGCCGGCACATGATTTCCGTTCTCATCCTGGGGCAAAGTTCTCAACTCGAGGTAACTCTTCCAGCTTAGCAGAGTTTGTAACCTGAGGCGTTTGTATTATGATTATTATTATTATTGTGAGTGAACCCCTAAAAGTTACTAGCCTTAAAAAGAATTCTTCCATCCTTTTCTATGATTAAAAATCAGGCTGGAGTTTTTGTTTGTTTTGCAGCTATACTAGAAATACAACTGGCAGGGAGAAGAGATAAGGAGCAATGTTTACCTGCTACAGCCTGTTTGTTGTTTGTGCTGGGTGCACAGAAAAGGGCTTTGCTTCCTGTGTGTCCATCATAGGAAGCTGGCAGTTGAGTCATGGGTCACTTCATTCCTCTGTGACCAGGACAGAAGCTGAGTGGACTGGCAAAGATAAAACAGAATGCACTGTTTCTCCTTTGCCATGCTGCTCAGCTTCTGTTCTGACTGCTAAAGAAGGGAAAGCATTTCCTTCACAGCCAAGATGAACACTGGGTAGGCTGGCAAAGGAGGGACAGAGTAATTTATCTGTCCTTTGACAACCAGTGTTAGAAACTAGATATATAAGTTAGGTGGCAGGGTTACAGCCGCCAAAATGGAATATCTAGTTGCCATTTTGGGGCTAGATGGCTTGAAAGTCGTATTTTTCAGTACGACCTTTTGGTTCCTGAAAGTCGTTCTGATTGTGCAGGTAAAATATCATTGGTAGACTTCTAAAGGATGTGTTGTTAGTGTGTGAAAACTGGGAAGATCCAAGGATCCCTAGGCATGCACCTCCAGATGGTGTAGACGTTAGGCGCCATCATTGCACCCGGGCATCTTCACTTGGTCGCAAGTGGCCGATAGCCAGGTGCAAAATTCATCTGGTACATGGCAAATTTTGAACGCTGTTGACAACCTGCTGCTGTGGAGGAAGGGGCTTTTCTTCATGGGTAACATGGAAGCTGAGCGAAATGGTGAAGGAAGGATAGAGTATTCTGGTCATCCTGAAACATCCAATGGATGTGGAATTCCCAAGTGCCCATGGCAACCAACCGAATGCTTAAATACAAGGCTGTTTTGTTGTCTCATTAAATATTTCATTTAAGTCTTGAGCCTTCAGTGCTTAGGGAAAAAAACCTTAAATACTACTTTAAATATAAAAGTTTCAGAAACAAGGAACCAAGTAAAAAGCATCATTATGTTCAATTCTACTTGCTAAAGCTTTTCACATTAGAGGTAATTTCAGAACAGTAAAACTGGGCAACCAGCAGCACTTTGGAAGGTGCAGCATTTATTAAAATGATAATAGTTGTATAAAGTCAAATATGCAAGTTGCTTTCACTCTGCTACTTGTAGCATCTTTCCTGATGTAGTTCTTTCTGCTTGATATTTCACCAACTCCTGCAGTAACACATACACATAAGAGAGGAAGAGACGTGTGTTTCTTTGGAGTCAGTATCTCCAGAGCACCCACAGAGGTGGGCATGCATATTTTATTTCAACAGTTTGCTCTTTATTATTTTAGAATATTGGAACAACTGTTAATGGTGTTGAGTTCTGGTTCCCCACACTGTGTTTTCAGTAGGTAGCACACACTGTGTTTAATGTGAGATAGCCACAGGATCTCCATCCCTGTTTTATACTGATATGTTGTTGAGTTCCATTTCCCATCAACCCTAGATGGCATGGCAAATTGTCAGGGATGATGGGGGATGTAGGCCAGCAACATATTTAAAGCCACAATAACTCCACTCCTTGTACAGAAGGTGAGGGATGGGTTCCTGTGATGAATGAGTAGCTTGGCTAGAGAATGAAGTTCATGCTTTATTGTGACAGCCAAGGGCTTCTCAATAGGAATGATGGTCCTTGGAAGGTTGACTTCTTTAACATAGATTTCTTTTATTAACTGACAAGCTTTGCTTACAATAAACTAAACTCTTGCTGTCTACAAACCATAAAGAAAAGGAAGACAGGAGCATCAGACTCCAGTTTCTTTCATTGTCATAATATTTAATGGGAATTACAGAAAAATATATTCCCTTATCTTAGACCTCTCCCTGTATCACTCCCAAACTATTCCCTCGAAGGAGCAATACAAAGTTAAACAATTTTATTATTTATTTGTTAAATTTGTATATGCATCTTCATCTGAAGATCACAAGGCGGCTTACAACAATAACAAACCAATAGCCCCTCACAAAGGAACACATTTTAAAAGCCATAGAATGTTACTCAGCCAAAGGGCTGGTTATAGAAAAACATTTTTGTCTGGCACCTGAAGATACGTAATGAAGGCAACAGGTGAGCCTCCCTGGGAAGAGCATTCCACAAATGGGTAGCCACTGCAGAAAAGGCCCATTGTCATGTTGCCACTCTCCACAGACCTCTTGTGGCACACAAAGAAGGGCCTTAGATTATGATTGCTGGGTCCTTATCAGTTCATATGAGGAGGTCCTTGAGTTATTAACGTCCTGAACCATTTAAGGCTTTATAGGTCAAACCAGCACTTGCAATTTTTAGAGTGGGAAGGTAGAAGGCAAGGAAATTGGAGGGTGTGTGTGAATGATGGATTCTCCCAGCTCCAGTCTTTGCTGTAGTGTTCAGAGCAAAATAATTCTCCTTGGAATGATGGTAGTATCCAAAGAGGAGCAGCAATGGAATGATAATATGAAGAAAAATAAGATTGCAGTCCCCAGGGTAAATTAAAATGCCTAAAATGAAAATGAAAAATCAGTAAAATGTACATTGTTGAAATGACATCAGAATGATGTCCAGAATACAATGACAGCATGATCTAAGCGCAGAAGATAAAATAACAAAGTAGAGAGTGGAATGACAGTCTCCCACAGAAGACTGACAGTGTCCAGTATGAAATAGTATGGGATTATCCCATGGGTATTTCATGAAGAGTACAGTGACAACCAGCTCATTGCTCTTCCACCCATCTCACTTGAACTTCACTGTGGGGACAGGTACTTCCCTCTGCAGACTTCTTTTCTATGACAGTTCTAATATTCAATTCTCATGTCTTTCTCCTTTAACTGTTTTTTCAACCCTCTGCTGTTCAACTACCTTTCCCTGTAGCAGGGATGGGGGGGGCAGGGGGTTGCTCCACTGAGGAAGATGTCTCCTACAACATCTTTCCCAGTATATATTTTTTAGTTTGTTTATAAGGTTTACATCCCACCCCTCATCTCATGTGATCTTGGAGCAAGTCACAAGACACAGTACACAAAGAAAGCCAAATAGAATACACTTTAAAATGCATCAGTCCTCCATCTATTAAATATATCAATCTGACTAGTTGGTTAACTAGTGCACTTGCAGAAACTTGGGCACATAAAGGCTCTGCCAAACAGCCTGGTGGAAGAGGAGAGTTTTAGTTGGGGCTGAAAAAGACTCAAGGTTGGTGCCAGTCAAAGCCTGGAGACGAGAGTGCTCCATAGCTGGGGTACTGTTGCCTAGTGAGCCTCAGGCCTCCTGATCTTTCCCAACAACAATAAAACAAACAAGGCTCTGAGATGTATTTTGTTTTTATTAAATAATCAAACTTAATTTTTAAAATATATCAGATGACATTGTAACATAAACGGTAAAGGTAAAGAACTCCTGACAGTTAAGTCCATTCGCAGACAACTCTGGGGTTGCAGCGCTCATCTCAGTTTAAAGGCCGAGGGAGCCAGTGTTTGTCCACAGACAGTTTTTCCAGGTCATGTGGCCAGCATGACTAAGCCGCTTCTGGCACAACGGAACACCAAAACCAGAGCAGCGCATGGAAATGCCAGTTACCTTCCTGCCGGAGCGGTACCTATTTATCTACTTGTACTTTTTTGGTGTGCTTTCGTACTTCTAGGTTGGCAGGAGCTGGGACTGAGCAACAGGAGCTCACCCCATCGCAGTTATTCGAACCACCGACCTTCTGATTGGCAAGCCCAAGAGGCTCAGTGGTTTAGAGCACAGCGCCACCCGCATCCCTAACATAAGAGGGTACAATTTTAACTATTCTCACGAATGTGTGAGTTATTTCAGGCTCAAAGAGACCTTAAACCTGTACAGTTTTATTTTTTGTAAAATACTTCAAAATCAATTTATTTTATAACCGCAAAAAATACCCTCCTTATTTTTAAAACATAACAAGTACATGGTTAGCCCATTCTACAAAACAAGTGTGATACATGTGTTAGTTGTGGTTTGCACGCTATGGCTTATTGAATCTACTGGGAATAAAATGACAAAAATTCACTTTGACTGGTCAGTGACCCTTTTCTGCGTCAATACCATTTTTATACCTTATTTTGAAAGAGACCACAATTAGCTTTATTTTGATACTGAAATAAGCCCAATTGGTTGAAAAATAAGTGAAACAGGAGGGTGTTTTTTTCTAAACTGACGCAGAAATTGCATTAGCCCAAATCACACAAAAATTGATTTTTTAAAAAAAATTCTGTGCCCAATTTTGGACCAAAAAAATCTTTAAAAATAAATTTTTAAAGATTGAAGACTCAAGATTAGTTACCTAGTCAAATTCTCAAGCACCCTAGGAGATAATAGCCAGAGAGATGGCAGCTTGCCCAGGAATTTTGATTTCCCATGTTCAAATGAGATTTCTGATTCACTGCCCTGTGCTAGTTCAGTGAATTGAGTAAATGAATAATATGGTGCTAGGAATATGAATGTGATTTCTAAAACTAGTCCTTGCTTAGCTATTTGATTGTAGATAATTGAGGTAATTGTTCAGTGACTGCTTTGTAGATAATTTTATAGATTGCTTTGTAGATTTTTTTGTAGTTAATTTTCAAGTTAACTTTGCATTACAGCAAAAAGTGAATGTTCTTCCCCACCCCAAATCCCCAACAATTTTTTTTGGAAACTGATTTCTTATTTGCCAGTCCACTTAAGAAGATATGTACCTACGGGACCGCCTCTCCTGGTATGCCCCACGGAGGACCTTAAGGTCCATATATAGCAACACCCTAGAAGTCTAATCTAATCACCCTAATCTAACTAAGGAAGTTAGATTAGCCTCAACCAGAGCCAGGGCCTTCTCAACACTGGCTCCTGCCTGGTGGAATGCTCTGTCTCATGAGACCAGGGCCCTGCGGGATCTGATTTCTTTCCGCAGGGCCTGTAAGACAGAGTTGTTCCACCTGGCCTTTGGCTTAGAATCAGTTTGATTCCCTCCCCCTCTTTCTTTTTCCTTTCTCCTCCTGTGAAGAGGCTGCATCCTAATGTTTTAATGTTGTATCGTAATCTTTTAAATTGTTTTTTAATCAACTTGTTTTTATTATTGGTTGTTAGCCGCCCTGAGCCCAGTCTTGGCTGGGGAGGGCGGGGTATAAATAAAAAAATGTTGTTGTTGTTGTTGTTGTTGTTGTTGTTGTGTGTGTGTTTTCTGGATGCATATATCTTGCTGGATGAACAAACAAACATAGGTATCAACTGGATGTACATCTAATGTACATTTTATTTAAACAGCATTTAAATGTGAATGCTGCCTATCTGTATTTTTTTTTTAATAGGACCTGTGGCTATTCATCCCTATCAGCATCATAGTTCAAGTAGTTGCATATAAATATTCAGACTGAAAATGGGTCAAGATCACAAACATAGGGTGGGGTTCAAGGAAATGTACAGTTAGTCCTATGCAGCCAAGGGGGCTTTTGTTTCTTAAACACAGCAAACTCAGAATCCTCAAAAACAGTTTGTGATACAGCATTGGGAGAGGGGGAGAGTCTGGTGTTGAATGATAAAGAAGTAAAAAAATTCCACTGGGCATCTTCAAGTTTTTGAGTATGTATGTCTAAAATAGTTCTTTGGATTCTGGCACCCTTCTATGGAAGGTTTTCACTAGACCAAATTAGCTTCTGTGTAATTTGTATAAGGAAAATTACGTGGTTTACATCTACCTACAGCTCTTGGTATTTTAATTTGAAAATAGATCCTCTGGTTTGGTAAATCAAATCATTGACTTTAATTTCTTTAACCTTCAGGTATAATAAATACATTTTCACCTTGGCCGTTTAGTACATTGTATGGTAGCATTCCGCTTTTCTTCTTTCTATCACTGTCATATATTATGTGTGAGAACTACATGGAAACCATTTTGGCTGTTGGTGCTACAATTCTATGGAACTAATGGTTAATAATCTTACAGTAATAATTAATAGAAAATAGAAATACAAATCAACATTATTTTAAAGTAAAAAGTACTACATAATTGGTTTCTAGATCTGTGTGGCAATAGAAAAAGTGTGAATTTTGCTGGAATGGGTCAAATTTTATTGATGCAGATTAGTGGGAATGTAGCCATGTATATATTGCTGTATTCTACTCACCATAGCAAAGGTTTAGGATCAGAGTTTTCCTTCTTTTAGATGGGCTACCTTCCCAGGTGGACGAACCCTATCTGCACCTCACTTCCCTCTATAGTACATGCGGAAACTGCCTTCTTGACTGTTGGATTCACTATGATCTTGTCCATTCAATCCACTGGAGCCTGTCTTCACATGCAGGGGAAGTCCCTAACTCACCAAGGCTTTGAGACCCATTGGTTACGCTCACCTGGTTTAGCTAGCAAGTTGAAGCTATTTTCCGGGCTATGGCTGCTGTCACATGCTTGCAGCTTCCAGGAGCCACAGGTGAGAGCTGAGTGGGGATGAAAGGTGGACAAACTATCTCAGAAGGAGCACTATGTGTCTCCCACCAGAGGTACTACACCTCGCCTAACACTCCATACACCCTGATATTAAACCTCTGCTGCCTTGTAGAGATATCTTTGGCAGAAGAAAAGACTAATGAGTAAACCCTACACAAATCTGGAGTGAGGTCCCTAAGATAGTTGGGTGGTGCCTTGTATGCCTCTTTCGGCAACTCCTGCAGCCAAGCTGGTGCCAAACATATTGCTCTGCTTTCCTTTGGACCATATCAGCAAAGCCGAGAGGGAGGTTTTTTCGTCTGGCAGTCTAGAATTGCCATACACACTGCCCGGGAAATCACTTTGGTGCTACTAACACAGCAGTTTGATTTCACTTCTGGAGGCGCACTCCATTGTCTCTCAAGACAGACGGATGCCAACAACAATATTCACCATAGTGAAGGTAAACTATGGCATAAGGATTTTAGAGTATTTTGAGGCAAGGGAGAGCAGACTTAGAAGACCTACTTTACAAAAGTAAACTTAATACATACTTCTTTTCACCAGATATATCTAGTAGAAGTTGTCCTACCTTAGGGTCTAAATCTAGGCAACTTAAATTGTTTTTCTATGCAAAGAAGGGATGCCAACTACTTTCATGAGACTGTGAACATTAGTTTAGCTAATACAATTTTTTTCTTTTTTTAAAAAGGAAGTACTTGACCGTTTGAGTCTTGGAGACCATACAACCAACATTCCTATTTATTATGCTTCCTTTAATTGCAATGTGTCAGTTTTTCCAAAAAGTGCTTTATTTAGTTAATTTTGTATTAAATGGAACACTTTTGACAGAAAACCTTTTAGGGGAATTTCTTGTTAAAATGGTGGAAACAACTTTCAGATTACATGGAACTCTGTTGTGGGCTTCACAGGACTCACAATTTACAACAGATAAAAATAGTTTGCGGTTGAAAAGAAGAAACATGGCTAGTGCCCAGATCTCAAGGGGTGTTTTCAGCAACTAAATCTCAAATTACTCTCTCCTGTCTCTCATTGGAAACCACTTTTTGAAACAGGGCATTTTCCAAAGTAGATTGGGATATAGTATGGGTTGGATGTTCAAAGAAAAAAACAAAGGCCCTTAAGATGCTAATTTAAAAATGCAAATATACAATTAAAAGGCTAGTTCTTTAGATCCCTTCTATCACATAGTAGCAAAACCAGATATAAATTTAGAAAGTTCATGGTAAAGAGTCAATGGAGGCCAGCTTCGGTGATCATAGTGTGTGATATCCTCTCAGAACAAAGCTTTATTTTTCAGAGTTGTACAGGACTTTGTGATTTTTTTCCACAGCTGAATTGCCTATAACAAAGGAAGGCAGCAATATAGAATTTTTTCTAAAAGATCTCATTACACAAATGTTTGAGGAGAAAATGCATAATCAACAGAATTATGTGATGTATCTGTTCCTGCACTGTACATCTTTATTCTGCAGGTTGGGGAGTCAAATGTTTAATAGTTTCTCCTCTTTACAAGAAAGGAAGCTATCTGGTTGGGTGAATCTAATATGTCATAGAGAAGGCTTCTAGATTAGCCCTATTCCTGATCCTATATTGTTGAGCTGTGGTAGTTTTTGGCCCAGTTTTCATGTTACATTGAACCATAGTTCCTATTAAACACACCAGGTTAGTGTTGGGAAATATTCAAATGTTGGATTCTCCCACCTGCAGTACAGCTACAGATATATTATTAAAGCTGCTGTTTGTCTATAGAAGCCTTAAAGAGAGTGGTGGGCTACATATATCTTACTACATATATCTGTAGTAAGATTAGTAATAGTCATGGTTTTGGACATCTACAGAGCTTTAAGAATACACTTCATTGGAAAGGCAGTTTTGCTGCCTTCACTGCTAAAGAATTGCACTCTTCAATACCGGGAGCTTTATTGAAACACTATAAATGCTTGCCTTTTTTATATGCTGAATTGTATATAATGAATGTGCATTATGTTATGTGCGTTGAAGCAGTACAGTAGATACACTGAATATTCTGAAAAGGCTTTTACAAGACAAAGTAGCAAATATACATGAAAATGTGTCCTGTGGATCAGTAGTTGAATGAAGCGGGTGGGCAGGAAGTGTTAGCCGAGTGCTTGGATCAATGTAGGGAGGAAGAAAAACTGTGTCCAAAGGACCTCTAATGGAGCCTTGGGCTAATTTGACAATACTCAGCTTACTAGCTTAGAGCCATTTCTTGATTAAAATAGGAAGTGTGCCCCCACCCCCACCCTGTTCTCACTATGTGTTGAAATTACCTACAATAAGAAGTTCAGGAAAGTTCAGTCTACCTTCACGACTGTTGCAGAATGATGGCTGACAGATGCATAGAATTCCCAGTTTATTCTGAGCTATCAGTGCCAACCCATGTTGGATCGACTTAGCACATGCTAAATAGGTGTGGCACAGTTCTCCATCATGCACACACACTATTTAGGTGTCCTTAGAATACCTACCAGAACCATCTAAGCAAACGCAAGGTGAAAGCCTCAAAGTCTCAAGTAGGTGATCTCATTCTAAATTAAAGGATAATTTGATGTTTTGTTTACCTCTCATCTTTTATCCAATGACAGCATTGAAAAGATGAGGTCACCTACTTTCATTCTAAAACATAAGACAGAAAGCCAGAAGGAGAAATACAATTTTCCTAGTTGTAAACACTTAACTTTCCCTGTGCATTTGGGGGTCATAACTAATCCCAAATAGTTATGAAAATATTAAAATGTTTTCTCCTAATTGGTGTACTTCACTTTCCATATAAGGAGGGTCCTTAGATCTGTAGTGTTCCAACTTCCTCTGCCTAACCCCCGCCCCCAATACATTTCAGTAAAATGGGTTTGGAATTGGATGCTAAAGATTATTTTAAAGAACCAGGTATTTACTTGCCTCTTTAGAGAAGGCATTCCACAAGGTTGATGCCACAACCAGAAAGTCCCTGCTTGCTGTAAATGCCTGTCATACTTAAATCAATGAGGGAATCTGGCACCTCAGGTGTTGGATGAAGCAGCTAATGAACAACATAGGAAGAAGTTGGCCCTTAAGTTACTTAGAGCCCAAGCACCCTAGGATTTTAAAGGAACAGAACTTGAACATTCAGTTGGTCCTGAAAATGAATAGGTCAACAGTGGAGATTGAGTATCAGTAGAGTGATGCATCCTGACCAGTGTTACAAACTCAAATATATAAGCTAGGTGCCAAATGGCTCCTTAAACCAAAGTTACAGTCACCAAAACGGAATGTCTAGTTATCCTTTTGGGGCATGACGGCTTATTTTTCAAATGATGGACTGACTGAGATTGAATGTCAGTTGAACATCAGGCTAGTTCAGATGACAACCTTGTGAGGTTAAGAAATTTAAGAGTTTAAAGAAGAAAAGTCACTTTATTCTACCTATTTTTCTTAATGGTGACACGGACCAGTAATAAGTAATAAGTGAGCAGGACAGTGGGGTGTGGTAAGTGGAGGCAAGCTACAACAGTTAAGATCACTGCTCCTGCACAGGAAAAGCATTTTGGTTCCTGAAATTTCATTCTGATTGTGCAGATAAAATATAACTGATAGAATTCTACAGGATGTGCTATTAGTGTGTGAAAAGAGTCGAGATCCAACGATCCCCAGGCATGCATCTTCAGATGGTGATGTCATGCGCCATACTAGCACCCCCAGCATCTTCCCTTTGTCACGAGTGGCCAGTGGTCAGGTGCAAAATGCGTCTGGTGCCTAGCTAATTTCGAACACTGATTCTCACAGTCCAGTTCCATCCAGCTGGCTTGGTGGTAGTATTTTGCATCAAATGAAGGTTTTGGACATTTTTAGGGCAGGCAGTCCATATAGTCTTGTATTCATAGTACAGTGGTACCTCTGGATGCGAACGGGATCCGTTCTGGAGCCCCGTTCGCATCCTGAAGCGAATGCAACCCACGTGCGTGGGTCGCGATTCGCCGCATGCACGTGATGTCATTTTGAGCGTCTGCGTGAGCGGCGAAACCCGGAAGTAACACGTTCTGTTACTTCCGGGTCGTCACGGAGCGCAACCCGAAAACACGCAACCCGAAACTACTTTAACCCGAGGTATGACTGTAATACTGAGGGGAAAATTCTGTCAGCACAATGGTTTATCCTTGTGCAATTGAATCTTCTCCCATTTTACTCCTCCCCCCATGCATTCCTAATAGCTAAAAGAGTTTTGCTTGCCCAATTATTTAGTTGCATACTACCAAAAGAGTGCATTAAAGTAATCTAGTTTTATGGTTACTAATGGGTTAATGCATATGGCCAGATTTGTCTTCTATAGGAAAGGACACAGCTTGCATATTAGTCAGCACCCAAAAGCAGAGTATGATCAGGAAGAACCTTTGAGTTGAAAGTTTGAGTCTTCAGGGGAAATACAATTTAATCTAAGGCAAGGTATGCCACCATTCCTACATCACCAACGTTCTAATGGTACTTTGTAACTTGGATTAAGCTTCAACTTGTTCACCTGCAAAAACAGTTCAGTATTGCGGCTGAGATAGTTGAATACTGGAAAGACCTGTAGTAGCTGCTTTTCTAGGTGAATAGGACCAGGGGTAATAAATACCTTTGTTATTGATAGAAAGTGATACATCTCCAGTCAGCAACAATTTCTTGTTGAACCTTTATTAGTAATACAGTTATACCTTGGGTTACAGACGCTTTAGGTTGCGTGTTTTCGGGTTGCACACCAGAACGGGTTACTTCCGGGTTTTGGTACTCGTGCATGCACATAAGCGCTAAATCGCGCTTTGCGCATGCACAGAAGCGCCGACTCGCACGTGTGCAGATCTGCGCACGGATCGCGTTTGCAACCCGAGTGTCCACTGTATCCATTCTGTTTGTTTAACTGCATGCTCTGTTCTAGTTCCCTTTTAAAGGTTTCAAAATGTTGCTTACATTTTTGATGTAGGTAATATACTTTTGGGTATGGGACAAAATAAAAGGAAAAACATTCAAAGTAACTATTTGATGTTGGATGTGTTTACTTAATGAGGTTGTACTTCTAAGCATGTTACTATGGTGTATTTCGTGATTTATTCTTCCCCAATGCACTTTAGCATAATTCTGTAACTGCATAAATTATATATTGGGATGCTCAGAAAGACTGGTCCCATGAATGACATCTTTGGTTGCTTAAGTGATACAATTTTTTTGTTTCTGTATTCAATATGTGTAATTAAAAATAAAGAAAAACTTCACCATAGTCCAGCCTTTCTTAACCTTGGGTTCCTAGATGTTGTTGGACTACAACTGCCAGCATTCCTGACCACTGGTCATGATCACTAGGAATGATGGGAGTTGTAGTCCAACTTCATCATTCTAGGAACCCAAGGTTGAGAGAGGCTTCCATAGTCAAATATTTTAACTTACGGTATATTTAGAGTGATATTATTTTTTTGTCCTCCAGGTGGCACTACATTTTTTCTTTATTTCCTAGTGACTGAAGTGAGAATTTTCTGAAGTGAGATTATTTAAATATAGTATTCCTAAAATTCATGTATTGCAAGGCAGTATTTGAAACCAGCTACTTTCCTAGCAATGTTAAAATGTGTATACATTTTCAGGTTGGTCTAAGAATAAAAATGAACCCATTTATTTGTTTATTGAATTTCTATCCTGCCCTTCCTCCTAAAGGAGCTGTAGGTGGTAAACAGACAATTTAAAAATAAAAGCAAAGCAAAAACATTCTAAAAACAATTACAATAAAAAACACCTAAAAGCAGTTACAGTTTGAAAATGTATGTGAAAAGAACCCAAGAAGAATAAACTTCCTAAGATTGTTTATAATACTGGGTTTCATTTCTGTCTGCTGTCTTATCTAATGTGAATCAGAACAATTCATGCAACCTCACTGTAGGATCAAGTGCGTTTTGATCCTATTTTGGCATCATGAAGGGCTAGCAGTGCATGGAGCAGAACTGAGTTTTCAAAGCAAAATTCTCTGTTCTTTTCTCTTTTGTCTTCCAGTTCTTTTTTTTCCAGTCTACCAAGGTCCAGTAGTTCAAACTATGGGAAAAAGAGACCTTTTTATGAACAAATTCTCTCTGACCCCCAATTAGGCTGCTGTACTAGTTTTTCTTCTGAATCTGCCCAAATATCTTCATGCATGGTTTCTGTTGCTGTCTTTGGTTTGTACAACAGATTGCAGTGTTTTCCTTGTATCTTTCTATTGTAGTTCCTTCTTCAAAACTGTTAAAACCAATATTCCTCATCTTGATGAAAATTGCAGTTACCCGTATAGTACTGAATATTCCTTTGATAGGCTGGTTACTTTTTAAAATAAAAAATGTTACCTTCATAGTTGTGAGGAATGGCTAATGAAAAATACAGCTGGAATTGAACATGATGCCTCAAGACCAGTTTACCATAAGGTGATACCATCATAATATACTGGCTGGGGTGGGGGGTAGCAGGCGAATACTGAATTCTTTGCAGTTTAAACATGGTTGGGTTTATCCATGTTTCCCATTCCAGCTCTAAAAATGCCTATATACATTGTAGAAAGTTTTAGGGTTTTAGTGAATATATTTCTTATTCCAGATATAGCCAGTGCTATTTTTCTAGAAAAAGAGGTGCCGGAACTCGCTTATGAACACCTCGCTCATTCTCTTAGAATGGCAATGGCACCCACCTGAGAGGTGCCAGAACTGAGTTCTGGCTGGAAAAAATCCCTGGATATAGCAATTATTTCATCTGGTTCATGTATTTTTGTGTCATGTCAGAAAATATAACCTCAAAAGCCCTTATAAGCAGCAGTATGGGGGAAATCCAAAGCCCTGAAGCATGTTTCTCTTTTTTCTGTAACTGCTGAGAAGTGTGCCATATCTATGGTGCCTAAATGTGGGTGGCCTGATTTGCATACTATGCAAATAGGAGGATGTAATTATGCAGGAGAATTTCTACATTAGCATACTTAATCTGTTTAATTTTCAACAGCTGCCTTATCATTGGAAATTAAGGAAAGTACAAGGTAATGTTTCTTACCTGTTCTTCAGTCTGCCAAGGCCATAGGCAACCTGACCCTAGATTTTTGATTGCTTGAAGCTCTGGGCAGATCACAATTTAAGCATGATGGACACTTGATAAATTGGCATGGAAGTAGTCGAAAAGGTGCTGTTCTGGTAAGGAAAAAGCTGGTGTAGGTATCAAAGTTGTTGGAGGTCAGAGAATCACTTGAAAAGTTGGGAATTAATTTCTAATGCAAAGTGTAGCAAGCCTCAGACCATCCATTGTTCACCTGACTGTCTGTTCAAACCAGAATTGACTAAGAAATTTCCCAGGTAGAGCTATGGAGGGGTAGGGATAGATTGGTAAGAATGACTTAATGTATTGTAAACCACTTGAGATTCCACCCCCCTTTAAAATATAAATTGGTATAGAAATGAAAATGATAATAATAGTAGTAGTAATAACAATATAATCCACTGGGGGGAAATGGCGCTTAGTCATTCCATTGTAGCGACTGTAACCTAGGTTTAAGGTGCCATAGAGATCCTCAAATAAATAAATTAAAAATAATGACGACTTAATAAAATAAAGACAACCTAATGAAGTATCTAGGCCTTTCTAATTTGAACTTTTTAATTTCGCATTTAGGATGTGACTTCTGTACAGCTCTAGTGTCCATGTGAACACACATTGACTTGGATGCAAGTGTGACTTTTATTTTTCGCAGCCTTCTGCACCCTTCCAGAAGTTGTGGGACATTTTAGAATGGTGTGAGAAGTGGGGGGATGGGCTGCAGATAATGGGCAACACAGTGGGAGGCAACAAACTTTATGAAAGCCAATTTCTTTGTTTTCCAAAAGTTATCTCCAGCCATAAAGATAGGAAGCTTCTGTTAACTGTAAAAAAGTTCTTTAACCATTTTTCCCCAGGGTGTGAATGGCAACATGGCAGTGCCTTTTCTGCATACACTTCAGCTGTTCACCATTACTCCATTGTGTCCTAGGCTAAACGAGATCCAAATGCAATTGATAAGATTTTTTTAAACTGCAGCATGGGGTGGGCATCAGGAACAGTGCCATGGGGCAGATAAGGGGTGTAAACCTTAATTCCTGCCACATTCCCAATGAATCTTCCCATCCTCCCCCAATTGCTGTTGTCAACCTGTTGTTGACATTTTCCTGTAAGCCTCTGAATTGGCTTGCGAGAAAATAACTCAGGGATGTATTGTGGGGATTCCTTGGATCACAAGTTATGCCAGGGCACAGTTGGAAAGTCTTTGGGGAAAGCAGATTTGGGCCTTGGATCTGTTTACTATCCTTGTATGCCCCAGTTTTTTTCTTTCTGTGTTATCCCTGAAGAATGGCAGCAAAAAAACTATTTGCTTTTTTTTTTTTTTTTTTACATTGTGTGTAACAGACACACAATAGGCAAATTCGGCCCTCTAGATGTTTTGGGACTACAACTCCCATCATCTCTAGCTAACAGGACCAGTGGTCAGGGATGATGGGAATAGTAGTCTCAAAACATCTGGAGGGCCATGTTTGCCTATTCCTGATGTATATAACATGTTGATATGGTCTAAGGAATGATGGTTTAGCAGATGGGTAGTGGTTGAATGAAGCAAGGTTCGGTTGCCATTCCTAATTTATCTTTGCACCGCCTCTAGTCAGGAGCAGAATTGTTCTTCTGTTTTTGTTCCTCTGGGTGGCATCTGTCTTCAGGAAAAATGTCCTTACAGCAAAGCATTGATTGCTGAACTGTGGCTGGTTTTTTTCCTCTGACTGCTGCAGTGAATTAACTACAAGAGATGTTCTAATATTGGTAGCTTTCTACTTCTCTGCAACGCTATTCTTCCTGTTGCTTGGTTGTTTGGAATTAGAAACTGATGGTTTTATTTGCATTATGGCACATGCTTTGTTCTAGAATCTTTTGAATATAGAACTTTAATTTAGCTATCACAGCTAATAATCATTGATAAATCTATTCCATGAAATTATCTAATCCCCATTAAAAACTCTGTAAATGTGAATTCCATAAGTGTGCATTATATGAAAAAATGTGTTGGTTTGTCTGCTTTCTATCTATTGCCAATCAATTTCAATAGATCAGTGTGCAGGAAGCTAAAGTAATTCTTCTGTTCATTTATATATATTTTTCTTTATCCTTTAAAATATTTTTTTATTCTAGTAGAGTGGTGGTTCTCAAAACTTTTCTGCAACTACCCATTTTAGTCAAGGTAGATGACTAGAGGCGGTTTTGGTGTCAGATGTTGAAGCATTCTAGAAGTCCCAACATAACTAGAAGGTTGCAGGAAGTTATCACTAATTAATACTTGGTCCCTCTACTGCGTCTGGTAGCACGGCCTCTGTAGCTGTAGAAATATATATATATGAAAAGGAGATGTTCAACATGTCAAAGAAATGCTTTCTCCAAAAAGGCAAGTAAATTTTCCTGGTTTTAGGTTTTTTTTAAAAAATGCCCCCTTGGGACAAATGCCTTTAGAATTTCCTCTTCTTTTACTCTGAAAAATTCTGTGCCATGGAAGTTGGGCATGAAAACCAGGCATTCTTTCTCAAAGTAATAAAACGGTTCTTCAGGTCAGAAAGGCCACAGAGTCTATCATGGTGTCCAATAGACTTTGAACATACTCTTCCTTCTGCTTTTCATTTTCTGCTGTATAAGTAGGTTTCTTTGAAGTTTACCCTCCTAGTGCATATTATTTTAGCCAGTGTGTTAAGTCTCTCCAAGCTTTATTCTTCCTTTCGAGCCTTAGAACTGCTTTTGCATTGTGCTGACCTTGATTGACACTGCATTTGTGGAAGCTAATAAGCTAGATTTCAGAAACATTGGCCTGCCCTTCAAGTTGAAGGTCAGCTGCTGTGAAATAAATGCCCACCATATTATAGACAGGAAAGAAATATGAGAGGAGGGCAGTTCTTCCTGTATGTCACTTGGTGAGAGTTCAAAAAAGAAATTCATACTTAATATTTGCTTGCAAGATCTGATTTCTTAATCTATAGTTTGAACTTGCACTAACCAGGGAGCTCTGGGTGGATAGCATGACTCACTAAAATATGGAATGCTGTGACTGGGGTCCAGACAACCACAAGTTCTGCAAGCTCAAGGGAGCTTTGGTTTTGTCATCTTTCAGTCAATCCTAATGCCATAATGCAGAGGAAATGTTGATGAAATACACAAGCCAGCTTTTGCTAGGGTGTGCACCGGTGTTCAGAAGTGTTGTGTGTGTCAAATCTTACTGGTTGTTATAATAAAAAACAAACCAATACAAAGAATAAAGCCAGGAAGTCAATAAAACAGGTGCAGCAGTTATAGTAAAAACAAACAGCACCACCAGCAGGATAAAATCACTTTCTTATGTGAAACCTTAAGCCTCATGACTTAGGTTGATGCATTTATAACATCTATTTTGCCTACCTCTTTTCTGTATAAAGTTCTAGAATTCCCAAACTAGTAAATAAGTCAGTAACTATAATAGAAGAAAAGATTGCATCTTCCTGAAAGCTCAGCAAGTTGTTTTGGAAAATAGCAAATATATATTGTCTTGATCTGTTGGGGGTGTAACTTTCAAGCTAGGTCAAGTAATGTTCTTCTTGGTAGAATGCTGATATGTATCTGGAAGTTTTTCAGTGAAGGATTAATATCATGTTTCTATTCAGCCATATTCCTAATTTCCAGAGGATTGAAATTTTACAGCAAAACCAAAAAAGTGTCTTGTGTTATCTTAAAGACTTACACATTTATTATGGCATAAACCCCCACAGTCAAGTCATTTCACTTCACCAGATGCATGAAGTATAATCTGAGTTATTGCAAGAATTATTTTGGCTCTTCACTGGTCATAAGAGTAAAGAGAAGTAATACGTTAGCCAAATCAGACTGCATTATTGTCAAATACTTTGAGGAGGAACCATAGTTCATTTGTAGAGCACAATGGTAGGTAATGGAAAAGATATGTGCCTGAGACCCTGGAGAGCCACTGTTAAGAATAGATTCGCAACATGGGTGGATGGACAAATGGTATAAGGGGTAGACACCAGATGTTTGTATAGTATGACTAATAAGCTTTTAGTGCTTTAAATCTAGTTCTCACCAATGGCTCCAGGTATGCCCCTCCCACAAGTTTCTTTTGGGATATAAGACTTTTCCTCCTCCTCCATTGGTGGAGTAAATGGCACTCTATAAACAAGGAGAAAGGGTCTTCAGAAATAGAAACCAATTACTAGGGTGCCACACCTGCTCAAGTCCCTGTTCTTAATGCTCCTCCCATTAATGACTCTCCTGCTTATTCTGAGTTTTGCTTCTGTTCCAGTGAGCCATTCTGGCTTCCTTCTTGCTTTCATGCCTCTTTACTCTGCCTACCATCTGCCCACACTTATGTCTTGGTGCCTCAGCAGCTGCATAAATAGTCCCTGGTGGCTCCATTTCTGATCTAGTGATGAAGGCACACCAATAATATGCAACCCGATCTCTTTGAAATTTTGGTAGGAATTTTGGTTTTTCAGGTGTTGGCAGTAGATACTGACAGTTGCACAAAAAAACCCCACCAGGAAATAGAGTAACTATACCCACAGCCTTATCATACTAATCAATATAACAATTTGATTGATGTTTTATTAAATGATCTGGGCCACATGGGGCAAAGGCATCATCACAGAGATTACAGGTGTGTTTGGAAGAAAGTAGGTCTTCCCAAAAATAAACTGCTATTGGGCAGCTATATAAATTAATTAGGTAAATATGGGGGAAACAAAATGTCAGTTAGAGAAGGATGTGAAATGCTTTCCTTGAAGCTTGCATTTGTTTTACTCTGGATTGTTTTATCAGATGTTTTAATGTGTTGCAAACTGCTTTGATATTTTGTTAAAAAATATATAAAGTGGTATAGAAATGAAAATTAAAAATAAATAAATCCCACCACTTGGGGAGAAATGGAGTCTAGACATTCCGTTGTGGCAACTGTAGCCCAGGTTTAAGATGTCATTTGGCAATTAGCTTATATATCTGAGCTTATATATCTGAGTTATGAACACATAAATCCTGTTTGCAATAATGTTATAATATAGGACCCAATGAGAAACTTGTATTAGAAATCCAAAGTTATCAGTGTTGGGATACTGCCAGGGAGATAAAGTCCATCATGGCCCCCAAGCCGGCTGCCGGATGATCCATCGATCTCCCGTAGTCACGCAGTATCAGCAATTAGTGACATGAGCTTTCAGAAATAGCTTGCCACATTCCAGAGCTCATGCACACTCTATCAGCAGATAATGCACAGCCAAAGTCGCACTCAGGAGAGCATTATTTACAAGTTTTATTCAGCGTTGATCAGAACAAAGAAAAACATGACTGCCTGCTTCAGTGTCTACGACACAGAGAGAGAACCGAAAGCAATAGAAAACATAAACTTCCTGTGAACAGGAAATGCGCAGACTCTGTGACTCACAAAGCCTGCTCCCTTTTAAGGTGGAACGGAAATATCCTAACAATCAGAGCTTGTATTAAATGCTTCCAGTTTATGAATGTCTGTAGCTGAGCAAGATCAGAGAACTAAGTTCAAAAATATGAAGGGCCAGTGACTTGACTAAAAATATTGAGTGTTTGAATTTTTTTTACCTAGCATCTACTCCGAGGATTCATCATCCTGGGAATTTTTGAAGATATGAATAGTATAAATATGAAATACTGCAGTATTTTCCCTGTGACAGTATTTGGCTCTTAGCAAATATATCCCATCTGTGAAGAAGGAAGAGAAAAAAAAAGAAAGAAAGATAAATGAAAAAGGATTGTATCCAATTGCAGTTGTTGGCGGTTAGATTTTTGATATCATCCATTAGCTTGGATTTTGGCTAGGCTACCCTTCCCCAGTTGGCCATATTCTGCTTATCATCCATAGCAGGTCTGGTCTTGAGTGTACCAACCACTCCTGGCTTTGAGCCCAAAGACCCTGGCCATCTGCTGTTCAGTTCTCTGTTAGCGAGTTCCCTGTTTAATTATCTGTTGGCCGACTTCCACTCTGTAATACGCCTGAAGGCCCTGGCCCAGTACTTTATTGTCCTTTCAGGTCTACCTGATCTTTGTTCCATTTGGCTTCCTCTTCTTCCACCTGGTATGTTACAAGCAGGATTTGATTGAAAGTCACAGTCACATTTTGGGTGGTGGGTAATGAGGAAAGAAGGCACTTGGGCATGCTAAACATGACTTGGTGTTGTAACTTCAAACTGCAACACCTGCTTTGGAAGAAATATTCCTAAATGGCAATATTAAGGGCTACAGCACACTTACATTATCAGTTTGAGGATTCTGTTAATCCAGTGACATTAAAATTGATATGATTAGTAAAAAAATAACAACAGTATATTGTATAAAAGTAGATTACCCACAGGCAAAATGGCTGTGGACTCAAAAGAGAAATTTGCCATTTTAGTCACCATTGGTAGTGGTGTTGCCACTTTCCTTAACCCAGCAGCTGCCATTTTTCATTTCTAGAATGCATTAACTTGAAAGCTCCTTGATCACTCCCTTGCCTACAGCCTCTCTCTGTGGCTTCATGCTAAATACCTTATCCCACTGGAAGCTGCTGATGGGTAGGTGGTGAGAAGGAAGAACAGCACCCTCAGGCCCCAGGCCCCACTAGCAATGGTAACTTCTTCTTCTTCTTGCTGCTGCACCTTCCAGAAACTTTTACTAGCTACGTAAATAACTCTGGAACACGTGATCACTCTAATTGTGAACTCAAGTGGCGAGTGCCACCAGGACTAGAGCGAAAACTAAACCCTGAGAAACTGAGGGAGATATTGGCAAGCTCAGGGCAGACCCAAGATTTGTAGAAGTTAAAACCTATGGGGCAAAATAATCCCTAAACAGCTCAGTGAGGGCTGAGCATGTGTAGTAGTCATGGAATGCTGGGTAGTTGGAAAAGGGCAGCAGTGGGGAAGTGCCACCTAGGATTTAAATCCAATTTCAGTTTTTTTATTTCAGTTGTATGAAATATATCCTAACAGAAAATCTGAAATTTAAAGCATAGTTGCTAAAGTATATGCTTACATATATTCTTGTGGCAAAGTATTCATATTTTGTCAACCAAACTGAATAAACAATTCTTGTTGTGATCATGAAGAAACACTTCTTTGCAATGTAACAATCGGCCATTGCTTTTAGAAAGCTCTGGATTTGGTCTTCAAGTAAGTGATTTTCTAATGCTGTTGCATGCAGTAGTGGATGACTTGGTGTGGTAGAGGTGTCCCAGCAGGTGAGTTGCTGCTGCTTACCAGGAGGGTGAGGGGCAACACAGTGGCAATGTCGGTGCTGTGCAAATGCACAACAGATTTAGTCTGGTGCTTCTGCTACTGTGTTTGCACTGCACCACCCTCCTCGTCCCTCCACCTCGGGGAGCAGCAGTGACTTAACCGCTGGGATGTCAAGCAATGCTTCTGGTTGCATTTATATGTAAGAGCTAGATAAATTTCACAGTTTAATAATTTACAGTATTTTATGCTGTCCAGTAACTTTGTTCTCTGGGCAACTTACAACAAGAAAACATTAAAATACAGTAGTAATTAATCAACCTTCAATAAAACAGTAATCAGAAATACAAACATGTCAAAAGCAGCAAGTAAAACAGTATAATAATATACACAGCATTGCTAAAAGCAGAATCTAAAATGAACAAATCTGAAAACCCTGCAAAAATAAGATGTTCACCTGGTACTGAAAAGCATATAAGAAAGGTGCCAGGTGAGTGTCTCTAGGAAGGGTATTCCATAACCAGGGTGCCATCATAGAAAAAGCCCCCACTTAGGAGCACCCAGAAAAAGGCCTCTGACTATCTCAAGATAGGAATTAGCTACATATTAGAGGAGACAGTCCTTCCAAATGTACTGACCTGATCTCTGAGATCATCTTTGGAGGTCTTTCTCCAGGCGTTCCTTCCCATTTCCCTCTTTGATACAACAACCTGGGAAGTTCTGCCCAAGTAAAATGTAGGCATGGCACAGTATCACAACAGTGTTGTTGTTGATTGCACTCCAAGTCTGTAAGGGTTATAATTCTGCAGTGCAAAAGACAAGAGGCCTGTATGACTAGAGGTTTTGAATAATGTTCTTGGGTGGTGAAATAAGCTCTATTTATTTGATACAGCAAAATGTTTTGGTTTGCAGTTCACTGGAGTGTATGCTCATTCAGAAAAATAAAATAAAACACAAAATTGGAAATACGTTTTAGAGCATTTCCTTTTTAGTGATTTAAATTTCCTTATTTTAAACTAATCAAGTTTTGGAAATAAGTGTAATTGAAATTATAAGGATTTACCTTTATGTATGTTATAGATAAGTTGCAAGGATTTCATGGTGGTCCGTAAATGCTGACAGTTGGCTCATTTTGCTTTATAGGCTTGCTCTGCCTGTACAGAAGACGAGAGTTGTCCCTCAAAAACAAGGCTAGAAAAGTCTTGCTCTGCCTGTGACATTGAGGGACCTTTTTAAAGTATGCATTTCCGAAACTGGTTTCAATCACTGCTGGTGGTCTTTGTACAGTTACTTTGTAATAAATAGCACAGTGTGACTGAAAACAGTTTCACAAGTGTTAAGAATTCCTTTAGACTAGAATGTGTCACTTGTGGGTGTTAATGTGGTATAGAAACTAGCAGAGACCCATTTGAAATTGAATGTACATTCCAGCTAATGTAGTTCTTTCATCTGTCAAAAACTAACTTAAGCATCCCTTTTGAAAATGGCCTAATTCATCTCTGTTTCTTAATCTCAGATTCATTGTATGAACATCCATATCTGCTATGAAAACTGGTATATAACATAAGTAAAATAAAAATCAGAAATGCCTGTCACAATGAGGAAATACATAGAAGAGGTCCAAAAGTTTGGTTGTCCTTGGTTCACTAATTTCTTTTAGGCCTTTGCATAGAGTTGTTTGTGGTCATATGAAATGTAACCCGTTTCTTTTGTCCCTTCATTTTTACAAAAAGTAGTGCATACTATCTTGCTACCAGACTGTTTCCTCTTCTGCAAACAACAGATAATTGCTTTTCATTGTCAGGCTGTGAACTGCAGTAGGTCCAGCGGTATGCCTCTTGCTTTATTTTCTATATTAGACAAGGAAGTACAGATTTCTTTTTAAAAAAATTAAAAAACCCTTGTGTGATGCCATAATTGGCATTTCATTCACTAAGTGTTTAAACTTTCTAACCAATCTGAGGCAAATACAACCTCATTGCCAGCTGTGCATGTTGCTATGGGAACTCAGTAGGGACTAGCTGCTGATTACTGTTCTAAGGACCACACCTGGCTTATTTGCATTCAATTTAAGTTGGGGAAATTTCAAAAGAAGAAAAGGGGAGCTTAGATTAGCCAGTGGGCAGCCAGAAAAGGCTTGTCATTTTGAGGCTGCCAGTTTGGACGACAAAAGCTGTTTTCTTATTCATCAGACTTCTTGGCAGACCCACACATCGTTTGGAATTTTGTAGATATTTTGGAAATGGGTTGTTGGTTCAATCTTGATGCTACTTCAAATTCTCTTGCATCGTTGTCTCTTATTACCTCAATCCAGCAAATTTCATTGCACTGTACTGCATCTATAATATATTGTCTGATTAAAGTGATATATGTTATGCAGGGAGAATGCTGAACAGATTTTTGTTCTTGAGAAATTTCATCTTGCATTAAGCAAAGGTTGAAATCATAGGGAGAACTTCCATTTTTGCCTCTTACATTTCAAACAGTAGGAGGGTTATGAAAGAATGGACCACTTCAGGTTATTTTACCTTGGTTTATTAAGAGGAGCTGTGCATGATATTTTTGCTCATGCACAGAGCCCCTTTTCTCCTGGTTACCAGTTTCTGAACAAGTCAAGTTCTTAAATCTCCCCCCCCCTTTTTTTTTTCTTTTTAAGCTGGCTTCAGATCTTTGCTTGCTCTGAAGCTAGTAATGGTAGATTCTTGGTTCAGACAAAATGAGAAGCTACAGTTTAATTGTGGCTCATTGTGAAAGGGCTGCTTGTGTGTGCCACAAGCTTGTATATGGCTGCTTAGTAAGCCAGTGTAATGTTTGTCTGAACACAGATATTGGTGAAGGAGAGCAGTGGAGCTGTTTTCACAGATTCTTGCTCATATATTGAGAGCCAGAATGTTAGCCATGTCTAATACAGTGGTACCTCGGGTTAAGTACTTAATTCTTTCCGGAGGTCCGTGCTTAACCTGAAGCACCACTTTAGCTAATGGGGCCTCCTGCTGCGCCACCGGAGCCTGATTTCTGTTCTCATCCTGAAGCAAAGTTCTTAAGCTGAAGCACTATTTCTGCGTTAGCAGAGTCTGTAACCTGAAGCGTATGTAACCTGAAGCGTATGTAACCTGAGGTACCACTGTATTTTATTTCTCTGCAATGTGAGATTCACACATGTACAGAATTATGAACTTTCTTCCACAAAGTATTAAATACTGAAATAAAGCACAAATATTTCAAAACCCATAGTGCATAACTCCATGCTAGGTTTTCCATATGCAGGATTCCCAAATCTGGGTAGCTTAAATGTATATTGTGCATAGCATATCTCCTGACGATGCAAATGCAGTTCACCACATTAGCATCTGGCCTGTATAATTTCCAGCAGGTGTTATGGACCACATGTTGAGATAGTTGCATTGCATGGGGTTTGACTAGATGACCCTATGGGTCCCTTTCAACTCTGCAATGCTATTATTTTACATATGCTCTTCCAGCATACTGATGGCAGCCTGGAAAAGGACCGTGTGATGTTCTCTTATCTGACCATTTTCCTCTTTCAATTAAATGGCTCTTCAGTTCAGTCCAACTATCAGTTCTGTTTTGTCTTTTCAAGAGAAATAGCCAATTTGTTAGGTTGTTCATATTTTTCCTCTTAGGCAATCTGGCAGTACAGCTGGGTCTATTTTGATCTTCCTGCTACTCAGGTAATGGAGCAGATTTCAATTTTGATTATTTGTTTGGATGTTTAATGTATATTTGAAAATTACATTCAGTTTTTAATGTTGCCGTCCTTGAGAACTAGCAGACTATCCACCCCCCATAAGAGCCCAGGATTGTATACTAAGGGTGTGGCAGTCTGCCCTACCCCCCCGATAATCCCCCCCCCCCAATTTAAAGAGTGCAGAGCCTTAATTTTTCACATGTAACACTAGAGTAGGATACAGCACCTTCGGACAAATATTGTAAGTTAATTTTGTCCGTACACTGTTAATGAAGGTTAAATAAAAATAATAAATAATAATAATAATAAAAGCTGTGTGGTATCCACAGGTTTATACAACAATACTTTTTGTAGTTTAAGGAACTGCAGCTTGTTTTCTGATGTCAATTTTGTATTTATTTCATAAAATTTATATACCTCTTGATTGTAGGAAAAAACCTTAAAGCAGCGTACAAAAAACATATATGCACCCAAAAAGATATATATGAACAAAACAAAAAAAAGATTCTTAAGCAGCAAATGCCACCTATCCCTTTTAAATAAGACTCCAGAGCTACTTGTTGGACATTCACAACTAGGAAATGATGACATTTAAAACAAATTATTGTGGACCTTGGAATTACAGTTCTAAGTACATCCAGTTACTTGGCTACCTAGTCCACTATCATCATTCCCCAGGTGTATCTGCTGTTGCTTACAATCTCATTAGTGTGAGTGAATTTTGACAAAAAACATTGTGCTTGCATCAACAGGTGCTGCACTGCCTGCTTCTACTAGGAATCATATCCATTTTTTCTCTTGACATTCTCCTCCTGTCTTACCAGTTCCTTTCCCAGACAGTTGCTTAGGTCACTGGGGGAGGGAAATACATGGATTTTTGACTCTTAAAACTATCACGAGTGATAAAAAGAGACACTTCACAAGCAGGTACCTGCTGTATTGCTCATAGCAACATATGATTTCCCTTATACTGAGGCAGATCAGTGGTACACCCAGCTGTTTGTGGTCTGCCCTCATTGGTTGCAGCTGTCTTGGGGGTTTCAGGCAAATCTCTTTCCTGCCTTATCTGGAAATGCTAGAGATTGACCTGGACCTTTTGCATACAAAGCATATGCTTTATTTCTGGGCTCCTGTGCTGCAGTTTTCTAGCAAGCAGCTGGTGGTCTTCTTGAAAAGGTACCAGAAAGCCTTCACTTCTTTATTAGAATGAGTAATTGCTTCTGTGAATCAAATTAAATACATTGAGAGATACTTGAGAAGCACAGGGTTCCAGTTCAAGGCTATTATTGAATATTAACTGTGCCTTTTAAAAATAATTTGGTATAGCTCAGCACTACAGTTGTTTGAGCATAATGGGGTCTCATGACTTGCAGTGCATAAGAGTCCAGTCAAATCAAGGAAAAGTTAAGAGTTCTGTTTTCACACACACACACACACACACACACACACACAACTTTAAATGGGGCAGAATGGTCTATTCTGTGATGGTTGTTGGGAGAGTATTTGCAAGAGTGGGTCTGCAGTAACAGACCAAACTCTAGTATGTGACTCTCACTAACTTTAGAGTGTGTGCGCTTGTTGATTTGCAAGTTTTCCTTGTTATAGGTCCTCTGGAGCTATTTTTTTATCCCTGCCAGATTCAACAACATTCTTCTGAGCCAAATCCTAGTCTTCAGCCCAAGAGCAAGAGGGACGTGGAACTTTTGGGAATTGTAGGCACATTTCAGATTTAGAGAGAATTCTGTGGATACCAATCACAAAATTGTGTTCATGCGAGGGGATGGTATAACACAACATGGATGGTGTGGGAGGCATGTGTAGTATAAAATTGAGATACAGTCATTGCTGCTTATCCCCACCCTACCCCCAATGCTTGGCATGTCCTGCTGGTCCTGATAGTAGAGATGCAGCCATAAAGGCATGGCAACCTTGTTTTTCCCATTCCAATCCTAAACCTAAGCCTATGCTGCATACTGTACCCACTTACCTGAGAGTAAGTCCTGTTAAACACAGAGTTTCTTCTGAATGGAAATGTAAACCATTGTACTGTGAATTCTCACTGGCTAAAAACACTGATAGGCAGGAGCAGCCATCATGACTCATTTTACAGAAATTACATAGACTGATACCTGCACATTTTGCTTAATAACTTTATTTCTAAGAGCGTTAGAGACTTTCTTTCATTATTATTAAATGAAAGCTCAGAGCCTGGGGCCCCTGTCCGACGCCAGAGAAGGCCTTCGTGAGTGCCAGGTTGGTAGTCTCCTGGTGCAGAGGGTAGTGGCTGCATCTATGGGATTGCTAACTGTTCATTTCAGTGGGTTCTTAGTGGCACCCTGGCCAGCCTAGGCCATCACCCTCTACCCCCTTGTCAAAGTTCTCTTCCTTTTAAAAGCAGTTGCTGATGAAATCTATTTCCTTAGGGGGGGAAACAGAACCCCTTCTACCTGATCTCTGAAATTGAATGTAATGTTAATTGGAGAGAGAATAGGACCTTAAACATCAATAAATTTTGTCCCTACTTTATTAAAGTGTGGTCACTAGGGGAAAACCCCACACTTATTTTCTAGCATGGCTGTGCTCTTGTAGTGGAGTGGTAGGGCTGTGGGGAGAAAATGCACCTCATTTCTGACAGCTGCAAATGGTCAGGTAAGAAGACCTTATATTACAGCTCCCCTTTCTGCCTCTAGAATTTGGTAAAAACAGAGATGAAGTACCAGATGGGAATTATGCAAACGAGGCATGCTAATTTAGCACACCTTATTTGCATGATTAGCACAGTTGTTTTGCATAATATGCAAATTCTTATTCTGGCTTTAGGGGAGTTGGGATGTGACAGCCATATTCTCACAGCAGCAAGGAGGGGAGAGCAAGAGCAGGGAAAGAATTCTGATTAAAGAGTTGTTCTTGTTCGTGCTGCAGAGCTGGAGAAAGAACAGGACTCAGTTGGCTGTGGTCAGTTACAAACATAGGATTATATGCAGTGTTAGATATACTCAAAGTAGACTCATTCATATTAGTGTACATGATTAACTTAGGTCCATTAATTTCAACAGATCTATTCTGAGTGGAATTCAACTGGATACAACTAGTGTCTTCCCAGTGTGAGTGCTTGACAGTGCAGAAAGCATACTGCTAAGTAACAGTATTCATGTCATTTTCTCTCATTTTTTTTCTTCTTCAAACCATGTGATGAAAGGAGTAGGGACTAAATAGCTATTTCAAAAAAGTTTCATTTAGAATTCAAGAGACTTCACAGCTTCTAAAATTCAAATAATGGAATAGATACAATCATATGCTAGAATACAGTGCAGATTTACAAGAATAACACAGAGCTGATTCATTTTTGTGCTTTAAAATTAGGCTAGGTATATATGCAGATTTAAACTATGTGAATTTAGTCCATAGCACAGACAGATGTCTGAAGTCTTGTTAATCCCAGTTCAGTTCTCTGTGAAGCTTGCGTCTCAATGAAACTGGGAAGTCAGTGAGTTTGTGCTCTTGATTTTTAGGGGTGGAGGTGGGGATCCCAGTGAGCCCTATGGCCACTTAGGTAATAAAAGACAGGTGACTAAAATTGTTTACTCAAGGACATTTCACAGATTATGCAGAGGCAAACCCAGGTTTACTGTTGAACATTGCCTAAAACAGCAGTGGGAAACGAATGGCCCTCCAGATGTCATTTGACTACAACTTATTATTCCTGATCAGTGGCTATGTGGGCTGGGGCTGATGGGAGCTGGAATCTCACAGCATCTAGAGATCCCCCCTCTAGTTTAGAGGGAGTGGCTGCCAGTCATGGCTGCTAGTCATGGCTGCCAGTCATGACTCCCTGATGAGTGTACCTGTATGATAGACATGTAGTTCCTACATTCACGTTTTATATCAAAACATGTTAGCTACATGCCCTAAAAATGTAGTGCGTGAAATAGTAAGATTTCCTTTCCCACTTCAAGAGAGTCTACTGAAATTTGGTTTACGAATTACATAATTGCAACTGAAATTATGTATTAATTCTATATTCTGATTGTGAATTGTTTTTGTTTGTTTGTTCTGAAATTGCTGTTTTCTTTTGATTGTGTTAAATGTTATTTTGGACAAGTAAGCACTGATTTGCATAGGGCTTGTGCTCTGGGTCATAGTGCGCATATGTGAAATCGCTTGCAGTTGAAACGCCCTGCTCTGCCCATTTAGTGACATTTTTTTATTACGTCTCTAGGTCACTTCAGGGTTTGGCGCTTTGCGTGATCACGTACAAACGACTTGCACCTAAAACAGGTGTTGCCTGCATTTTGTTTTTATTGTGAGTTGCCTCCAGAGCCTTGTGGGGTAGAAGAGCAGGTTTTAAATTTTTTTTTAGTGTAGTTTAGCAGTCTAATCTGAGGTAATCTCTAAAAATATTAATTAATCACCTGTTTTGAAGGGCGAGTTTACATAACCTATATGTTAATTATTTCCTTTATAACCTACCTTTTGAGCTCAGAACCTGGATCTCCCCAGTCCTAGACAAGCCTTCTAATCACTATGCTACACTGACTTCAATATATCCTGGTGTCTTTCAGAGAGTGGTTGCCAAATTTAATAGCAGATATCTGTGGCTATAGCTTTTATGTATGTTTTGGTCAGAAAAATAGGAATAAACATCGCTGTACTTTTTACATTTTTGCTTCCAGCAGAGCAGTCTACTCACTGGGATTGTGCCTACTTCTGGCCACAGTGAGAATCCTTCTCTAACGAATTTATTCCTCTAGAAGAAGAGACTCTCTAGGTACCCAGTCTGAACAGGGTAGGTCCCAACTTTTTGAAATATTAATACACCAACTTGACTGTGCAAACTTAGGAACCAAGAAAAGACAGAGAAGGTGACAGAGACAGCCCTTTTTGTACCATTCATAATCCCCCATCAATCAGTGAAAAGAGAGGACATGTTACTGAGTAGTTGCCTAAACTCTTCTACATCCATCAGGACAGAAATTTTGCAGATAAAGCAAAATTTCCATTTCTCCCTTTGCCCACAAGGCAGTCAGGAACAGTTCAAGAGCAGCTCTATCCCCCTTTAGGAACAAAAAATCCAGTCTTTCAGGATATTCTGCATTACACCACTCAAATTGTGGGGTTTGTAGGTGACCCAGTTTGGAACAAACCCCCCCAAACGTATTTGCATACACACACAGGCTGGGAGCCTCAATGGTGCCCCTCTGGAGGCTTCATCCGGGACAAAACACCTGGGTTAGCATGCCCCCCGCCCCGGTAGCTCTGCAAAAGAGCCAAATGTAAATGTAAACAACAGCATTCAGTGTGGATAACTTTCTTGGAATGATAGATATGAGAAAGAAAAAAGGCAGAGATCAAAGCATGGCTATTAAGTTTTCCAAGATTATGGGAATTAAAAAAGACTCTTAAGGGTCTGTTGCAAACTATTGCACAAGAGTTGTATTAGTTTCCTGGGTTAAGGCTATGATAGGAAAACCCAGGCATTGACAGACAATGAGATCCCTTGAAGCCCTTGCAAAATTGAGTTCAAAAATTACAAAAACAGTGGGGAGCAGATATCTAGCAATAAGTGAAGGCTTCAAGCAAAAATTGACCCAAACAGAACCATACTTCTAGTTTTGGATTCCTGATAAAGTTATTGTTAAGCCATGTAGAGTTTTCCCTAAGTCAATAGAGGGGAAGGTGACTGTGGAACATAGTGGAATTTTCATTTTCCCACTATGGGTGGTCAGTGATAAAGTGCAGGGGAAGTGCAAAAGGAATCTTGTCTGCAACCTTTTAGCTTGGGGGTTCCTAGTGCTAATGGGTGCTAATGCATTTAATTTATCCCAGGAGGATGCTCAGTGCTTCCTGTATAGTTCTTTCCCCCTTCAGTACCCTAGGAAGTCAATCACTAGGTGTGCTGCAAAGCTTAATTAAATTGGAACTGGGCAGAGAGCAGGGTGTATATACATTCCATAGACCCCCCACACCTACTGAATATAGGGTGGAATGCTTAGGTAGTCTGTGTTAACATGACTAGTCCTGTGCTAGATCACTTTTCTAGCAATATAGAGACGTTTGAACCAATAATCTTGGGAGACACTCAGAATGGAGGAATGTACTTACATAGCAACAATATTCAGTCTACTTGTCTCTTCTCAAAAGGTGTGGCAAATATTTGAAAGATAGCTGACATGTCCAAATTAATTGAGACATGTATTTTTTTAATGTATTTTTATTAAAGATTTTCTTGATTTACAAAGGTATGTGCAATGTCTCTCTCTCGTAATTTTTTTCCATGTAACATTTTTTTAAAAAAAACAAACAAATTGGTTTCATTTGTTGAGACATTAGGAAGAATAGGGGGAAAGAGGTGGGGGGAGATGAGTGGGGTTGGGGTTGGGTGGTGATGTTTCTATTTTACTTAATATATGTGGGGTTTTGTGTCAGGAGACATGTATTTTTTGAGTTGGCAAATAAATCAGAGACTTTTGAAGTAAACTGTTTCCTCCTTACTGAATTTATAAAATAAATTAGCCATGAATAGTTACAAGGATTCATCTTTGATTTGATACTATTTGTAATTATACCCCTGATATTTTGTATATTTATTTTTTACATGTTTAAAATAAAAAAATGACATGGTAAGCCACCCTAGTTTGAAGTTATGACATGGATAATGACAGGTGATGGCTAGTTGACAATTTATAAATGTTTAATGTTTAGGGTAAAAGCTAGAGGTGTCTTGTATGAGCATCGTGTACTTCTGCTCATGCAACAGAACTTCACCATCTCCTCCTACAGGGAACCAGGCAGAGGGCCTTCTTGTCGGTAGCGCCCTCCTACATCAGATGTCAAGGCAATAAAGAATTACACAACTTTTAGAAGACATCTGAAGGCAGCCCTGTATTGGGAACGTTTGACGTTTTATTATGTTTTTATATTCTGCTGGAAGGGGGACCCAGGCAGATGAACAGGGCATTACTAATAAAATTACCACTGCTACTACTACTACTACCCCACATTCCTCCAAATGCCACCTCTACCCCAACTCCACCCTGCCCTTCCCCAATTTCTCTTTTCTCTCCCCCATACCAGAGCATAAAAACACTCTCACTCACAGAGAGAGAGAGACCCTTCTCCCCACTCCCACAAATCATTTACTACAGACATGAGTCTGCTCCATTTTCTTCCTGCCCCTGCCTTTGAGAAACAGCCAGTGAAAGCAAAGAGATGATGGACTAGGACAAATACAGTATAAAGAGATACCAGGTCAATTATACACCTCAGTTTACATACCATAGCTGTGGGTAAGCAAATGGCACAGACCACATGTAATGTGTAAAACTAAATAAATTACATTTTATTTTAAAATAACACTATGAACCAATGGTGATGTTAGTTTGTATGGTTACTGTATATTGAATTTTACTTACTTACTTACTGTTCCTTTAACTCAGAATGATTACACAATAAAGTACTCTTTTATAAAGAAGATACAGTACTTTGAGTTATTCCATCCCCCCCCCCCCCCCGTATTTAAACCTAAATTTTCCTAAAGGACTCACACCCAGTTTGCACTCATCAACTAGACCCTTTTCACTGCCTATGCCCTTTTGCCTCTGGAGTCTCTCAAGCTTGAGTTCTGCTGAAGTCTTTCCCTAGGTATAGCAACTTCTCTTACTTCAGGCACTCAGCAACCCCACTGACTCTTGCCTTCAGAGTTCTTCAGCTCTTGGTTTGTCCCAGGTATCCCAGAACTTCTAAGCCTCAGTGTCTTCCACCTGGCTGCAGCTTCTTCTCAGCTTCTTCTTGAATCTTCTGTTGCCGTCTTCTGCTGCTTCTCTTCCACTCTCAAGGCACACTATTGGCTGGAGACTTCCCATTTATGTCCAAACAGGGCACCTCCCTCCCACCAGTCATTTCAAATTTGGGTGAAATTCACCTCCTTCATCATGCCACAACTCTGGTTCAGCGGGTTGAGACAGAATGTCCACTTACTAAACCAGTTAGAACTTGCAAATTTTCAGTCCACAGTGTCTGTCTATAAAAACAGAAACCTCAGTCTCAGAGCTCTTATCTGCCACAAAGTAAAGTGGCAGTTAACTGAACATTGCAGCCACCTGCAGGCTCCCTCTGAGACTTTGTGTTTGTCACAGCTCACAGCAGTAAATCAAGATAGTTATAGCCGATTAACCCTTTACATTCAACAGTGTGAATTCCCTTATACATTACTTTGACACAAAACATTACCTAAGAATAAAAAGTGATTTCTTCACATGGATTCTCCCCCCCTTTTTTTACGCAGTTTACTTATGAGTTCAAAGAAAGAATAGAATTGCCTGAGATTGAGAAGGTAGACATCTTTGAGTAGGTGGTTTAGCTGGGAAGTAGATTTCTGCCAGATTTGGTCTGATGAAGAAATATGAGAGCAACAATAAGGGGAGCTTCAGAAATGGCATTTACTTGCTCATTTTTATGAACTATATAGAGAAGCATGAAGATGGCTGAAACTGTATGCTAGGTGTGCATGTGTCTGTGGACTATTAGAAAAGTACAATGTTTGAAGTGGTACTGAATTGCTAAGAAGCAGTTGCATCACAAGTACTGTATCTGTTGTGGGCTTGTGTCAGTGAAGCTTCTGGCTTCGGTTAGCAGAATAGGTGTGGGGCAACAGAAAATATATCATTGTTCCAATTGGAACATTTCTGTTTGCATTTCTGAAGAAAGTGAAAGTTGTCATTTTGACTAAAGTAAAATTTTCACAAAAATACTTGGGAAAGGAGCAAACCAGGAGTGGTCCAATACCAAGCTCCTGAAGATTTTTCTAGAAACAGGAAGTCAAAATATTGGCAAACTGAAAATCCAAATCACACATTTCAAATTTAAAAATTGGTCTCACACATCCTTGTTCATCTGAAGAGCTGCAGGCTCTCAATGGCTTAATTGTTCAAGAGGTTATCTTAGCTGATGACAGGAATGCAAGATGATGTTGCCTCCCCTCTACCAATATATGTTTGTGTTGTCTAACACCTGCAAGTTCATTAGAATGGCACCCAGGTATTATGAAACATGGAAGTTTCATAGATTGTGTTTTAAGTTTTTGTTTATGCTGAACTTGTTGAAGCTAGGCTGATCTGTACGGTTGGTGAACAGGACATACTGGTAGTAGTTACATAGCTATGTCATTACAAATGATACAGGAATGGCACAACCTAACGGTTATGTATTAAAACTTTAAAGGGCTAGGTAAAGGTAAAGGGACCCCTGACCATTAGGTCCAGTCGTGACCCGTGTCCTCAAAGGGCTAGGAGACCAGCTCAAATGCAGTACTGTATTGGATTATTTGTGTGTGTGGGGGTTGTTTCACAGCTTAATATCTGCTGGGAAGAACATACAAGGAGGCCAAAGCTTTAGTACAGTGCACATTTGCCATTTTGATTAAGAAACATGCGTTGAGGATGGTTTAAGAATGCTGTACTGCAGGTTCTCTGATTTTGCCTCTTTCATTTTTTGGCCCATCATTCCTCATACTTTATGGTTTATTATGTCTTGCCTACCAAACCCCAGGCTAGCACAGTAGTGCTAGATGTTATAGGACCCTGGAAAATATCAGACCACACTCCTGTGCTATTGCAGTTCCAAGAACATCTGCGTCTGATTTATTCAAATCTCTATAAGTTCAATACTTCCCTTTTGACCAAAGTTCATGAATAACAGCCACAAGCCTTTCAGTAATATTTTGTCATGAAAGACTATAGGAAATACATGGACAGTAAAATACAGATGAATGAGGTTAAACAAGCAATAGCCAGTTTTAAAGCCCACAAATCTCCAGGATCTGATGGTCTCTGAAGTGATTGGTGTTTTTTTAAAAGATTCAAGAACAACATATTATACAAAATCCCTTATTCCTGGTTCTATTTGTGGATTATTGTAATTCCAGAACTACAGAAGGATTTGAATGATGTTCCTTCATAACTTCAGCTTTTTATTTAGAAACTTGACTGCAAAATATTTAGTCCAATTAATGGCAACTCATCTCAATAATATTATTTCAAACTCAGACCAGGCAAGATTTATAAAAGAGAGATAAATATCATATCCAATCAAGGAAAGTATAGATTGAATAATACATAGTAGATGTCCAGAACCCCCTTGTGTATTTTTGCTTTGGATACATAGAAAGCATTTGATTGCGTTGAATGGCTTTTCTTGTGTGAGTGTTTAGAAGTTTCGAATGGGTGCCCTTTTCTCTCAAGTCATTGCACTTTATACAGCCTTCTCTGTGGTGGTGCCTATGAATCACTTCAGCTCAGAACTATACAAAATCTCCAGGATTACAAAGGAAGGTTGCTCTCTATCACCCTTGTTTGTTTGTTTTTGACCCTCAAACCATTATCTCAAAAAGTTGAGCTTTAATTTTGTTACCAGGAAAGTTCAAGGAGATTAAAACCTGGAAGACCCCTCCCCCTCCTCAAAAAGCAACTCTTCTCAAAGACTATATAACTTGTTAGAAGAAAATTTTATGACAGGTCTTGTTGGCCTCAAATCTATAAAGGAGAAATCACTGAAAAGAATAAACAATCTGCAACGAAACACAAAGAACACTATAAACCAATCTACAGTAATGTAAGATATTCTTAAATTGTTCCAACAGTAGTATGGTGGTACCTCGGGTTACATACGCTTCAGGTTACAGACTCCGCTAACCCAGAAATAGTACCTCGGGTTAAGAACTTTGCTTCAGGATGAGAACAGAAATTGTGCAGCAGAGGCGCGGCAGCAGTGGGAGGCCCCATTAGCTAAAGTGATGCTTCAGGTTAATAACAGTTTCAGGTTAAGAACGGACCTCCAGAACAAATTAAGTACATAAGCAGCAGTACCACTGTAGTAGTACCTGGATCGTCTTGTAAGGATGTTTTGTAAAGCAGGTCAGCGGACTGCTGACGAGGATGTCAGATATGGTGACAATGTGCATCGGGGAAGCACTTTGGGATGGTGTTTTAGAGATTGAAATCACTGCTTTTGGGTGGAGGGTGTACTCAAGGGTACACAGTACTGGCACCTTTCCTCCCTCAAATGTTAAAAGTGTGGCACTTACTGTAACAACTTCATACCAGCACCTTATATATTAGTTCTCGAAGCTACCAGCATGAGTTTGACCAAACTGCAGGAGGCAGTGGAAGAAGGGAGTGCCTGGCTTGCTCTTGTCCATGGGGTCACGAAGAGTCGGACATGACTGAACAACAAATACACACACACACACACACACACACACACATATAAGCGCACTGATTAAAACTATTAAGTATTGGGTGGTTAAGTATTGGGTGGTTTAAGTTTTAATTGATTAAATATGCATATGAATTAAGCATTTTAAAGAAGGCAACCAAACATACATGTAGCAGAGCCATTTCCGACCTTGGGAGGAGAGGGGGTTGCGGGTGACCCCCTCCCACACACGCGGGGGCTGGCCTTTTGCCCCCGCGAGATCCAGGGAATCCCCGGGCGTGCCTGCGACTCGGCCCGCCAATCGGCGGGCTGGGGAGGCGTGGCCTAGCCTACTTAAGGCCAGGCACGCCCGGGGACCGCCCTCTTTCCCCTGCAAATTGTGAACTAGAAAGCCACAGGATTTTTTGAGTCTAGACTTTGACAGGTCTGCTATATCACCTCTGAGTATTCTGCTGGCTATGACTTTTGCTATCTCTCTGGCATTGTGACTTGAAAATTGTAATGGGCTATAAGGATCAAGAAAATATTGGGTTTGTGCTGGATTCGAGCTAGCAGACAATTCTTTTTCTGTTGCCTTCTAGTTAAAATGAATTTTAGAATCTATGAAATTCAACTGTTACAACTTCCTTTCTAGATGCAATGATTTTTCACCATGGATGAGAAAACATTTAAATTTTTTTTTTGAAAAAAGGGACTTTCCTTCACACCAGTACCCACTAAGTACCAACAATCAACAGCTCTTTTGATTTCTGAAGAGCAACTAGATTATGCAATGTGTAACATTCCAGTCCCGTGTTCTGCTTTTGAATGATCCATGCTTTTTAAAAATTGCAGCAGATAGCATTAGAAGAGTTTATTTCATCATTTTGTTGGGCCCTTTTGTGGGGGAGAAGTCTTCACATGACCATTCATTTCCCTTCTGACATTTACTTTCTAATCACAGAGTCTTAAATTACTCTTATACAATCTTTGTACAAGAGTTTCTGAGTGGCCCTGATGATTAAAGAAGTACAGTTGTAAAATAAAGTTTACTATAAAGACTATTTGTTTAGGAAGACTGTTTATTTAGAAATACAATAATAAATAAGTCAGACTATTTAGGAATTAATGTTATGTACATATACAGATACATATAAATTAGGAGCCAGCAGTTCTAGATAACAGCAACTTTATTAGAGGTACAGGGAGTGAGAATGGTCAAATATTACTTGTTACATCTACCAGTGTTGGACTACCTTTGCAAAACAGCAAACATGAATTGCTTCCTATATGCTGCCTAAAGTTATGTGGCTTCTCCTTGTACACAATTATGTGTGAGAGACTGTTAAATTATAGCATAACACATTTGGAAAAGATCACATAAATGTGCAAGTAGTAGTTAAGACAGGTTTGTGTTCAGCTCCTACCTTGCTAATTGTTTTCTTGGGATTATTTGGATTCTGTAGAAAGCTTTTCCAAATCTCCTTTATTACTGAAGTCATTGTTGCCAGCAGGAATAAGATTAAAGGTGCTTAAGTCTGTAGAGTTGTTTCTAATTTGTATATGTCATTTCAGTGGCATTTTAACAGAATTTTGTCTTGCCTCTTTCCCCTCCCTACTTCCCCATGGTACTGTGCTCAAGTTAGGTCTGAGAAGCAAAGCTATTGGAAGAAATTTCATTTTGTTCCCTAATTATTATGCTGGCACTTGGGAGATAATTTTTCCCTTCATGCACTGCCAATTAATATGCAAATGAGCTGATAAATATTTATATCATGATTTAAATTATGCAGGGAGCGCTTTCAGTGTACTCTGCAAATGAATTGTTCATGGACTTCAAAGTGCTGGCTGCTGTGCTTAACGAGGGGAGATTTGCATAAGGCCCTAATCAGGCGCATACTGATTAAGCTTCATTATGGAAACTGCCAGCTGCAATCTTTGTTTCTATTTTATTTAAAAAAGGGGAACTTTTCATGCTTCAGTCGCCTTGACAATGTCAGACACAGCTAGTAGGAGAGACTAAAACTCTACAGAGCAACTGAAGTTTCTCTGTTCAGTTGAAGATTGCTATGGTGTAACTGAAGTTGTATTTCCTATCCCTACCCCTCCCTTTCTTCTGTTAAAAGTAGTAGTGTAGGTTTTTTATTTTAGAAATCCCCCCCCTTTCCTTGGACTATCTGAATCTGCAGAGGACTGCACAGCAATGCTGGACTGCAGCGACTACATTCTAGGTGGGTACCAGTTCAACTGACTCTTGCAAGCGTGTAATATGGAAATAGTGGTTGTTGGATTGACTATGCAGTGGCTTAATCGCATATGCAAGACTAAGGGAGGCATTTATTTGAAAGGCTGAGGACTACCAGCGATGTGGTGGCAAGTGCCTCCTCCGTTCTTCATTTTTTTTCCTGTGTTCAGGAAGATCTTGTTCTTTATTTTTGGATAGAATGGAGTTGCTCTTCAGTTTCAGTGTCGTTTAATGCAGAAGCTTCTGATATTTCAATCTTAAAAGCATTTGATTTTGGAAAGAAATAGGAACTTCATTTAATGTGTCTGTTTATGTAAAACTGCATAGGGGTGAGAGTCTTCTGCCATAACTTCCTGGCCTGACCAGATCATTCTAAGTTGGGTATATTTGTGTGGGTGTAGGTGATATAAAGCCACACTGTTCAATGTTTAATAGGAAGCAAGCACTGCTAATACCACTGCTGATACTGTTACAAGAAGTGATGCATATGGCTACTAGTGTTCTGGCAGTTGAAAAATATGCTTTTAAATTAAAGTATAGGCTTCATTCAAAAACATATTTTGCAAATATGTTTTTAAGGTTTTGCAAATTTTATCCTTTATCTTCAGGCCTTAGAATTATAAAAATCATAATCTAAGGATTTAGACTACGCTTACCTTAGAAATGTAAAATTTAATGTGATTTTTGCTTCAAGATACACAGCTTTTCCCTCCATATATGCCGTTTTTAACAATGCTGTATGGAGGAATCCTAGCAAATGACACCTTCATCTTAGTGTGAAGAACAGTAGCTGAATTTAAAGGGTTTATCAGTTCTAAGAAATCCACCCTTCCCCTATATATTTTGAAATGCTGATAATTTTATTGCTGACTGGCCTTGATATCTGTTAAAATGCTAGTAAGAATGAATCTAGATTCTAGAAACTCATCAGGATGTGACCTCAGCACTGCACCTGGTGCTTTCAATCTATGCTTCAGTTTGCTGTGTGTACTTTAGATTATGGCAGTGTTTTAGTGTCATTGTTACAAATTAAGCCTTATGCTGCTTGTGAAAGAAAGGAGGAGGAAATGGCAGTCTCTGTAAGAATTATAGAGAAAATTTATTTGAACATCCACTAGCCAAATTAACTTGTAGATAGTAGATTTTGCCTATTTCATCACTAATCCATTGCTTGTGTTTGTGTGTGTGTGGTGCAGATCATTGAAATTAATTTACTGGATCAGATCAAGTTCCAGCTAATCTAGTATTTTGTTCTTAGCAATTGTCAACCACATGTGTTTGGATGTTGACAAGCAGATCATCAGAGTAATAGCCTCTGCTGCTGCTTGTCCCTAGCACATGACATTCACAGGTATACAGCCTCTGTCATGGAGGTTCAGTTTCACTGTTGTGACTAATAGCAATTCATGAGTCTGTCTTCCATGAATTTGTATAGTTCCTCTTCATATCATCTTAAACTAAAGGTTGCCGTTATATCTTGTGGTTGTGAAAAACTCCTGACAGGCTGACATATTGCATGCTGGCTGGGACCGATGGGATCTGTAGTCCAAAACATCTGGGTGGCAACCATGTTGGGAAGGCTGTCCCTGGCAATGGGATGAAATGTTTATCTTGTTTTGAGTCATGATTAGCATATTTAACAATACCCTCTTTAATGATACAACAAAAGATGCATTAAATTTATTTTGCTTCCAAATATGAACCCATGGAGTATAACCCTTCTATGGTTACAACAGGGATAGCTCAAGTCAATAAATCAGACTTTTAATCTCACGGTTCTGGGTTCGAGTCCCACATTGGCAAAAGATTCCTGCATTGGAGGAGGTTGGACTAGATGACCCTCATGGTCCCTTCCAGCTCTACAATTCTATGAACCTCCGACTATCCCTTACATATATCCAACTTCTTTTAACTTACAAAGGCTCTAGTATAGCCTTGTGAAACCAGCTCATTATTGCTGCTGTTTTTAAGCATAGTATACTGTTGTTATGTACCAATGCTTATTATGTACAATTTCTTAGCAGACAGATATGGAAGAAAGCATTTTTGAAAGATGCCAAATGGACTCTAAAAAGAAATTGTAATGTGTGCTGTGGCGCTGCGGAGGTTTTTAGCCTTCATATTTATAATGCAAGTATTTTCACTAAGAGTTGATGGCACATATGTACTCAATTTTTAAAAAAACAACTATTGATTACTTCATTACTCTTCAAGGTTGTAATCATCAAGAAGCTGATATTGTATAGGAAATGGAATTAATTAGCTTCAAATTAACCTTGCTCTCCTGTTGGAGAACTGCTGTATACTGGGGGATATCCAGGGATATGACTCCCTGTTATGCGAATAACTGCATGCATGATGTAACAGGAAAGGATTCTGCATTGTTGGTGGAGCAGTAGCTGCTGAAGTAATCTTTCCTATCTGCCTACTATTTCTGAGGCTTGACTGGTGCAAATGTCTTTAAGAAATAGGATATGACAAATGGATTTCTTTTGCAGCACTTCTTAATAATACTTTCACATCTATACTGTTACCCTAACCTCTGGCATATGTTTTAACTCTAGCATCAGCTAAATTGTAAAGAATGCAATAATGTATTCTTCACTGTCAAATTCCATTGTTAAATGCTTTTCTGTAAACATCAGTGATTTAGTTTCAACAGGTGAAATCTGACAATTGGAAACGTTGAAGGGGGTTCTTTCTGCTATTGCTAATTATGAGCAGAGCTGGGGAAATCCTAGATTGCTTGTTACATGAGGGAATATCTAAAAATTTGAAGTACTTTCTTGCCTGGATTATGGCTATAGTGTGTTTAGGAAAGGCAACAAATTATTTTGACTATATTAATTTAGTCAGGTCTCTGGTGCTTTACTTTCTTTCCTCTTCTTTCGCTTTTCTCTTATAGTCCAGTCTTTTCTGGATCTGGTCGTTGCTCACAATTTTATTCTATTTTTTGGCATATTGGTTTGCTCATTCCCATGATTTGTTGCCATCTGCCACAATATATGTATTCATCTGTCTCACCACCTTTGTATTTTTGGATCTGCCAGCCTTGCTAGTGAATATTTGCTGTAGTTCTAATGTAGTACCCCGTCTCCTTGTTTCTATCGATGGCTGTTCTTTTAGTATGGCAACTTAATAGATTTTTTCTATAACTAGCTACTATTTAACTCTAGTTTCTTCAGTAGCCTTTTAGAAAAGTCTGGGAGAATGTTCAAACCAGTTTAAGGTTGTGTGTTGTGAGATTTGTTATCCATTTTGATGTGAATAGTTAACTAGTGCACCAAAACTGGGAGCCATTACCTTTGTGAAAAGTCATGATGTGAAAAAACCCACATAAACTGAGTCACAATCCAAGTGAGCATCCAAAGACAGTGGTTATTCCTCTGCATTACTTTCAACAGGATGTGTATATCAGTGTGATGGCATCTTTCACAACTGTGATGCCCTCTTTTTCATGCTTAACCCCCACCCCACCCCCAAATCACTCAGCAAGAGGTCAGGTGAACAATGGTTGTGAACAGATACAGGAAATAGCTGCAAAAGAAAGGAAGGTGGTGCTTTTCATGAAACACGCCCCCCCCCTTTGAAAAGGTAACTTTTACAACAAAAATTGAATTTTACAAAAAATCATTACAGTGTTCCAAGGGAGAAAATTAGTTGAACATTTTGTGTCCTATTTTTACAAAATATTCAACAAGAGTCCACATGGGTTGTAGTAATTAAAAACTCAGAGGCTTATCCCAGTTGGAGAAGACCAAGAGTGGGTGGTATTCTGTAATGAGAATAAATCTGTTGGCATCAGCAATGGTTTTTTTTCCAGCACCATACTAACAAGCATCAGTTTAGTTGCAAAAGGAGTTTGATACGACTATAACCAAAAGCACAGTGAATGATAGGACTAGGACCTGTCAAAATTGTTCTCAGTGGTTTAGATTATTTTTGCCATTTATTAGCAGCAGCCTTTCATCCCCCAGCCCCCATTTTTAAATCCTGTTTCAGAAGTCTTAACAGATAAATTGCGTCTCTCCTTTTGCCAGAACTACGTCTTGTAAAGAGTTTATTGCTATTACATTGCCTTCATATTGCCATTGCACAATGACATCACCATGTTGTTCCTGGTCTGATACAATGAATTATATATACCCTGAACACCATCATGCACCATCATATTCAGTTTAGCATAGTGATGTAATCACATAATGGTAGCATGGAAGTCTCATGGCAACATGCCTGTGTACTGTTTAGAAAAGGATCTAGCAGCACCACTGGAAACACCTAAAGGGTGGGTGAGGAGAGGCAGATCAGATGTCTAAGCAGAACTTTGGGAAATTTTATAAGAATTCAGACAAAAATTATGATAATAATCCAAATGAAATTTTAATACAATCCTTCAGGTTTGGACACTATTTTTTTTAAATGTAGCAAACATAATTGGTCTGTATTTATGAAGCACCTCAAGTACGCCTTTTTCAATTAGCTTTTTGACTATATCCAATATATAGTATTTTACAGTGATACATTGCTGTGTCCCTTTTGATATTTCAGGGTCCATACCCATCAGTTGAGTTTGGTCATTTTATAGTGCCCCCTGTTCACCAATATAAAATGTCCTGTTTTGTGCTGTAAAGAGGACAGTGTGAGTAGGATTTTTAAAACCATATTTTCTGTTGCTTCTAATGCAGACTCAAGAATGAACACTCCGTCAGAAACCAGTAAACCTGTAAAAATGGAGAGTGGTGATGGGGACACAGGTAAGAATAAAATAATGGTGTGATTTCCTAATGAATTCATGGATTTGGAAGGGGCAATTTTATTCTGGTCTGGTTTTATAATACATTGAAGAATGGTATGTTACAGTAAAATCCTAACCGTGTATATTCAGAAATAAGTCCTATTGAATTCACTGGGTAAGTTGGGTTAGGGTTGCAGACTTAGCAGTGTTTTCTAAGTATATGAAACAGCACTTACTTCTTAGTTCTTTACTCAGTGTTTGTTTTGTATGGGACCTATGCATTGGTAGTGTGTAAATGTGGACTAGTAATTATCATAGATATTGTGTCCTGGAGCCTCCAAGCAAAGAGCTGGCCTTGGCAGATCCTCTTTTCATATTCTTTCTTATCAAATCCCCATCTCTGAATTTTCTTCTTGCACTAGAGAGACTGTTCTATCTAGGAAGCAGTCAGCATTCTGTGACACTGGTTAGCCACTTCCTGCCACTTTTGTGTTGCTGATAGGGATGAAAACACCACTATCTATGGAGTAGAAGCTGGGTACAAGGAGCTACTGATCTGCTGTGACTTAAGGGCTAGATATTCCCAGTATCTTTTTTCCTAGTACAGCTACCAAGTACTCATACTGGTGTATCTGTGTTAGAGCTCCTGATGTTTTATTTTCCTTATGGCTTCTTAATTGGCCCTTTTTTCAATATTGTAGTTGTCACAGCTCATTCATTAAGCAGGATACCTTCGTCTTCTTCCCTGGGGATCATGTAACCTTCTAAATATGAATAAGTATACCCTGCCTCTTGACCCTAAATGAATTCAAGATGGTGATACGAAATTCTGTGGCTGCTTATGACCTTAACCTGTCACAGAAGTGTTTTTGCCAGTGATAGCAGTGCATCCCAAAAATGTTTGTTGAAGACATTGGTGTCCTTTGAAATATAAAATGATTAGCTTTTACAGAAACTGACACAGTATTGAGGTGTTGTGATATGTGATATGGGTTCATAAAGGGTAATACCTACTTCCTGCAATTTTCATACATTTGGATGGGGCCCTAATTTTGTGTGCACATCTGTTACCATCGTTGAGTTTGCAGAGCCATCTGTTCTTGTATGTCCTCTCCATGCTTCCAGTTCTTTCTCACATTGTAACTGTGTCCCCTATTTCCGTTGAGCATACGGCAGACCATTTTTCTCTGGATGACAGCCACTTTCTCGTTTCATAGTAATTCCATTCCAATGTGGTTTTTGCATTTTTAATCTTTTTGTACCAATGCAGGCTAGATAAGAAAGATATTTTATTTTTATTTCATTAAATTTATGCACCACTTGATTGTAAAAAACCCTGAAAGCAGTTTACAAGAAGATATAAGTATTAGTTAATCTCTTTGTGATACATTTGGAAGCAGGTTTTACAGGTAGTTGGTTCATTGAGAAAACGTTATCCTTTTATAAATGAGTTTGCAGTAATTTTGTCTGTAGTTAACAACTGTGGTACTCCTTCATTCATTATCATAAACATTATTTTTCAATATTCACATCGTGAGTAAAATGAACAAGAAGCCATGATTCCAGGAAAGCAGGCTCCCACCTCATTCTAACCTGTTTACTCACAAATATGTCTCACAATATTCTGTTGGACTTTCTTCCTGTGTGTTAGGATTACAATTTAAACATATTTATGATGAGGCCATTGGTGTTGCAGAAATACTTTTAACTGCAAGAGTGATTGAATTGGGAAATAAATGTTGATTGTTTGGAATTGATTTCCTGAAATGCACCACCAGCACTGGTTAAGAGAAAATTTGTTTGAAGATTTTTCTGGAATGATTTTAATTCAAGCAAATTGTAGTTTTGAATTCAATCTACTAATGCTCTCCTGGTTTGGTTTGAGTTTCTTTAAGTATATGCTTAAGGCAAACAAATGTACATTGGTTTTTCTGCTTTTGCTATCTTGAAATATTTTGAGATTTGTTTGAGATTACAATTTGAACCTTCCCACTGGCCAAGTTAGCAATTTTATAAATATTGTGGAGAAAAGCCTTTTAAAGTATTACAAAGCCTTGTAGTCCATACATTCAGCTGCTCCTGAATCATCCTAGGATTGGATGAACAATTGTCAACAAACACAAATAGCGTTCACTTTGTATTTGTGACAACTTTTTACATTCATTGAGAATGACATAGAAGATGCATACCTAGACATGACCAGCCCTAAATGTGAACTACATGAATATTTACAATTTAATTCTAGAGTTGTATTAGTGTACTCACTATAGGGGTTCTTTTAGGGAAGAACTACATGTCATAAGTGTCATGAGGCTGCCCAAGATATAGTACAACACCCCCCCAAGATATAGTACAACATATGCCTTGCCCTCTTGTCATTACGATGTGTGTGATCTTTGTACGGATGTTAACTAACAATGTGGAGCAGGAACAGAAAAATGCAGGGCAATAACCTCAGAACAAGAGAAGTTGTTGTATTTGTTATGCAAGGTAGGAGGGAAGATTCAACCTGGCTCTGCTGTTTTGGCAGCAGCCAATTTCTCCCTTAGTGCGGCTGCCTCTGCTCTGTTATAGTTTATATAGTACTTCTGAAGCATTCAGTGCAGGGATGAGGAGGGGGGCCCTTCAGCTAGAGGATTGCATTCTGTTGTAGGCAGCTTTCTAGGGGCTACACACCACTGGTGGACAGAGTTAGAGGCAAAAGTGAGAAGAGCCCAGATACCACTGTTACCTTTTTGCAGTAGGCTATGTCCAAGCCTTAAGGGACGCGGGTGGCACTGTGGGTAAAACCTCAGTGCCTAGGACTTGCCGATCGCATGGTCGGCGGTTCGAATCCCCGCGGCGGGGTGAGCTCCTGTTGTTCGGTCCCAGCTCCTGCCCACTTAGCAGTTCGAAAGCACCCTTAAGTGCAAGTAGATAAATAGGTACCGCTTTATAGCGGGAAGGTAAACGGCGTTTCCGTGTGCTGCTCTGGTGCCGGTTCGCCGGAGCAGCTTCGTCACGCTGGCCACGTGACCCAGAAGTGTCTGCGGACAGCGCCGGCTCCTGGCCGCTAGAGTGAGATGAGCGCACAACCCTAGAGTCTGTCAAGACTGGCCCGTACGGGCAGGGGTACCTTTACCTTTACCTATGTCCAAGCCTTACAAAGTTGGAGGTTTGCACATAAACACAGACATTTTCCATCCAGGCATGCAAAACTCACTATCGTAGATCAAGGTCACATTCCAGACAACTTGAAAGTACTTGAGGATAGTGCAAAATAAGGATTGGGCGGGGTCATGACATAAGAAATGTCCCAAGGGCCAGGCAGAGCCTGAGGGACAATATTTGGTCCCTGGCTCTGAAGTTCCCAGTCAGATATAGAAGCTGGAAGAGCTGGGTTTGGCTGCTGAAGTCCCCCACCCCATGTCTAGTGTAATGTAAGGCAACCTGATTGTCAGCAGATTATTCAGCTCTGAGAAATATATTTTCTCCTCTCTTCAGTCCTTGGAAGTATCACCACCATTGATGTTACTCGTTGAGTTGAATTGTGACTGATTCATAACTTTCTAACTGGGCTCAAATAGACTGGGCTAGTAAGAGTTAAGCTGCAAAAGGAGAGTGGGGAGAAAAAGTAGAAACATTGCTAAGTCTTTCCTTGAAATTAGCTGTAGAAGTATTATGGGACTAGGAAATGTTATTTCCCCTCTTTCCCTTACCTGTTTACCTGTTATTATCCTAACTGGTACGAACACGGCTGGAAAGTTACACAATTGTTATGCATCCTTCTTTGATTTAAAGTGCCAATTGAAGTGTGAACATAGACACAATCTCTAGGACCAGTAGCAATGCCCTGATTATAAAACTCCCTCCTTTCTCATATAAGGTTCGTGCAAACTCTGTTGAGGATTTTGCACCAGCTGAAGACTCAGTTCTTCACCAGATCGTTGTTCATTCTATCTATATGTATTTTGCACTGATTTTAATGTAATCAATACTGGGGTGGCTTTGGCAATAAAGAACTGGTAATAGCCTATTTTATTTATTTAAAATATTTATCTGGTAGTATTATGCAGGTTGAATTTTGCCCATGGGCCTTCAGTTACTAATCCCTAGTTCAATGGCGAAGCGAGAAGGTATACACAGGGCCTTTTTTCAGCCCAAACTGACCGGAAATCAGTTCCGGCACCTCTCAGGTGGGCACCATTGTCATAATAAGAGAACAAGGGAGGCGTTCATGGTGAGTTGCTCTTTTTCTAGAGAAATAACACAGGGTATACTGTAATGTTGCTTTTACAGCTGTGTACTTTGTAGGAGAGATTTCAGCCAGTTTTCTAGAGCTGTTTGATATTATTTATCAAGGTTGTAAGAGCCAAGATGATTCAATAAATTGTAGTTATCTTCTGGTGGCCATGATGGAAGATTGGCATTATGTCAATTTAACTGCCTTTTAGGTTGCATCCACATGATTATGATTGCTGCTAGGAAAGCCTGGGGCTGTATTCAACTAAATCATTGCACTAGCAATGCTTCTAGCATAACCAGAAATGCCCCCCTCCACCTGCCCCTTCCCCAGATCTTCTCTGAAGAGTCAGGAGAACCCCCAAAATGGGGTGTGTGGGATGAAACGGTAGTTAATTCTGTCAGGTTTAAATACAACCCCAAGTAGGTTATTCTTTTTATCTCCTAAAAGCAGCAGTCATCAATGGAGCAGGAACCCCCACATCATTGGACAACCACCACACACATGGTTTCTAACTAGCAGTCTCAGAGCCTGTGGGATTCCAGAGGGGAAGAAACTTTTTAGAACGTTGTGCAACACAAAGTTAGGTGAAAAGCTGTGGCTTAATACTTATTACTGGTCCTCCAGCTAGATCCAGTTCCCTGCCTCTTTAGTAGGTCAAATGATAGAATTAAAATTCTATACCAGTGACTGATACATTAAACTTTTAGGGTGATACCCTTAGCCCATTGTTTTCATTAAGTTTACTCTGTGTATGACTTGGTTGGCTATTACCCCAGTCTTTGTTTCCATAGAATAATTCCACAGAGTTGTACTTTCTAAATCAGCATAATTTAAAAACTGATTATTTAGCACATTAATACCAAGCATCACTAGTATGTCCTAATTCTTGAAATCATTGCAGTTTTTTATAGGCTCTGGCCAAATGTTCCTAAGGGAAATTCCCTGCTCGTTGCTCCGATATATTGCCATATATTTGGAATGAGGAAGTGGACCTGCAACAAAATTTGTTGCATTGCTGTTTGCAGCAGTTTGCAATGCTGTATTCAGCATTCCAGTTATGCCTCTTTCCAGGATACCCTGTTGTATCCCACCAACCACCCAATTTTCTGTTCTCCCACCATTCAGCCAGTATCCTGTGCATTTTCAGAACTCATTGCACTGTCTTAGGGGGCAGGGGAATTTGAGTTCTCCCAAGTCTGTAAGTCGTCCTATGCATAGTTGCATGAGGTCCAACACTCCAACAATTGAGATCGCTATTATAATACATTATTACAATCAGATTTTTAATTTTTAAAAATGTTATTAGTATCCTGAGTTTAAGGCATAGCAACTTACATAATATTGACTCTTCCTTTATCAAAACAAGTACAGTATGAAGCCGAATAATACAGTGAACATGGTTTTTTAAAATAAACATACCTGGATGTGGACAAAGTGCATGGATTGGTCAGCACGACCGCTTGCGCTCTGGACCTTTGCCCCTCTTGGCTGATAAAAACTAGCAGGGAGGGGACAGCTCGCTGGGCCAGGGAGGTGATTCTTGCCTCCCTTCAAGAGGGTGTGGTCCCTGCCGACTTGAGGGAGACAGTGGTAAAACCACTTCTCCAGAAACCCTCCCTGGATTCAGAAATTACTGGTAATTACTGGCCAGTTGCCACTACCCCTTCTTGGGCAAGGTTCTTGATCAGGTAGTCATAGATCAGGTCCAGGCACTCTTGAAGGAAACTGATTTTCTAGCTCCATTTCAGTTGGGGTTTCTGCCCAGTTTCAACACAGAAAAAGCTTTGGTTGCCCTGTATGATGACCTATGTCAGGAGAGAGACAGGGAAATATGTCCTTGTTAATTCTTCTGAACCTCTCAGTGGCTTTAATAACATCGACCATGGTATCCTTCTGGAGCAGCTCTCTGAGTTTGGGGTGGATGGCACCACCACTTTGTGGTGGTTTGGGTCCTACTAGAATGGTGTTTCCAGAAGGTAGTCCTTGGGGAGTGCCCTTTGGCCCTGTAGAGCCTTCAGTGCAGGATTCTCCAGGTTTCGATTTTATTCCCCATGCTGTTTAACATCTACACAAGTGGGGTCATCAGAGTTTTGGAGTTTATTGTCAGCAATATGCTGAAGACACACAGCTGTACTTCTTTACAGGTGTGGTAGTGGATGTGCTGGACCATTGTATTGCCTCAATAATGGAGTGGATGAGAGCCAATAAACTGAAACTCTTTCTGGATTAGACTAAGGCACTGTTAGTGGGCACTTCCATAGACTTGAGGGTGGGAGGTGACTTGCTCTTGTGTACATCTGGATCCATTGTGTCACTTGAGGCTCAGGTGACCTTGGTGGTGCAGAGTGCCTTCTATCCACTTTGGCTAGTGGCTCAGCTGTGCCCCTATCTGGACAGGGATAGCCTAACTTCTGTCTCTGGTAACCTCTAGAATTGGAATACCAGTATTGGAACAAAACCCACCCTCCTCTTCTTTCTGAAGGCATGAGGTCGGATTACACCAGAGCTTACATATTGTTATAGTCCATATAATTTATGTAGTGACAACATTCAATACTATTTTTGCTTCCATGCTGTCTCGGTCTTACATTGTTAGACATAAGCCAACCTTTTAGCTTTTCCCTGTCACATTTTGGATGACCCAGCATCATATTGAACTTAAGCTCAGCAATGCTAAATTCTTAATCTCTTTTCATTCCTCTTATCCTTTTCTCCCTTAACCCCAGTGGTATTTTGTATTCATGTTCTTTTCAAGCCCGTAATTTGGGTGGCCATGTTAGATTTTGTTTTATCCTTTTCTTCCACTATTTACTCTCATGCTAAACTTGTCATTTTCATCTTTATAACATTTCTAAATCTTTCTAATATAGCCTTAGCCCCTTTTCTCCCCCCCCCCAACATAACACGTGTCTTGATTCTGCTTGATTCCACATGTCTTGAGGGTGCTGCCAGTTGATTGTTGAGCCCAGGGGGGCGATAAGGTGAAAAGGTGGTGACTTAGGTTTATTGGCCCTGAATTACTGCTCTTGCTGACATGTAGATAAATTGGCAACAAAGGTGTGAATGAATCTACAGATTTTTCAGACTTGACTTTTGAGGGGAATTTTAATAGAATATATCTTTCTTTGCATCCCCAGGCACACAGACAAATGGCCTGGACTTTCAGAAACAGACTGTGCCTGCCGCGGGGGCAATATCTACAGCCCAGGCCTTCCTTGGACACCTTCATCAGGTAAATATTTGTTTCTTTTTATTCTGAAATTTGGAAGGTAATATAAAGGGTTCCTCTCTCTCCGCACTATGTTGGCAAAACCAGAAACAACAAAGTAGTGCAAGATTGGTGTCTTCTTTTGGAGGTATGCATAGAGGCTACCAAAGCTTTAGAAAGAACAGCAGTGTCTTTTATCTCAACATAAGAAAGGATGATTTACAGGCCCTCTGAGTAGGCCCACATTGCACAGTGTCTCATATGGCCATTTAGAGGTCTTTGTGACCTAAAACATAATTTCACAGTACATGGACATTTTTTGTACAACTGGATAATAGATGGGACCAGTTGACCGTATGGGACTAGTAGGCTACATTCAAATGGGTTTCCAAAGAATCAAAGCTATCATTCTATGTGTCAACCTGTATGGTAGGCATATCTGGAAATAGAGCTTGTTTTCACCATTCTATGTCTGTCTTTCCATTTTCTTCTGAGAAATGTGAATATTCTTACCTAGGAGTGAGAAACGTTTTTCAGCCCGAGGGCCACGTTCCCTTAATGGGGGTTGCATGTCATTGGCAAGTAGGCCTACAGGCAGATGTGGGTAGAGACATAGTGGGTGGAGCAATTAATGGGACTCTTACCTTCACACAGCAGGCAACTTTCCAGCCACACAAAAGCCTGTGGTTTCACATCCCACCCCACCCATTCACCAATATCATTCATTCTGGCAAGCAAGAGGCATGGACAGACTTCATTATACATTATAGCCAGGCAAAAGCAGTTCAGGAGGCTGTACAGGTAGGTTTGGGTATTTGTGGCCTGGGCAGAGTTCTGCAGGCGGGGAGTCCTTTCCTCAGAGTACAGTGGTACCTCTGGTTACGAACTTAATTTGTCCAGAGGTCCATTCTTAACCTGAAACCATTCTTAACCTGAGGTACCACTTTAGCTAATGGGGCCCACCACACCATTGCCGGGCGATTTCTGTTCTCATCCTGAGGTAAACTTCTTAACCCGAGGTCCTACTTCCGGATTAGTGGAGTCTGTAACCCGAAGTGTTTGTAACTCGAGGTGTTTGTAACCCGAGGTACCACTGTACTTGGAAGTATGCTTGCCTGCTGATTTCCTGACAAAACTTGAAAGCCATCTAATCTGAAAGGACTGTGACTAATGTGTTTTCTGTCTTAGATTTTGACTCCATAAGAGTCTTTCAAGCTTGGGGAGGGGAGAGGGAAGCAACTGAGAATCCCAGCCCTTTGTCCACCTCCTCTGCCTACTCTTTTTGTGTATCACAGCAGCTACTGAGTTGGTGGAGGCAAGTTAGGTTTCCAAGCCCTGCTGCTTCTCCTCCCTAAACAAAACATTGTTTCCAGGCTCTGAGAAGCAGATGAAAAATGTTTCCATTCCCCACCCATCTCAGGTGTTGCATTCGAAGTAGGGAAGAGCAGCTTAAGTAGTGCTCTGTGTTGCCTCTTTCCCTTTTGAATCTGGTCCTTTGGGTTTTTGTTTTTGTTTTAGTGATGATGAGAAACATTGGTCCACCATAACCTTGGAGTTGCCTGAAGGAGGGGCATACCATTCTTCCCATAAGTTCCTGTTGTGGGTGTAGGCAGGTTTGTTGTCCCCAAATTGGTTTATACTCTTCTTCATAGGAATGAATGGCAGCCGTTTACTTATATACCCAGGCTAGGTAGCACATAACCACTTGGGAACATTGGACCTACTATGCCCTGAGAGAAAGCATCAGACAGGAAACTCAGGCCAAGAAGATAGTTGCATCTGCTCCCAAAGTCAGCCTGTGAATATTTTGTACTGCTTGCTTATGTTTAATATCTTAAATTGCAAACCACTCTGGGCAGCTTGGTCAAAAGGCAGTATATAAATGCAATAAATAAATACAGTAGAAAAGAAGGGTGTGAACTTATGGTTACCATGAAGGCGAAACACCAGAGAGATAAAACATGTCTCCTGCTGGTTCCAGTGTCTTAAGAGGTCAGATATGATCCCTTATTAACAGACACAGAGACTTCAGCTTATCTGCCTGATTTGAAGTCAGTAGGAACCATTTGAAAGCAGATCTAGCTATGTTCTGCACATGTCAGGTGTGCCTTAATCACTTTCATATTGCGTTACTTGCATTTGGCATGGGGCTGCCTTTGAAAAAGTATTCAGAAATCAGTTGGTGCAAAATACCAAAGGTTTCCCCCCGCCCCAGGTAACTTCTGCTTTATTGGCTTCCAGTTCATTTCAAAGCCCATTTTAAAAGTGCTGGTTATTGTATTAAGAGCTACTAATAAAGCCAATGCAATTTCATTGCACTTAGGTTTGAGTAGTGAAATATTTTTCTCCGCATCATTTAAAATTTATTTGCTGTGCTGCTTGATGCTGCTGTATAAATTGTGTGCTTTATTATGTTGTTTCCATTGTTGCTGCTGCTGCTTAGCAGCCTTGGGGAATAAAAATAAATAAAAGAAAATATTTGCATAGTCTCACTCTTTCATCTTTCTATACTTGCCTTGGTTCCTATAATGTTCCTTAATGTGGAGTGTGCTTGCATTTTGTTTGTTTTTGTGTGTGTGTGTGTGTGTGTGTGTGTGTGTGTAGAAAGAGGAAAGTAGATAGGCTGGTGAATGGTGATGCTGACATGATGGCCATAATATGCACAAGCATGTTCAGAAGAGGAAGACCAAGAGGATAAATGGTCTGGAAGCCTAGCTTTATGAGGAACAATTGAGGGAGCTGGGTCTGTTTAGCCTGGTAAAGAGGAGACTGAGAACAGATATGATAGCTATCTTCAAATATATAAAGGAAGATGGAGTAAGCTTGTTTTCCCCTGCTAAAGTAGTGGCTTCAAGTTACAAGAAATGGCTTCAAGTTACAAGAAATGAGATTCCAACTAAACATCAGGATAAACTTTCTGACAGTAGGAGCTGTTGGACAGTGGAACAGACTTTTCCAGGAGGTGGTTGACTGTCCTTCCTTGGATATTTTTAAGCAGAAGTTGGGTGGTCATCTGTCATGTATTATTCCTGCATCACAGGGGGTTGGAAGAGATGAACCTCAGGGTCCTTGCCAACTCTGCAGTTCTTTGATTCTATAACACTATTCTTTCATGCCTTTCACATATCATTATCACTCATGCACAGTCCAACAGTTGACCCAACGGTTTGACCCTCTCGACCAAACATCTGCCTGTCAAAAGTGTACACCACCCTCTGCCCCTAATGCTTGCATGCTGAATAATTTTTAAACTTAAAAGGCCGTTTGTAAACCTTCTGTACCCCTGAGCAGCTAAACCCTGAGCAGCGTTCATGTTGAGCAGCTGAAGCCAGTCTCCTTATGGCCAATAGCTATAGAGTTTTCAAAGGCAGCAACACATATTTACTGAAAGTTGTTCTATTTTCTCAAGCTTCACTGATTCAGCCACTACTTCCTTGCAGATCTGTATATTATGTGCTTTTATTTAATACTTCGTTCATCTCTTTATCAAAAAATTCTAAAAGATAACATACAGCTGTCCTTGACTTTAGCATGCTATATTTTTTAAATCTCAAGTGCCAGGGTATAATGAATCTTGAACTTTGAAGTGGCTACTGTGTTTATATGTTTATCCTGAATTGGCAGTTTCCCATGGTAAAACGAGCCAGAGTCACCTTATCATTCCATCCCTGTGCAGTATTTTTTTTTTTTTTTGCAAGGCACTATTTACAGCAGAAAGTTTTTGCTTTGGAGCAACTTCAGCTCAGGCTTTGGTTAAAATGGGCTTTTAGGCCTTTGCAATCAGTACCTAAGAGGCCTTTGTTCATAAGCTTATGCTGCAAAAAGAGCTGAAAAGGCCAAAAACTGGTAGTTTATTAACCTAGCCAATTCTCTAAGACAGCTGTGCATGATGATGCTTTGGAAGCCTTTCTCTAATTAATATGGTTGCTATCTCAGAATACTACAGGGCAGAAGATTAAACTGGATGTTGGCACTGGAGATAGGAGCTTTTTTGGAGACAAATTGCCTGCTTGGTGACAGATGGCATGTTGTAATCTTGTAGAATCTAACCCAGAAATGTAGGAACCATTTGAAGACACGGCATAACACTTCCTTGTATTGTTATTTTGCCTAGGTTATGCAAAAGGTAGCGTTGAATTAGTACTGTGTCACAGCTCATGGAGTGCAGGCTAACAACATATCTGTTTTGGAATACCTTTTCATAAAAGTTGCATTCCTTTTTTCTCACTTGACTTTGCACCTTCAAAATCTGGATAAACTGTGGCTACTCCCAAAAGTTTTTTGTTTGTAAAAAAACTGACATTCAAAGTTAAGATTCCACCTAAAGATTTTAAATGGAGCAGGATAGTTCAGATACCTTGCCAAACCATGGCTTGTCATGATGCCTGTAGCACCACCAGCCATCAGTCCATGGTTTGTGAATGTCCACCATACCAGGATTTTTGAAAAGTTCATGTAGTCTGGTTTCTCTTCAGATCGTATAAATCCTTTGCCTTTTACTAAAGGATCTTTGAAGAGACCACTGTTTGGATAATATCTGGGGATTCTTGGGAAAGGCAAGAGGAGAAAGTAACCCCAAATCATTGTTTGCCTGAACCTCTGGAATGCAAATTATCATTTAGAGTATAAGCTATAGTTATGGCAAACCATGGTCTGGCATTAGATCAGAATCAATGCTTTATTTTTTTAAATTCTAATTATCTCAGTGGTCTTAGGTGTTTCAAAAACTAGAGAAACTTTCTTTTTCGTCTATTTTACTTCTCTCCAGTTTTGTGTTTTTAAAAGTACATCATTTTTATAGGTTCAGCTCCCTGGATCAAGTTTACAGGCTGCTGCCCAGTCCTTAAATGTACAGGTAAGTGCTTTTGCGTCTGCATCAACCTTTTTTCCTTTCTACTTTTCTTTTTGCAATACCAGTGGGAGAGTTTGGCAGCCATTAACAAATGTTGCTCAATACAGAAGTCCTGTTTGACATTAAAAGATGTTTGAAAAACTCCCAAGAGTTGGAGCTGAAATAAGATGGTCAGCATGGCCTTACTTTAATCACTTCGGGTTTTTCTTTATAATAATAAAGATTTATAGTTAAAATCTGAAACTGGTTGCTCTTCTGTTCTCTGCAAGATGCAGCTGGCTGCTTAAGCTTAATTATTATTATTATTATTATTATTATTATTATTATTATTATTATTTATGTATACCCTGTCAATCTGGCTGGGTTTCCCCAGCCACTCTGGGCTGCTTCCAACAAAATATTAAAATACAGTAATCCATCAAACATTAAAAGCTTCCCTAAACAGGGCTGCCTTCAGATATCTTCTAAAAGTCTGATAGTTCTTGTTCTCTTTGACATCTGGTGGGAGGGCATTCCACAGGGCAGGTGCCACTACTGAGAAGGCCCTCTGCCTGCTTCCCTGTAACTTGGCTTCTCGCGGTGAGGGAACTGTCAGAAATGTACTGGGAATCATTGTAGGTCTTTCAAGACCGGTGTTTTGTGGTCTCGGCGGCCTCTCCCAGTCACCAATCTAGCTGCCGCATTCTGGATTAGTTGTAGTTTCCAGGTCACCTTCAAAGGTAGCCCCACATAGAGCGCATTGCAGTAGTCCAAGCGGGAGATAACCAGAGCATGCACCACTCTGGTGAGCAGTTCGTAGGCAGGTAGGGTCTCAGCGTGCGTACCAGATGGAGCTGGTAAACAGCTGCCCTGGACACAGAATTGACCTGTGCCTCCATGGACAGCTGCAAGTCCAAAATGACTCCCAGGCTGCGCTCCTGGTCCTTCAGGGGCACAGTTACCCCATTCAGGACCAGGGAGTCCTCCACACCCGCCCGCCTCCTGTCCCCCCAAAACAGTACTTCTGTCTTGTCAGGATTCAACCTCAATCTGTTAGCTACCATCCATCCCCCAGCTCCTAGCCCCTCTAGACGGTCCAGAAGGATGTTATGGTCGATGGTATCAAAAGCTGCTGAGAGATCCAGCAGAAGTAGGGAACAGCTCTCACCTTTGTCCCTAGCTTGCCGGAGATCATCGACCAGTGCGACCAAGGCAGTTTCAGTCCCATGATGAGGCCTGAATCCCGACTGGATGCCTTAAAGCGTTATAATCTACTGCTTACTGCCTTTCATTAAAATATTCAGGCAATACATCAAAGGGGAAGGAAAATAGTATTATTGTGAAGTGGCGTCATTCTCTATGAGTGCTAAGGAACTAGGGTAGGGCATTCTTGAAACCCCCTAGAACATGCACCTAGTTACATATGATAATTTTGAAAGGAGGCGAGATAGTGACCTTCCTCTCTAAAAGAGAGAGGCTGAAAATTGCCTTGGTTGCCATGGCAAACTTTGAGTCCCTGAGAGAGATGTTGGCAAACAGGCTATATCTCCAGTGCAGAATGTTTACAGTCCTGTGCTGTAATTATCTCTCAATGACTGGCAGAATTAATCAGAGCCTCTATGTTAATTAGCCTGCTCTGCAGTCCCCAAAACAGGTGGTAGAAAATATGCAAATCTATGCAGAATTTTAATGTTCTGCATAAGCAGTTTTAATTACCATAAACCCCCTCTCCTTGTTTTTCCTTTTCATGTGCTTTCTCACTTGCATTTTTCCCTCATGGCTACAGTAATTTCATCTTTCATAAGATGGTTTTAAATAAATGAACTGTGTTTGCCTATATAAATACCAAATTCTGTTTCTTAGAGACAAGATGTATGGTGAGTGTTTGTTTTTGTCCCTGGATGCAATTCAGCATCTAAGGTTTTTCAAGCTAGTACCTTGTTTAGTTTGAAATACTATTTTTATGAATTATTATAAAATGTATAAAAGAAAAATCTACTGCACTAATCCAAAACTTGCATGCTACTGATTACTGAGTTTCACATTGACTAGGAATTGGGCAGTTTGGTACAGGTCTGTGCAGATCTGTCTGTAGTATGGCAATGACTGGGAAAGCTTAGAAACTTTAAAAGCCGTGCCTTCAAATCAAGCACTAAATAGGAAATTTTCTTGAACATATGTGCATATGTTTTGAGGGGGCAGATCTGGAGGCCCTGTCTCTCTCTCCAACTACAGTCGAGCCCCTGTTTTTGTTAATAATTTGAAGTAACAGCAGCATTTTTTTCTTCCATTCTGATACGTGGAAATATTGGCTTACGGCTGCAATACCAAATTAGCATTTCTTCCCCCCACCTGTTATCTACAGTTACCTATAAAAACAAGTTGTTGAAATAAGCAGCTTTTTATCTTATTGATAACCAAAAATCTTGTTAATATCATCCCTCTTCATATTACAATAAACTATGAAAATGGCTGTGTCTACATTGATACCCATTCTGTTCTACAAAAGCTTGTATATTTTCTTTCCTAGTCTAAACCTAATGAAGAATCTGGGGACAGTCAGCAGCCAAGCCAGCCTTCCCAGCAGCCTTCAGTACAGGCGGCCATACCCCAGACCCAGCTCATGCTGGCCGGAGGACAGATCACTGGGGTAAGATGAGTCGAAGTGAATTGTAATGAGCCACCAACTCATGTTGTTGTATTAGACAGAGTAGATTGTTGCTTTATCATTCCAGGCGAATGTGGCCGGAGAAAATCTCCCTTTTGGTTTTATGGGTCTCTCAGTGGCATTTGATGCTGTGGATTATGGTATCCCAGTCCATGGACCTACCGTATTTTTCGCTCCATTGGACGCACCAGACCATAGGACGCACCGGATCATAGGAGGGGGAGAACAGGGAAAATTTTTTTTTTCTTGTTCTCCCCCTCTAAAACAAGGTGCGTTCAAGGTACATTCACCAGAGCTTGTGGGGCTGGCGGTGGGGGGAAGCGCTGCTTTCCCCCACCGCCAGCCTCAAAGATCCCTGAAGCCTTTGGAGCGCAGCACCCCGCTGCCCTGCAGAGGTTTGCGCGCAGCCGTCCCCAAGCTAGAGCAGCGAGACGGAGCTCTCCGTCTCGCTGTTCTGGCTTGGGAACAGCCTTGCTAGCTTCTGCAGGACAGCGGGGTGAAGGCACCCCGCTGCCCTGCAGAGGTTTGCGCGCAGCCGTCCCCAAGCTAGAGCAGCGAGACGGAGCTCTCCGTCTCGCTGTTCTGGCTTGGGAACAGCCTTGCTAGCTTCTGCAGGACAGCGGGGTGAAGGCACCCCGCTGCCCTGCAGAGGTTTGCGCGCAGCCGTCCCCAAGCTAGAGCAGCGAGACGGAGGGCTCCACAGTGCTCCGTCTTCCTGTTCTGGCTTTGGGCTTAGCGGCGCAGCCTGCATTCGCTCTATAGGACGCACACACATTTCCCCTTAATTTTTGGAGGGGGAAATGTGCGTCCTATAGAACGAAAAATACGGTATTTGCTTCTAGGCCTATATTGTCTGAGTTCAGCCTATCTGGAGAAATTGCCACATCTCTTTGAGATTTGCAGGAGGAAACCTTGTGCTATGTCCTCATACCATGAGAAAAGTTGTCTTCTGGAGCAAAAGTAGAACCCTCTCCATTGTAGCTTACCTTCTTGGAACTTTCTATCTAGGGAGGCTCTGTTAATCCTGCCACCACTATCTTTTAGAAATCAGGTTGATATATTAGAAATTAGTTGATACAATTGTAGATGGGGAGTAGTTTTTAAATTCTGTAATTTTATATTTGATATAGTGGTTATTGCTGTGTAATCAATCTGGAAAGTTGATATACGCAGTATGAAACCTACCATATCAGATGCTATTTCTCTACTTTGCTGATGAGCATAAGGGTGATTTTTAACACAGTATATTGATTCAAGAAGGCAACAAATTATAGCAAATTTCTTCTCTTAGATTAGTTGGGGGGGGGGGGACTGTTTGTCTTGCTCCAGGGGTAGGCAACCTTAAGGCCCATGGGCTGGATATGACCCAATTGCCTTCTCAATCCGGCCTGCGGACGGTCCGGGAATCAGTGTGTTTTTACATGCGTAGAATGTGTCTTTTATTTAAAATGCATCTCTGGATTATTTGTGGGGGCTGACTGGTGTTTTTACATGAGTAGAATGTGTGCTTTTATTTAAAATGCATCTCTGGGTTATTTGTGGGGCACGGGAATTCGTTCATCCCCCCCCCCCAAAAAAATAGTTCGGCCCACCACATGGTCTGAGGGATGGTGGACCGACCCACGGCTGAAAAAGGTTGCTGACCCCTGTCTTGCTACATATTTGCTTTCTTCTGTGACCTCCTAGTCACAGTGAAGAGGGGGAAAAAGTTAGTATCGCTGTTACAGACAATGTCTTGGTCATATTTATGACTATTTGATCAACCATATTACCAAAGTGCTATTGTTGATATAACCGCACTCTTAAGTTTGCTGAAATTTCCGTTTCCATACACAAAATGAGGTTTAAATCCACCTATTAACAGTTCTCATTGGATGGAGAACTCTTTATGTAAGCTATTAGTGTTTCTTTCAATTGCAAAAAAAAGTATGCTACAACAACTTGGGAGACTAAAAACTGATAAATCACTTCTGCTATTTTCAAAATTTGAGACATGCAATTAATCAGAGACTTTTCTCCCTATATTATTTATCTCTGAAAGGTATATGTAACATGTAAATCAAATGACACTGCTTTGAATTTAGTTCTATTTATAGGCATATAGAAAACTGCTTTATACCAACTCAGAGCAGTGGTCTGTGTACCTTAGTATTGTCTATATTGACTGGCAGTATTTTCTATTTATGCCAGATCCTTCGCCATAAAGCTCTACAAATGACTGTTTTCCATATGTAGTGGGCCTTTACTGTAATCTGAATACAGGTTTTTTCGTGGCTTTTACTTGTAGCACATTTGTATAAGCATACAGTAAAAATTAGTCCAAATACATTAAGTGTCATTTTGCCTAACTGCTCTTTGCTACATTGAAACTAGATCCAGGTCTTTGAAGGTAAGGGCTCTTTCTATACAGAAACAGGGAAGAATATTCATGTATCGAAGGGAGTCTAACGCCACCTGTTTCATAGAGATAATGTGTGTTTGGAAACCTGCAGAGATGTCAACCTACCAGCTCAATCCTATCAAAACAAAAAGGCAGACTGAAGAGGGGGGTTGACTTGGAGGGGAACAAATGGTGCACATGTTCCTCAGCTATATCTTAAGGCATAATGGAAATGATGAAACATGCCAGGGATTCATGCTAATGTGAAGCAGCTGGAGTATTATCAGTTTGTTTGGTAACCACAGCCAGTATTGCTATTTCTCATTCATCTGGCTAATCGCTTCTGCTTCTGGTGGGTGTAAATTTCCTTTCAAAGCCTGTCAGTGATGGCTTGTTCTTTTGCTTGCTATTTCCTGTCAGTGCTGTTTCTTTCCATTGATTGCTAGCTAATTACCTTTTTCACATTAATATTGAAGCAGTGCCACAATAATGCAGTGGTCACAATGATACAATGCTTATGCCAGTACCATTTAGATGAGGTGAAATATAGGTTGATAGATTGCTTGATTTTTATCTTACCTGGAATAAACATCTGCTCCCTGTATATGGTGGCTTGTTTGAAGGCAACTGGTCAGAAATAAATAGCAATGGTTTGTAAAAGGCATGATGTTTCGTTTTATTAACTACTGTCCTAAAACTTGTTCCTAGCTCACGTTAACACCAGCCCAGCAGCAATTATTGATACAACAGGCACAGGCACAGTTGCTGGCAGCTGCAGTGCAGCATTCAGCCAGTCAGCAGCACAATGCTGCAGGCGCCACCATCTCAGCTTCTGCTGCAACGCCCATGACACAAATCCCTCTATCTCAACCGATACAAATTGCACAGGTGAGCTTTGTCTTTCGAACCATTGATCATGTTGGCCTGCCCTAATATGTCTCTTTTGTTACTCTTTTGTTCGCAGTGCAACTGAATAAGGGCTTACAAGGCAGTGTTTTGAATACCTTGGCAACATAGTCTGCTTGGTCCTCTGATTTCCAAAGACCACACATCCCTGTTACAGAAAGCTACAAGTTTCCTTTTTTAAAATGCAGGCATGGCAACATTCAGGTCAAATAATCTGGCTCTTATAAACAGTTTTTACATTTGAGCGCTTGCTCTTTCCACTCCACTTGCTTTCCTCGTTGCCTGATTTTTGCAAGCCACAATTTGGTGTGACATCCAAAGTGGGTAAATTAAAGTTTATGCAAACCATTATTTTCCCATTCTGGTTTGGAGACAACCATGGTTTGAAATGAGTTTCTAATTCTGGTTTAGTAATAACATGTAGTATTTCAAACCCAGAAATGAGAGAGGACATTGAAGGGAGGTTGTGGACACAAAGCTGTTCACAAGAACCAAACCATGATTCGGCTGTTAAATCTGAACGAGACTCGCATATGCAGTTTGGTTCTTGATCCAACTCAGGACTTCATGGCAACCATGGGGCTGTTTCAAGTGATCATTGACCTGACACACAATGCAGAACACACTCCTGATTTGGTTTTTGCTCCTGGTGGTGAGGTTGGATGCCTGGAAATAAGGAGGTGTTTCTGTGCCCCTTTTGTCATCATCAGACTTCCTGGTCTGATGCTGAGCTGACACCAGTTCCCCCCTGCAGGGGTGGAGGACCAGTTAGGGTAGACCACTTAGGAATTCCTGAATGCTATAGGTATTTTCTGATGGGTGAAACAGGCAAACCTGCCAAGGCCCTCGTTTCACTGGGGAATGGTGATATGTGGAGGGCCATAGATATGGTTCCTTCTGAGCATCCTCTCAAATGCTGTGTTAGAGCACATAATCATGCCTACTTTGCAGTAGTGAAAGCAGCAAGGAGGGCCTACTTCACTGTCTCCATTGCACCATTGAATAACTGCCGTATTTTTCGCTCTATAAGACGCACCAGACCACAAGACGCACCTAGTTTTTGGAGGAGGAAAACAAGAAAAAAAATATTCTGAATCTCAGAAGCCAGAACAGCAAGAGGGATCGCTGTGCAGTGAAAGCAGCAATCCCTCTTGCTGTTCTGGCTTCTGGGATAGCTGCGCAGCCTGCATTCACTCCATAAGACGCACACACATTTCCCCTTACTTTTTAGGAGGGAAAAAGTGAGTCTTATAGAGCAAAAAATACGGTACATAGCAGAGTTCTTCAGAGTGGTCTGTTGGCTCTGGACCCCTGTATTAGTGAATGGAGCTCAGGAGCCCCCAGGGACTTTTGCTTTCTAGACACTTTAGAGAATGAAGTCACTCAACTCCATAATGTACTTGATTCCATGATTTATGCAGCTCCAAGTGAGATTTCCAGTCATCCACTAAGCCTTTTTGTGAGATCAGTTTCAGTTTTTGCAGCCTGCCAACATAAACAAGGTGCTTGGAAGTATGCTCCTATTCGTGGGGGCAGACTACTGCCAGCATATAGCTCCTTGTCTTTGGAATCTGCATTGGCTGCCAAGCTGCTTCCAGTCCAGGCAGCCAATACAGATTTTGGTACTAATGTATAAGGCCCTAAGCATCTCTGGACCAAGTTATTTGAGAGACTGCCTTACCCTCCATATGCCCAGCAAGTTACTTCTTTGCAATAGGAGCTGTTCTTGAAACCCTAAAAATATGAGTTCTAGCCATGACAATATGCTGCAGGGTTTTCAATGCTACTGTTTGTGTAACAGCATCATAATTTCCAGAAACAATTGAAGACATTCTTGTTTCAACAAGCTTTTCCAGCTAGGTGTGTGTAGGGATGGGAACTAGGTTTCTTGCCTATCTTTAGTTGATTTGTGTATTGTTTTATTGTTGATTTGTGTATTGTGTATTCTCAGTGATTTTTAGTATATGGTATCAATCACTTTGAGATGTACAATATATGAAATCAATGTAAAGTTAAATTTCTTGGACTTGTGTTTGTATGCTGCATACACACACACACACGCCAATGAATTTTTAATTATTTTATTTCTAGTTGCGAGTCTCCATGTGAACTCTGCTTTTGAGTGGCCTATAAGTACAGTTAATAATTCTGGTAGAACATGGTCACAAGGAGCAAAAATGAAAGTTGAGAGCCAGTGTAGTATTAGAATTAAACCTGGGAGACCTGAGTTCAGTTACCTACTCATTGGGTCACTTAGGACCACTTCCTTACCTGTCACCTTAACCTACCTTATAGGGTTGCTGATATATATAGATATATATATATATATGGAGTCCCTCACTTTTTCCACTGCAAATTGGAGTACCTGGACTTCATCAATCGGTTATAACAGAGCCCTGCTTAGCTTGTTTGGATTACTATTATAAATACATTATCCAAATAATTGTTTGTTTTTATAGCCCTGTTCTTGAATAATTGATTCACTGACCTGATCTCCATTTCAGACACATCATTATATTTAACTGATTTTACACACACAACTCTAGCTGCGATCATCGCAAGAAATCTTCTGTGAGAATATGAATAAATGAAATAAATGCTAGCAGGGTTTTTTCCTAACATTTATATAGTAGTATTTATAGCTCTCTGTTCACCTACTGGTAAGGCAGTTTACAGAGCTAATACAAATTATACCACATCCTGATAGCTATAATGTACATAACAAAACACAATTCAGCATGCTGTGAGGAAATTGTTTTTCATTTTTCATAATATGTTCTTACCACTCAAGTTCTTGCTATCTTTTTTTTATCATGGTGGTACAATGGGCTAGTGTTTTGAGTCTGTTGGCTTCTTACCAGACCTACAAAAGCCATCAAGTCAGTAGGATTCCGAGAGTTAATTCTCTGATGTGTGAAACATGGTTGATTACTGCCCAGACACCATATTGTTCCATGTTTACTTCCCCTCCCCCTCCCCCTCCCATATGATGAATATGTCCCCACATAAACATTGTGGGATTCACTTCTGTGGGTGGGACAGACTAGGGCCAAGAGGAAGGAGATGGTATGTACTTTCTCTCACCACTGTTTTGTAGCTGCTGCTTGCCTGGAAGCAGATGTATGATAAAGCAAAGGCAGATTTCCAGTAGCATCCCTCTGCTTGTACGATGCAGCTGGCATAAAATTCCAGCAGGTCTCCTTATGAGCAGGGTTGATGAGCCTGGTGAGCTGTTGATGGCTGCACTAGTCATTTCCTACCAAAGCCCCCATCACCTGCGGAGGGCAGATACAAAAACTGAAGGAGCCTGGGGACAAGCAGAGCTCCGTGGCAGCCTAAAACTTCAACATTTGCTGATGCTAAAATTTTGTTTCTATTAGTGAAATTGATGATATGCTGAAAACCTCAAGAGGAGGACTACATCCTTAAATCAATACTTTGCTGTTGTTCCTTCGCGTTAGCAACTTTTTCCAGGTCATTCTATGATTCTATGAATTAGTATATGTTCATTTTTTTATGTGCTATTAAATTCAGATGCCCTGTGTTTGCAGAGTAAGAATTTTGGATCACAGTTCTTTTCCTAATGGGTTTGTCTTGCTTTTGAAGGGGAGGGAATGACTGTTTAAGTTTAAAAAACTCTTAATTTCGTTTTGCTTCTTCAAGGATTTGCAGCACCTGCAGCAGCTCCAACAACAGAATCTCAACCTGCAACAGTTTGTGTTGGTGCATCCAACAACCAACTTGCAACCAGCACAGTTCATCATCTCACAGACGCCGCAGGGGCAGCAGGGTGAGCAAGACGTTTCCTAAAGGACTTAGGTTTTTTATAAAGATATTTTGTTGAAGGCAAACAAGCAACCAGAGGTATTTAATACTCAGGCACGTAAATTTTAGGGAAGATGTTTGTTACTATAGAGTAGGGACCATCTGGGTGAATATATCCATCACATGAGCAGAAGTCCAATAAGTATGCAGGCATGGCTTCTCTGGAATCCTTATCCTTTCCCTTCTTTAATATAGTACTCTTTTTCCCCTTTTTTACAGTTTTGGAAATAGTCAGCATACAGGACACCTCTTTTCCCCTATATGCCTTTATTTGGGCTAAAACTTTAGGCTACAAAAATTCATTTTTAAAAATTCTGTCCCACCTTTTCTGCAGTTGCTAGAGTGCTTCGAGTGTCATGATTGTAATGAACGTAAGAAGAGTTCTTCTGGATCAGGCCAAAGACTCATTTAATCTAGCATCCTGTTCTTACAGTGGCCAACAAGATCCCTATAGGAAGCCCCTACGCAGGACCTAAGTGCAACAGCACTCTCCCTTCCTGTGATTCCCAGCAACTGATATTCAGAGGCATACTATCTCCAACCGTAGAGTTAGAACATAGCCATTGTGGCTAGACGCCATTGATAGCCTGATCCTCTGTGAATTTGTCTAATCCTCTTTTAAAGCCATCCAAGTTGGTGGCCATCACTACATTTGTGGGAGCGAATACCATAGTTTAAACTATGCGCTATGTGAAGAAGTACTTTCTTTTGTCCTGAATCTTCCAACATTCAGCTTCATTGGCTTCCCCAGAGTTCTAGTACTATATAATAGGGAGAGTTTTCTGCCTGCCACACCTAATCTTATGCACCGCTCTCACGTCCCCACTCCCACCACTCATCTTTCCCCCCTAAACTTAAAATCCCTTTATGTTTCCTCAGGGGAGTTACTCCAACCCCATGATCACTTTAGTTCCCTCTTTTCTGAATTTTTTGTCCCAGCTGTGCAGTATCCTTTTTGAGGGGAGGTGACCAGAAACTGTACACAGTATTCCAAGTGTAGTCTCCCCATAGATTTGTTATAACAGCATTGTGATATTGGCAGTTAAATTTTCAGTCCCTTTCGTGATGATCCCTAACATGAAATTCGCCTCTTTCACAGCTGCCGCACACTGGGTCGGGTCAACATCTTCATCGAGTTACCCTCTACAACCTCAAGGTCTCATTCCTGGTCAGTCACTGCCATTCAGACCCCATTAGCGTATATGTTAAATGAGGGGTAAAAATTTGCCCCAATGTGCATCATTTTACACTTGCTTACAATAAATTGCGTTTGCCGTTTTACTGCTCTTTCACCCAGTTTGTAGAGATCCTTTTGGAGCTCAACAATTTGGTATTGTCAGCAAACTTGGCTACCTCACTGTTCACCCCTAACTCCAGGTCATTAAAAAGTAAAAAACAAAGGCCTCAATCCTTGTTGGCCTTCACTTTCTTCATCCTTGCATTGGGAGAACTGTCCATTTATTCCTACTCTGCTTTCTGTTTCTTAACTAATTCCTGATCCATAAGAGGACTTCTCTTACTCCATGATTGCGAAGTTTATTCAGGAGTCTTGGGTGAGATACTTTTACCTGCAGCCTTTTGAAATTATTAAGTCAACTTTTGAAAGTAGTAAGACAGCATGTCAACTGGATCACTTCTTCCGATATGCTTGTTGATACTCAAAGAGAACTGTAATAACACAGGACTTTCCCTTGCAGAAACTATTCTGGTTCTGCTTCAGCAAGGCATAACAATTCTTTCCACCAGTTTTTGTGGAACAGACGTTAAGATAATTGACCTGCAATTTCCCAGGAATCCCAACCCCACCCCAGATCCTTTTTTAAAAATCCACTGCCGAGTCCTCAGGTATGGAGGTTGATTGACAGTCTTCATATTTTTGTTATAAGTTCAGCAATTTCACAATTCAAAACTCTTGGGTGCCATCTGGACCAGATGATTTCTCAGTTTCTAATTTGTGAAAAAGACCTAGAACTTGTCACTACCATTTGCCTCACTTCTTCAAAAAACAAAACTCTCCATTAAAGTTTGTTCAGGCACAGGTGTCTTCCCTACATCTTGCACAGTGAAGACAAATAATTGATTCAGCTCCTCTGCAGTCTCCTTTTACTCGTTTAGCACATATTTGTCTCTTTCGTCATCCAAAGGCCTGACTACCTCCCTATGCAGACACCTGCTTTGAATGTAATTTTAAAAAAAAATGGTCAGTCCTTGTTTTTATCATTTATTGGTTTCATTGGTTTATTATTTATTGGTCTGTCTGTCTTTCTTTTGGACTAGACTTCCATTTTCTGAGGGAATCCTTCCTGCCTCTGATAGCTTCCTTGACTCTGCTCTTTACCACACCAGCATCTTAATGATCCTGGTTGTACCTTTCCAGATCTGTGGAATATATTCTAGCTAGGCTTCAATTATTGTGGTTTTGAACAACCCTGGGGATTCTGGAGAGACCTGTCCCTCTTGACTTTCAGCTTCCATTTTACCAATCACCTCATTTTGGCAAAGTTTCCTCCTTTGAAATAAAATGTGACTGTGTTGGATTTTATTGGCAATTTACATATATGTTGAATTTGATAGCACTGCGGTAATTGTTTCCAATCTGCTTAACACATCTTCCACCTGGTCCGGAGTTTCACTTAAGTTCTAAGTCTAGGGTTGCCACCCCTCTAGTTGGTACAATGACCACCTGTTAGGAAACAGTCATTTAGGATATCTAGAAATTTTATTTCTTTTTTATTACTAGAAAATGCATGTAGCCCATTATATGCGTAGGTTACTGAAATTTCCCATTACTGTAGCATTTTCTCATTTGGATGCCTCCTTGATTTAATCCTTTATTTCAAGATTACCCTGGGCATTTTGGTCAGGGGGATCCTCAGTGCTAAATTACTTTTGGGAGCTGTATAATGCCCCCTCCCCCATTTCTGTGAAGGAACCTGCCCCTTTTGGGGTTTCTAGCTTGTTGGACTTGTGTTCTCTCTGTTAAACAGAGCAGCCTCAGCTCTAGACCATGTATAGAGTCTGTATCCAGAGATCATCATGTCCCACTGGCACTCTCCATTCCACTAAGTTTCCATTATACCCACTGTATCTATTCTGTCATCTAACTTGGCTTGTCTTCTAGTATTATCATATAAATACTTCTACATAGTGTCTTCAGCACATGTGTTACCCTACAGTGCATCAAACCTTTGAATTGCTATCATGTGGCCCTGCATTCTCAATGCCTATTTCTGTCCCTCTCTCCTCTGAATACGGGTAACTTATGGACGTTTAACTTGTACGATTTAACTTTGCACAGTTGAAGGTGGTCAGTTGAAATCACACAAATGAAAAGCACAGAAGGCGGGAGCTTAAAAGCTCTTTTTCACAGCGTTTTCCCAGTGCAGAAAGAGCTTTTGAGCTGTCAGACTTGCTTACTGGGTTCTGGTAGATCTTGCAAGAGCTTCCCAGAGCCCAGTAAGCAGTTCAGTTCCTTAGTTTTTTTGGGAAATGATATACTTGAAATAGATTTCCTTCAGCAGACTTCTGCATAAAATACTAAGGAGCTATATGGTCTGTGCCCATAAGACACCATACTGCAGTAAATCAGTTTGATCAATAGCATTTATGTAATTTTTAAAATTCATGTCTCCTCTCTTTCAGGTCTCCTGCAAGCGCAGAATCTCTTAACGCAACTACCTCAGCAAAGCCAAGCCAACCTCCTGCAGTCTCAGCCAAGCATCACTTTCACCTCTCAGGTCAGTTTTCGATAAATTTTCTTATTCCTACTTGGTGGGGGTAGGATGAGAGAATTCAGGCCATGGTGCATAGCAAAATTTGTCCATTTTTATTATTCTAGGGAGACAGTGAACTGGTGGCTACCTCTCACTTAAGAGATTGTTGACATATTCTAAAAACCTTTGCACTTGTGCTGGAAAAGGTTGAGCACAGTGTGCATGTGTCATGCTATATTTTACGTATCAAGAAATTACTGGAAAATGTATTAACACATGTGGAAAGCAATGATTAGAAGTCTAGCTACTGTCAGAATAGGAATTGTGCTTAGATGCAACTTCTGAACCAGTCCTAAGTCCATCTGATAACACTTTGTCACATGCTAAAAAGCTTTATAGCAGAAAAGCCATAAACTCTTTCTGGAGCTGTTTTGGACTTTTGGGACTTTACTCTTCCCACTCACCCCTTTGCTTTGTTCAGTCATTCTCTTTTTTGCATAGTGAGAATAATTGGGAAAAAGTGTACTTCATTCTTAAGCAGAAAAATTAAAGGATCAGGAGAAAACCTTTGTTTTTATTGTCCTTTTAAAAGAATTGCTCTGTCGAATAAAATTCCCTTTGAGAATACTCTAAATTGCAATACCTATTTTAGAGTTGAATACAATTAAAATACAATGCGTATGCTAGAAAATAGTAGATACTAGCATTTACCAAGAAAAGCCATACTTTTTTTCTTAACCATGCTTTATTTCGATATGTTTTCTGACTTCACTCTTTGCTTTCTTATATTTCTTAGCAGCCAGCAACCCCAACACGCACAATAGCAGCGACCCCTATTCAGCCACTTCCACAGAGCCAGTCAACACCAAAGCGAATTGATACCCCCAGCTTGGAAGAGCCCAGTGATCTTGAGGAGCTTGAGCAATTTGCCAAGACTTTCAAACAAAGACGGATCAAACTTGGATTCACTCAGGTAAAATGGAAGATTTAAGATCCCTTCACAATGGGTAAAATACCAGTGTTCAGATCTGGAAGGACAGGGTCTATATCACTTTTCCTAATTTGTGATGACTTCTTATGTAGGCTTTTATTAGTGTCTGTGGAGGATTTGTGGATTTCCAAGTGAAATGCATTTTAATTAATGTCAAACAAACATAAGCCACCTTATACCGAGCCAGACCATTGGTCCTTAAGTTCAGTATTGTCTGCATTGGCTACTAGCAGTTCTCCAAGACAGGAGAACTCCCCCGTTCTACCTGGAGGTAGAAGGGATTTTGCATGCAAATCATGTGTTGTACCATTGAACTACAGAGCTGCCACTTCGGATGGGTTCTGTACAGAAACCACTTTAGTCATCCAAATGGATTAGCTTTGCAAGGAGATCAAGGTGAGTTTACCCCTACGAATTCTCCTGGACCTTTTGGAAGCTTTTGGTGCCATCATCCACAGCATCCTTTTGGACTGCCTGGCTGGGATGAGAGTGAATGGCACAGTTGTTTTATTACTACCTGGTGGGTCAGGTTCAGAAAGTGGTACTGCAAGACTATGGCTCCACACCATAGCATGTATCCTGTGGGGTTCCATAGGCTTCTAATTTGTCCCTCTGGCTACCACTGCATCACAGGTAGGCAAACTGTTCCTCGTGACTCCTAAAGCTGCCCCATTCCTCCATCCCATCAAAGTTCTTTCCTCCACTTTCCCTTTTTTTTCCTTGCTCACCTCCCCACGCCCACCCTTGGAGCAGAAATCTGAGAAGAAATTGGTGGGCTGCTGCCTTGTGTGCATTGTACTGAAAAGAATACCTCTATACTTATTTGAGAACACCTCCATCAAATCTAGTGAGGTTTGTTTCTAAATAGGGCTGAAGATCAGAGTTTCGGATGTGGTGAGTCCATGGCCTTCACTTTGTACACAGAAGTAAATATCAGTGGTATAAAATTCTTTTTACAAGCTTAAGCTGGTGCACATGCTGTGATCCTCCTGGGCAAAGATAGCCTGACCACTTTTCTCTATGAGAAAAGTTATAACCAAAATGACCCATTGCAACACACTTTATGGGAGATGATATCTCATCAGTTCCAAAAGAGCTCTGTTGGTTCCTTATACATTTCTAGGCTTAGTGCTGAGCGTTGTAGCTATAAAGGGCTTTACAGGCTTTCTTAAGGACTGTCTACTCCTGTACAAATCTGTCCATTTCTGAGCTCACCTGAGGATGCCTTTCTTAAGGTTCCCCCACCTTTTGAGAAAAGCATGGTAGTAATTAAGATTGGACTTTCCCTGTATTGACATAATACTTTGGGCTTATGATGATATTTTTAAAGTGGTCTTGTGGGTCCATACATACAGAAAAGCAATGCTAGGAAAGGATCATCATAATTTTCCCAATAAAATTTGTTTGAGCAGACTTTAAAGAGAATCAACTTGTTTATGTTAAGCATATATGGATGATCCATGCTTCTGTAGCTTTTTCAGATGTATGCACTTGAAACTCCATTGAATGTATATCCTATGTGACAACCTAATCAATCTTTCCTTAACTGAGATGGACAAAAATTCAATTGTGGATGGAAGTTCATCTCCCCACCCCCCCAAGTCAAAGGGGCACCTTGTACTTGTCTGTTTTGCAGCAAAACATTGTACCACTAGGATGCCAAACAGCATAGTATTTACTTAACAATTATATTGCACAAGCTATATACATAATTAGTTTTTAATGATAGTGATTGCTTAATTATGTGAGAGGATAGTAATTAGAAAACTGAAGTAATAAATGTTTAATTTCTCAAAGTGTGTGTGTGAGAGAGAATTATTTGCCGGTGGTACAGTTAGTTATTTTCAGATGCTTATAGATTTATTGTTCTGTCTTTCAGAAATAATTACTGGGTTCAGGTTTATATAGAAGACTAATAGACTAATTGCCTATTGCAGTTCAATTCTCAAGTTACAAAAAAATCAAAAGAAGACTTTACAATTTAAAATAAATATTTAAAATAGGAGCTTAAGTGGTATGGTCATTAGACTCCTCATTGTATCCAAAGGTGGTGGATGTCCTACATAAACAAAAATAATTCAGTTTGTTAACCCAATTGTTTCCCAGCTGTTGTCAGTTTGATCTGTCATGAGTTGTACATGAATTAAATGAGTTTATGTACTTGACCCTCATACTTTGTATGTGACTATATGCAGAGGCACTCATTCATTGAGCTGAGATCCCTTAATGTTGGAAGAAAGTGCTTAACTTCACTTAACTGTTGGACTTGAAGGTTGTGGAAACTGATTTAGCCCTCTGTGTTGAGGCAGAATCCCTTAAACAGTTAAACCTTGGATCCTGAACACCTCCGTTTCAGAACATTTAAGCTCTCAGACGTTTTTCAGAAGCCGAACATCCGACATGGCTTCCGCTGAGTGCAGGAAGTTCCTGCAACCAATTGGAAGCCGTGCCTAGGTTGTCCAACATTTCGGAAGCCAAATGGGCTTCCGGAATGGATTACATTCGACAACTGAGGTTTGACTGTACATAACACTTCACCAGGCCTCCTCACCAAACAGGGTGCAGGTCAGAGCCTTTGACCAAGCACTAACTTTAAAATTTAGAAACTGTTCATTGCTAATCAAGTAATTGGCCTTTGAAGATGCAGAATTTGGTGCATTTGGTGACCTGTAGATAACATCTTTATTCCTTCTTGAGCAACACTTTTGCAAGATGGTCTATCTTTTACCAATTTTAAAGCATGTGTTGGGTATAAATTTGTCAAAAGGACAGTTTAATTCAGTGGGAAGCTAGCATACGTCTATCAACAAGACGGAAGAAATCTGAGTGTGTCTCCGTTGTATCTGTCAATAGCTTTGTAATGAGATTTATTTTATTACATCTGTCCTATAGAAGTATGTTGTTGAGCAACTTTTTTTATTCCCATCTTCTTTTCTTTCAACCGTGCAGGGTGATGTTGGGCTCGCTATGGGTAAACTCTATGGAAATGACTTCAGTCAAACTACTATCTCTCGCTTTGAAGCCTTGAACCTCAGCTTTAAGAACATGTGCAAGTTAAAACCACTTCTGGAAAAGTGGCTCAATGATGCAGGTGAGAATTTCCTTAAAAAATTCCTGAAATACCGCAGAACAACTCTGAATTTCGTAAAGATTTTTATTCAAATGCTCGTTGTGGTGGGGTTCAATTTTGTTATACTTACAACAGATATTTTCATTCTGTTCAGTCTGTTATGCAAGTGGAATAGATTGAAGAAGCATAAATAGCTACTTACTTGAGCGGTCTTTCTGAAGCGTTTGTACAGCACTGGCTCTGATGTGAAAATAATTGCACATATACAGTGTTTTCAACCGCATAATCATAAGCTTACTCTGGCACTTTTTATTCTTAAGACCAAAAAAATGCTCAAAAATACATGAGCAAAAATATTGGCTGGTGCATATAAAAAGTTAGCGGCTAACCCAAAATGTGGCAATTAGGTTTGATCAAACCTTGTCTCCTTCAGATATTGAGAACTGACTTTCCATCTAAGCTGTATAGTATGGCTTTTTAAATAGCAAGTACTGTTAGTTTCAGTATTTCTGCTACATAGGACCCATAGGCTTAGATACTTTCCACAAATTGAAGGGCTCAGTCTGTTTGCAGAATGGCTTTCGATCCAATAGTAGGGTGCCTCAACTCTCTTGAGCAGATTTGGAGGAGGGGAGGAACAGGGGGCTGCTGGGAGGAGGGATAATTGGTGAAACTTGATGGGAAGGTCCCATGAGTGGATTTCTGCTCAAGGCAGCTTGAGATCCAAGCCATAGAATTTTGGGATATTTGTTTGTTTGTATACTACCTTTCAGGACTATACAGTGGTTCACATTATAAAGGAAATTAAATTACAATATGAAATACACTATGTACAATACAGTGGTACCTCGGGTTACATACGCTTCAGGTTACATACGCTTCAGGTTACAGACTCCGCTAACCCAGAAATAGTACCTCGGGTTAAGAACTTTGCTTCAGGATGAGAACAGAAATCGTGCTCCGGCAGCGCAGCGGCAGCAGGAGGCCCCATTACCTAAAGTGGTGCTTCAGGTTAAGAACAGTTTCAGGTTAAGAACAGACCTCCGGAACGAATTAAGTACTTAACCTGAGGTACCACTGTAACTGCATGAAATACACAACGTACAAAACCAATAACCCCACATCACATACAGCAAATGAATAAGGTCAGCAGAGGCAGGCTGCAAACCCCTTAACTAAAGGCCTGGGATACATTTTTAACTGGTGCTAGAAACTAATTAAGGTGGGTGTCAGTCAGGTCTGTAAGGGAAGGGCATGCCACAATCATGGTACCTTTATTGAGAACACCCTCAGTTATGGGAGTGCAGTCTGGCATCATAAGGCCCAGTGCTGGTCATTCCTAGGTTGAGGAGGAGGAGGGGCCATTACATGAGTTAATGTGTAGTTGTTTAACCAAGTACTGTGAGTGGTACCTTTTAAAAATATATTCTTAGCATGCTTTAGTGACCGTGACTTGTGTTGACTGTTTTCAGAAAACCTCTCATCAGATTCAGCTCTCTCCAGCCCAAGTGCCCTGAATTCCCCAGGGCTGGGGATTGAGGGCTTGAACCGCAGGAGGAAGAAACGCACCAGCATAGAGACCAACATACGTGTGGCCTTAGAGAAGAGTTTCCTGGAGGTTAGTCAGTCTGTTGCACTGTGTGCTACTCTAACAACTGCTGAGTAGTTTCAGCATAGCATGAAATGATAAAATGGCATAAGAACAATTAAATAACATTATAAAAGACTATATTACCTGACACACTATATGAATCACTTGACCTTCTGTCCTTCCCATGTAAGAAGTAGAAGAGGAACTGGTGCATCTTCCCTGCTATGAGAGAGATATTTCAGATGTATCTGCAACAATTATAGGTAGCTGCTGGCTTTCATTGTTGCAGCTTCCCTGTAAAATGGGAATTCATCCTGTGTCCAAACTATAACTGAGCTCTTCTCTTCAAATTACTACTCTTTCAGAACCAAAAGCCTACCTCGGAAGAGATCACCATGATAGCTGACCAGCTGAACATGGAGAAAGAGGTGATCCGCGTTTGGTTCTGTAACCGGCGCCAGAAGGAGAAAAGGATTAACCCACCGAGTAGTGGTGGAACCAGCAGCTCGCCCATCAAAGCAATTTTCCCTTGCCCAACTTCATTGGTAAGAATTAACTTAAGTTATACCAGACTGGAAGAAATTAAAATCACTCCTATCCTCCTGGTAATGAGGTTGACATAATGCAGATTTCAAAATCTTAAGTTTTTATCTTTAGTGGTCACTGCTGTGTTCAGTACACCACCTATTGCTTCTACTTTGGTCCATATTGAAGAAGACTTCCTCCAGAGGGCTTTGAGTACTAAGCGAGCCATGAATTGTTGCTGGATTGAGCTGGGTGATTCACATGGGTGTTTGCGTTATACATAAGTTATACATAGCTTAATGATTTTCTCACTACAAGTAGCACTGTAGTATAGTTCTAAGCTTCAATGAATGAAAATCCAAAGCTATATAATAGTATGTGTTTGCTAGCTTCTATATTTGTAGGTAAGTAGTAAACATTTAAATCTGATTTCTTTTCCTTTCTAAGAAAGCTTAGCTGTTTTGTTCTGACCTCTAGGTGGCAACCACACCAAGCCTTGTGACAAGCAGTGCAGCTACAACCCTGACTGTCAACCCTGTGCTCCCTCTAACCAGCGCGGCAGTAACTAGTTTGGCAGTCACAGGTAAGAGAATATTCAGACTTCCTCAGCGCAGAAGTACTTGCTATTACAAAGACTAAAATTTAGTGACCTATTATGTCAGAGAATCACTGGCATCATTTGTATCCAGGGTTGTTTGTTAAGCAACAAGTTTTAATACACTCAGATCTAAGATAAACAGTGCCTTTTGGGTTCTGTTCACAATACTGTACTAACACACAGTGTCCACTGAGTTAATCAGTCCTCTTTTTCTTACACTTTCGCGCATTGCACTTTCATTCCATTCCACTGTCTTGTAGTTATAGGTCTCTTCTAGGAGTATTAACTATTTTAGTCTGATTGAAACCATCCTTTCAGGCACCACAGAAACCATCCCCAACAACACAGCGACTGTGATTTCTACCGCACCCCCGGCTTCCTCAACAGTGACATCACCCTCCCTGAGTCCCTCTCCTTCTGCCTCCGCTTCCACTTCTGAGGCATCGAGTGCCAGTGAGACCAGCACAACACAGACAACCTCCACCCCCATGTCCTCAGCAATTGGGACCAGCCAGGTGATGGTAACTGCTTCTGGGTTGCAAACAGCAGCAGCGGCACTCCAAGGAGCTGCACAGTTGCCTGCAAATGCAAGTCTTGCTGCCATGGCAGCAGCAGCAGGACTAAATCCAGGCTTGATGGCATCCTCACAGTTTGCAGCTGGGTAGGTATCTGCCATTCATAAAATTTGCTTGCCATTTTAACTATCTAGCCTTCAGGCATCAGATGTCAATACACTGCACATTTAGTACCTTTACTTAAAAATAAGTGCTGTTTGAAAATAAAGATTGCCTTAATTCTTTCTTTTAATTCAGTAGTTCAGCCCATCAGAGATTATTGGCACTTTTCAGGTATAAAAATGTTTGAATGCAAGTTTTTACATTTCTTGCCACTTTTAAGATCAATTTTAAAGAATGCAACCAGTCAATAATAAATCCTAGGTAGAAATGTTGCTGTAAGGATCTGCGTCCGTTTTTGTGATAAACAATGGGGGAAATTCGATTTGACTTTTAAATTCTAATTCTGTGTCTAAGACTGCTCACCTGGAAAGTCGCTCTGTCTTCAGTTTGTTTTTGTTTCCTGTTTTGGGATTGCAGAGGTGCCTTACTCAGTCTCAATCCAGGGACACTAGGCGGTGCTCTCAGCCCAGCTCTGATGAGTAACAGCACTCTGGCAACTATTCAAGGTCAGTGGACTTTCACCAGTCTTCCCATGTCTGTTATGTTTGTGTTTTTCATAGGGTTCTTTCCCCCACAAAGAGAGAAAGAGAGAGAGAGAGAGAGAGAGAGAGAGAGAGAGAGAAGCTGCAAATCCTAAACCTCCTTACTTGGAAATGTCATACTGGAGAGACTTGTTTCTACATAAACATTTACCTTTATATATTTAAATCTCCATCAACCACACATGCACACTTCACACTCATGACAATGAAGGGGTGACATATTTTATTCCAAACTCCTTTTGACATTCAGAGATAATAATTAGTCTGAGTAAAATCAGTATATGAAAACACCCTTGTGAGGATTTTCACTTAGAAGCCTCCAGGGAAATGATCCACCTTTATACATCAGGATCCTCTCAGACCTTCTTTCAGGAATGAATGCGACACAGTTGAAGGCTGTCACTCAAACACTTGTGAGTTCCTGATACATTGGTAAGAAACCTGAAGCATCAACTGCATGATTGCTATTGCCTCTTATCACTTTATAGGAGGTGATCGTTCAGAGAGGCAGCCAACACAATTCCAGTGCCATCCTGAGTCCAGAGAAGCAGACTATTAAATCCTAACCTAGTCCTTGGGGATAAAATTTCACCCCAGTGCATTTTTTGAAAATCCAATGCTGTGTAAATTCTGCAACAATGTAGTCCATCTAAGACATTGTTGCCTGCACAGTCATAAACAAACAAGTACATTTTATTCATAGCGATATGTAGCTCTTTTACAAAAGAAAAGTACATATATGTGCAAATGTTCTCGGTGTACAAAAATTCCTTTTATTAATATTCATAATCAAGCACTTCATTTGTTTGCATATATTTCCCTCCACCAAACCAAGCTAGCGACTGGTCAGGCTTTGCAAGTCAACAAAAAAGCCAGGCTGTAAACTGATCTACTCTTAATATGAAATATGAAATGATTCTTCAAAGTGAACAGGTACTCCATGAATTAATTATCAGAGCACAGAAGGTGAATAATACACAATGGCTTAAGCATTCTTCAGGTGGTTGAAAGGTGACTTCATATATCTTTATGCATGAGCCTTTATAATACTTTAATGCAGGGTTTGGGGAAGTTTTTCAGTCCCAGGGCCATTCCCTCAAGGAGCCTTGTGAGGCCCACATGCCACTGGCAGGTGAGGCCAGAGGCAAAAGTGGGCATAACAATGGATGTGACTTTTGCCTTTGTGCAGAGTTTGGAAAGTTCAAAGGTTTCAGTAGGTGCACACACTTAGCCATCGCATCTCTGCAACCAGGCAAACGAAAGAGGCATGTTTGCAGTTGAAGGATGAATTTCAGCTAGGCAAAAGCACTCCAGAAGGGTGTGGAGCAGGGCTGGTGAGGGATGTAGCCTGTGGGGAGGGGCATGACACAGGGACAGGATGTGGCCAGGGGAGAGAGCCCCAAGGGACACGTAGAAAGGCCCCAAGAACTGCATTTGGGCCCTGGGCCTGAGGTTCGCCATCCCTGCTTTAATGGGTCTTCACGGCACCTGCCTTTTCCTCTGTGGTGAAAATAGTTTATTTATCTGGATAATAAAATGGTCAGTTCTCAACCCTCAGTCACTCTAAATCCACTCCAGCTTTTCCTCCTGATGTTGAGATGCTTCGTTTACTATTTTTGGAGGGTTTGTGTGTTTGTTTGTTTGTGTGTGTGTGTTAGCATCCATTGGTAATCAGAAGAAAAACTTCAGTGCTGCTGATGTGTGGGGCTGTGAATGCTGACATTTTCCTCTGCCCCTCTCTAGCTCTTGCATCTGGTGGCTCTCTTCCAATAACATCACTGGATGCAACTGGGAACTTGGTATTTGCCAATGCTGGAGGTACGCCGAACATCGTCACTGCTCCTCTGTTCCTGAACCCTCAGAACCTTTCACTGCTCACCAGCAACCCAGTTAGCTTGGTCTCTGCAGCTGCAGCCTCCGCAGGGGCCTCTGGACCAGTTGCCAGCCTTCATGCCACCTCCACCTCAGCAGAGTCTATCCAGAACTCTCTCTTCACCGTGGCCTCGGCCAGCGGGGCTGCCTCCACCACTACTACTGCCTCCAAGGCGCAGTGAGTTGGACTGAGCTGTGCTTACCCATAGCCTATTTTACTCTGCAGTGAGATGGGCTGCCAGCTGGGTTTACAAACTGCAAAATGTGATTGGTTTCCTCTCACCGTGTTGCTGGGGACAAGGGAGAGAAGGAAAAATACAAAAGGAAAAAAAAAAACCAAGAAGAAGGATTTAAAACTGGGACAAACATTTGCCTAATTTTATAATAAACACTGTCTTTTCAGGATTGCTTCATTGACTGGAGAACTTTCTAACCAAAAATGTATAAAACAAAAAAGGACTACTTATCATTTCCAGCAGTATCAATGACAAGTTAAGGTGGGTTATCAACTCAAACGTAGGAATGGGATTTCTTCTTTCTTTTTGATCTAAATATCTTTTTTTAATTATCATTTATTGGTCTGTTGTACAGGCCATAATGTCATACAAGGTGTTTATAATCTTATCAATCGTGTTGGGGGTTCCTTTCTTAACTGGTACAATTTAGGCAGGCCTGTATTACTGATGTATCTCTTTATGATTATTATTATTATTTTTATAAATATATATATATATATATATAGTTCGGACACATTTGTCTGCTCCTGGAACAGTTTCAGTGAGCTCCCATGCCACACAGAGGGAGGAGCAAAGAGAGGGAAGCATGTGAATTGCGAATGTTCTTTAGTTTCCTTTTCCCTGGCGGTATGTTTTTCGGGATTCTCTCAGAAGTGTTGGCGGCTAAGTGAACATACAGAGGGTAATGTGCAAAGATAGTCCATGCTTGTGAGATGGGCGTTCTGATTGGACAGCTGTTTGCTCAGCACACTTGGGCCAAATCTAGCTCTCATTTGCACGTCTTTGGCTCCTGTTGATGCCAAGGGAGGAAGGATTTGGCCCATAGGTTCTGTCTTCAGCATCTGTGCTGGCCACTGTCTTGTCTCATAATTGCATGGAATGGCCACTTTACAACTGGGAATATTTCTGTTATTTACTTTCTCAGGAGGCTGCCTGTATTGGTGATAATTCATATGCATTCGTTGAACCTTCCTACCAGCTGTTTGGCATAGGATTTCTGAACGCTGCATTGGTTCATCTCTAAGAACTTACTTTTTCCAGTGTCTCCAATATGATTGTACTGAAAATGTTTTCAACTTAAAACATTTCTATTCCAGAAGTAAACTAGGTCATGTGAACAAGTACTGTTTTATGCCAACACAGCAGAGCGTGCTCCGTTCTAAATAGTTTGTAATGTTCTTTGACACTGTTCACTGCTCTGGAAAAAGTTGGTAAGGAATTCTCGGAAAGCTGACCAGCGTGCCGTGGAGAGTGTTGTCTTTCTGGTGAACACTGGCATGTTGCATGCGTCTTGCAATATTTCATGCTATTTCTGGGTGATGCTGCTGCTAGCTAGATCATTTATGGCAGTAATAAACACCTCTACTAGAGAGGGGGAAATGTTTCCAAGCAACGTAACAAGTGGTATGCGCAAACAGCTGCTGACAATGGATGAGAGAGAGACTGAAGAGACAAAGATGAACTTAAATGTTATGCTGGTCTGAATCTAAATTTTTTTTGCTGAGAAGAGATTGGATGACTGCAATGTACTTGGAACTCTCCAATCTCTTTTTAAGGTGAATTGAAAAATATCTTCAAGAAGGAGGAGCTGCCCAGTTTTTCTTTTCACTAAGCCTGGGGAGAAGGGGAGTTCTAACACTCATGTAATTATATTGCATTTCATGCCAAAGGTAATTATTTAACCTCTCATCACCTGGTATCCTTTATCACCTGATATCATGATGGCAGTAACTTTATTCTCACTTCCTTCTCTGGCTGCTGATCCCAATTCAGAGAGCTGGCATTAATGCTCAACTAGCAGAAATCTTTGTCTCTTCTCGCATACCGTCATGCTGTTTGCTCTCTGTTCGTCTCTGAATTTCCAACTTCCTGTTTCACAAGCTATTTAAAAATAATGAATTCTTCCTAAAACTTTAAAAACTTGTGAACTGTAAGCAGGGAAGTGAGCAAATGTCCGTCCACCGTCTTATGTGTGTTTGATTTTTTTTAATGTTTTATTTTTTTAAAACTAAGCTTGAACCAAAGTCAATTTCTAGCAAGCTGCTGTACTAATGGACTAGTTTGTATAAGTGCAGTTCAGATGCAGAGAGGTGATAGATGCTACTGACAATTTCTTTTCATTTTTTATTTTATATAAAAATTGCTGCTTGTTTTAATCTTTTTTGGGGGGTGGGGGTGGTCTTTTATATATCCTTGGGGCAGACAAAATCTCAACTTGATTATTATCTAATTTCCGTGGTTTGGTGTGTAAATAGAATGGCAATGGCAGATGGTTACTAATTCAACTGTTCCCACATCCTCCTTAGCAGTTTGGCTCAATCTATATACTGTGGTGTGACTGTCTCCATGATTTCAGTCTCAGTTTAAAAATATAGGGCTATGAATAATACTGTGTGTTAAGGTTTTAAGTGGCCCATAGCAACAGCTTGGAGCAGTCAAATGTATGAAAGGATGGCAGAGGAGAGACAGGTACCCACTATGTTGGTCTCAAGGCCATAGTGTTGACTAGTTTCTACCAAAGGAAATATCAATCCCATGGATTTTTTATTTTATTTTTTTTGTCCATTGAAATCAGATTTGTGTTTTTTGGCGCACACACATCCATACATATATATTTTAATAGAGGAGATGGTGATGACTTCTGAACTGTGGCATTTATTTAGCTATGAATTTCAAACATCAATGAGGAAATAAGCCCTTCATATTTATGTACAAAAAATAAAGAGAACACAGCCCTGTAAATCGCCCCAAAACTCTCGAGGATTAAGAGAAGCTGTTTATTCAGTTGACTGGCTGCCTCTTCTTGGGTTCACTGTTTGCAGTTAGAGGACATGATGAATCTGGAACACTAATGTAGCTCAGATGATGGCCATAAAAATCTTGTTGTAGTATTCACAGTATTCACATATTGTTGGTGTGAGCACCTTTAATCTATATTTCTCTTAGATTCATGCCACTGCCACACTACTAGCAGATTTTACAGCAGGTTCTGGTGAAAGAAACTGGAAGCTAAAAACATGCAGCTAAAATGCTTTGGTTGAATTGTATTCATCCTACTTTACATATTCCATTCCTCATATCACTCATACCTAATGCATTGATGCTTGTTCACAGCAGCACAGAGATACCAGGATCTGAATAGCTGTCACTGTTTTGTGTTGATCTTGGCTATATATTTCACATGGCCATATTAACACACACACACACACACACACCCACACACACACACACACCTCTTCCCATTCTAGAGCTGCCAGCCCCAACCTGGTGCCCTCCAGAGTACCATTCCCATCGGTCCTAGCTGTTCTGGAAGAAAGGCTGTTCTAGAGAGATGGATAATCAGCTTCTGCAATACACACTTCAACAGAAAATCAGATCCAGATAATTGGAGAATCTGCCCTGGAACCTCACAGTTATAATACATTTCTCTTACCACAAAGCTACAAGGATAATCACAAAAGTCATGAACGTTCTGGTATAGTGAAAATTTTCTGGTCACTACCAAGTGCAATTCCTGTAATCCAAAACAATGTGTGATACCTGTGTCCCTAATATCCAGTACTAACCATTCTTCCATTACTGCATTAGTTGAACAAATTAGTCCAGCATTCCAGTGTTCTAGAGATTGTTGATTTTATTTTCATTTTTTCAGTCATGGGTTATTAGGCTGTCATTTCATTTCACACAGTTTCAGATCTGTTTCATAGGCCAAAGTCTGAAACGTTTGCTTGCAAACTTGAGAGATTTCAGTACACCTTTTATTACCAAAAAGGAAAGGAGTAGGTTAATCCTCATACCTGCAGTTTCCACAGTTGCAGGTTACTTACGAAAATGGCAGAGTTCAGTTCGTGTCCCTTTCAGATGAGTTGGAATGTTTCTATTGATTTTAGAGAAGCCAGAGTGCCAGAACCTTATTGGGTGCAAATACTACTTCCTTGAAAGGTGTGAAAAATGGGGATATATTGAGCAGACAAACCATTGGCAGATGAGTTAAAACATCTATTCAAGTTACCCTAAGTTGTGTGCACTTAGGGCCAGTGTGGACACTTTCTGTTGTAGGAGAGTTGTTCTTCCAGCTGAATACATAGCTTATCATACTGATGGACAAACTCGCAAGGTTCATAATTTCAAAGTAAAGTTGTTCTTCCACACCTTTTTGAATCTGCCCATATATACCAATTTGCACATTACATATTCCCATGTATGAGGCTTACACGTACGAGTAATGTCTGAATGTGCCCTTACTTTGCAGTGTGTGTAGATATAATAGACCGCTTCCTTTGTAAGGTTTGTGCTTATGAAGTGTTATAAATGTAAACTATGTGTGATACTCAACTATGCTTTACCCAGAGTAGGCCCATTGAAATTAATGGACCTAATGTAGTCGTTGTCCTTAATTTCAGTGCGTCTACTCTGCATAAAAATTAGTTGAGTACCACCCTATATCTCTACATTATTTTGCCATCTTGAGAATGTATAACTGCTCCATATATCTGCGTCAGGGTTGGTGGATGGGAGGTTAACCAATAATTCTGCAGGTCCAAGCAAGTCTTCCAGGCAGTCTAGCATCTCAACCTTCACTTGAGTGATAGATTGCTAAGACTGAAGAGCAAAGGCTGAGACAACGGTTATATAAGGTAGGGTGGAGTCTTATTGGCTCTTTGGGTCACCTTATTATGAACATTTGTAGTGCCAGAGCAGCAGAGATCAGCCCAACTGTTCACTCTTCCTGCATGCTGCCCCAGTAGCACCAGCAGTAAGATGTCTGGGCCATGAATTAGTTTACCTTGGAGATAAGCAAGCATGCCTAATGTAGGAATTGTCATTAACCCAGGGCACTCAGGAGTACCAGTGCAGTGGATTACAGCATATGACAGAAATGAGATGGAGACAGTTTCTCATAAAAGGGGGGATCTGAAAAGTTTTTGCTGTTTTTCCCACCTGCCACCTAAATATGCATGCCACGTGAATGTGAATGGACAGTGGTCATTTAATGTCACTTCCCCTGATGCATAGAGTTGGATCAGATGTAATACTCCCAGTATCTTAACCCTGACTAAGGAAGGTGGGCTGCAGGATCCCTGCGTTCATGTTAACCATGGCTCAGGTGAGTGCCAGCACAGACATTAACCGTGTTTAAGGCTGACAGAAAGAGGGTAGGGAAATTGCAGTCCTACAACCTGCTCTGCACTAAGTCTGTACCTGCTCAGAAACATTACAAAGTTGCTTTACAATGACATATTTATGTGAGTTACCAGAACCCTGATGCCTGAGCCTGTGTATAAACACGGCTAGGAAAAGCTACAAACGTGATGTTATGAAAATGGGTCGCCTGGGTGTCCTGTGATCGAAAAGCAGTTGTGAATGGTGAATCCATGCTATATTTTAAAAATAACTCCTAAGCTTCAATTGCCAAGGAAAATACCTGATTGATTAAGTTTAGTTTTATGTTGATTGTCATCTAAAACATTTTTACTGGATAAGTTCAGCCAAAGATGTTATTGATTGAAGTTATAAAGGAAGAACAGAAGTACTTATTGCTGAATTTCCGGTGCCAGAAACCAGGCTTAAGAGTCCATTGTTGCCTTATCTCCTTCCCTTCCCTATTTCAGTTGTATATTATGTGGGGTTAGGTTGGTAATATCACGCTTTAACTGTCTTTCTAATTGCTGTTCTAAAAACCTTGGAAGAATGTAGGCTGCCCATTACAAGATAAAGCCTGTATTTTATTTGCTACCACACTGATGGCTTATTTCAGTTAGTGGATGTTGGGCTATACTGCAGCCTAAGCAAAGACTGGCTCTGATGCAGTGTTTGGCACCTGAGGTGGAGGGTTCATGTGATTTTTGCATGGGGATTTATTTATGTTCAGGATCTAGTAGGAACTTTGTGAGACCACATTCAAAATGAACATATTGCATCAAATATTACATAGGAACTGTGAGCACTGAACAGATAACACATAGATTCATTCATTCATTCTTGTAAGTGATAAGATGTGGGAAAATATCACTCAAGTCTTGCTTTATGAACATTTTCCCCAATTTAAATGTAATCTTGCACTGGTTCCACTGTGGGGCCATACAGTTATGCTTGGGGTTTGAGCTGCAGGGGCAGTTAGCATCACAAGGATGCAAAATCCACTAACTGACTTGATTAGTGTTTGGTATAATTAAAGCTTTTGCTATGGCCTTGTTGCTTTTGGAGCCACACAAGTGTAGCAGCTATATTTACCATACAAGTTCCTTTATTAACCTTTCAGACGACACTTTTGTTACGTAGAATTATTTAACAATATCTTATCGATGGCTATATTTTTCAGTAACATAATTTCTTGTAATGGAAGTGCACATTTACGCAGATGCATCATTTCATCATATTCGTGCTGTTAATGACCTTTTTAAAAAAACAACATCCCACGTAGAAGTCTCTCTTCTGCTTTGAACATGTAATCCTTTCTCTCTGACATTAGGAGTATGTTTATGCTCGATCTGTATGTGCCTACATGCACTTTTTAGAAGATGAATTATAAAAGGGTTGTAGAGGTTCATAAATGTATATAGGTATAAACCATTATAGATAAAACACTACCAAAGGAGAATCTGGCTGGCTGATTATGGTTATTCATCTCTAACCAAAACTTCTCAGGACTCGTTAGCCAATTTTTTTACAAAGTTACAATCTAATGTTTTTTAAGCAATACACTCTTTTAAGACATTCACCTGCAAAGTTCTTGCTCCATGCAGTTATTAGGCCAAGTCGAACTTGCCAGTAGGGAGCTTTCTATTGGCTTAAGTGATAAAGTTGGCTGAGATCCCTGAGCTTCTTGAATGGACTTTGATGCCAAAGTCCATGCCCTGTATGAACAGCTTCAGAAAAAAAGGAATGCACCGGGAACTAGTGCCAATTTACCCACAGTCTTCTTACTTTTGTGAATGTTGTGGGATGGCGTACTGTCCAATTCGTAAACATTCACCCTCCCCAGTGTTGGCTTCATGTTTGGAAGGACCCTTGAGCAAGAGATCTTCCATGGGTTCCTCCACCTTCCTCGGTCCCTCAGCAAATCTCCCTTATCACTGGAGCAGAACAAGGAGACTCTTGGCAGTAGAGGGCCTTGGACAGATGCCCAGCCATGCCAGTCCTCTCTGTCTTTTTGCTGTGTGCCCAAAACATTTTCAGATTACACAAATTTAATCAAAAGGCATTTGATTAATAGTCTATGGAAAAATGAAACCTATATTTCATTTCCACTTTTCTAGGGAGACTTCCAAAAGTTTAAAATTCTTAATACAGACATCTATATCAATTGTGAAAGAAAACTTGAGATATATTGGACCTAGCATTGATTAGTTGTCGCAGCCTAGCCCTAATACATTTTTGAATCGGTTTTGCAAAGTTGAGTTCAGCCTCACTATCAACAGATCACATTAGTCTTTAATCCTCCTGGGATAATATGCAGGATGATAAGAGGTCTGTTCCACACATTTCACTTTCCTACATACAGATATAGCATCCTTTTAGGAAATTGCATCATAATGTGCAGTGCCTGTTGCTATTTTATGCATAGACATACTCTGAAGGCAAATTACAGTGTGTGACTCTTGAGTCACACTGGAATTAAATTAGCTTTATTCTCGAGAGAAAGAAAGGTCGTAGTCACACTGCCTGACATTGCTTTACTGCTATGACCTTTACTGACCTTTGTCCAAACATGCGGTATACATGTAGTTGGGCTGAATGTTGGCATGAAGCATGCCAAATGTTTTTGACCCTAAGGAGCAAAATGAAGGCTTCTCCTCTGACATAACTTGGGAGTCTCGTTCCACCCCTTCTTGTTTCTCTTTCTGTAAGCAGGCATTGTTACAGGATTGTAGGAACAATGCTTTTTGGTAGCAGCTGGCTTTCTGGCACCTTTTTTTTTATTAAAAAAAATACCTCAGCATAGCTTTAGTATCATTTGCAGAATGGAAAATCGGGAGAGAGAAACTTTATAAATAATGGAAGTAATTCTAGCTGTAGAGTTTAGTTTTGAAGACCCTGACTTATGCTGTATGTATTTGCAGTTCTGTATTTAGGCTACAACTTTATAGGGTATGGGGTGGGGGCGGGAAGGAAAGAGAGTTAGCTGTGCTAGAAGGCAAATGTTGCTTGCAACGTCTTTTTCTACTTTGTCATTGGCTATCGTTGTCAACACGCTACATAACAGCAGACATAACTGAGCTGCTGTATTGCTTCCAGGGTCCTTCTAGGTGTGCATGACCTCTGCCTCCCTGCTTTCTTTCTATTGGCAAACCAAGGGCCTTGGTGGGGATGTAAATACTGAGCAAGTTTGTGTGCTTGGAGGAGGGCATACAAGGAGATGAATTAGCAACCCATTTTAGTCCACGTAGTTGCACTAGGGCTGCAGCTGGGCCAAGACTTTTACATTTGGAAAAGGAGGAGGATATTTGGGAGAACAAAGTGAAACAGTTCTTTTTATCCCTGCTTGTCTTGTTCTTGAATGTAGTATGTGATAATTAATTTAATTTTATAATAGCAATGCTAATTCTGTCTAGACCAAAAATAGCGGAAGAGAAACCAAACTAAATGCTAACCTGCTCCTAGTACCTAAGTATAGAGTACCTGAAAGAGATAAGATTCTATGAGGCAGACTTCAGGAGAAAAGAGGATATATTGGATGTGGGTTTCTTTTTATGGAAGGTTGAGTCATTTTTCTCTCACAGCACATGGTTCAGATTTTGGATGGCATTCTTGGGAGACTTCATCTGCTTCCATCCTGACTCTGAAGCATCTCCTTTCTCTGATTGCAGAAAAATACAGAGTGTGTGTTTGTGTGGGGAAGTATATTTCCGGGGGTGGGAGAGGAAAACCTGAGCTTCAGCTGGAGGGGGAGAATTTCCAATGTTTTGATAGGAACCAAAGGTATACTGCTTAGTTTTTGGCAGCTCTGCTGTTTTCAGGATGTCTTCGGCAAAAAATTGTGTGGTCTTAGAGGTTTGGTTTGATGACTCTTGACTTGGAGGATCTCCTCATGTGTTGGTTTTCCTACCTTCTTAATGCACAGGGTTGGTTTGGATACTTTTTCTGAGGACATACTGGAGGCAAGTTCTATTCAGTACAACACCCAAGATCACAAGCAACTGTTGGATGTAGGGAAAACTTGGTTTTGTTCTTAAAGTATCAAAACTGCATTGTCCTCTTAAATATCAAAACTGCATTGTCCTCTGTTTCACATCATTTCAGAAGTCCTGTGGGTTTTCATAGTGGAAAACCTTGGAGACGTCTTTCTTTCTTCCCCGGAATAGCTTTGGGCATTGTCACATTACATGCTGTTGGCTTGATGAATTGCATCAGTCAAGCCTGACGTGTTCATGTGTGAAGCAAGGGAGAAGGTAAATATATATTAGTTGTCCAGCTATTCTTCCTCTGGAAATCAGCTGGGTTGCAGAACTTCCCTGGAAAGCTTTACTAATAGACTTACTGTTCTGACATTATGTAAAGTGGTATTAATATTGTGTGACTTTTCTAAGAGCTAGGTAGATTTATAAGTAGGTAATAGGGAAATGGAAAATGACTTCTCAAAGATAAGAGCACTTGGAACAAAAGATGTGGAAAACAAGGTGTGCTTTAAAAGAAAACAAATCTGAGGAAGGAAATGAAACAACCAGTTGGGAGATGGGATCATGAGAGAAAGATCCTTAGTACTATGAGGAAGGTTGGAATGTCTCCCCTCTTCTGCCTTATTTCTCTTTACCTCACTCAGGCGAAAATATGGGTTTAATAGTTTGTTGTCGGCTCTTTCCCCAAACATTTCTAAAACTCTGATCTTTGTTCTCACCAAAAATTCTCTCTTTACTTTTTACAATGTAGAACCCATCAAAATAAAAGCCTTCCTGAAGTATTTCTAGCAGAAATGTCTTTAACCCACCAGGGGGCTATAAGTGTAAATGGTGAATGTTTCTGGCAAGAGTACTACAGGAATAGTGGTAAATATTAAGGAGTACAGATCTGTGTCAAATTAATATTTGCACAATTCAAGCCACCCACCCTGGCCAACAGCCTTTGGAACAAACACCTTTGGTCAGGGCTGGGGAGAAACTGTCACTTGTCCCATCTAATCCATGTTAGCACATTGGCATTTTCGATCCAGTTTCTGTATTTGAATTTGAGGAAGAAGCCACAGCAGATACCCATAAACTGATTGGTAAGTTACTTCCATTTATTTGAACCTCCCTGGAGGAAGATATAGGCTTTTCTCTAAAATCCAGGAGATAAGAGGTCAGGTGCAAGTGCATTTGAGAGCATCACGGGACTCCGGCCGTTTTGCACTCCCCTGGTCCCACCGTGTCGCTGTTCCATTTCCTTCTTCTGTGGTAGTGTCTAAGGCTAGGCGTGAGTAAGTGTCGGGTGTTTATCCGCCACAGGTACGGGAGCTGTCGTATACCTCATTTCTAACTCATAACTGAGTAACTTGCTTTAACTTTCTCCAAACCCTACAGAGTTGCCAAGACTGCCCTCCCTCCCTTGATTAACGTGGAACTCTGGCTTATAGCATCCTGTGACCTGCAACCTGGGGGGTGACCCCCTAAAGCCTCTGAATGTCGCTGCTTAAAAGCTACTGCAAACTGAGGGCAAATTGCAATCTTCTATTTCTTTTGGTTACCAGGGGTCCTCTCGTAGTCTGTGAATATCCATCTCCACTCCCAATCCGTGCATGAAACCTCCATGCTGCCTTCTCCCTCCCCCTGGTGAGATGTCAGGGCTATAATGTACTGCAGGGTCAAGGCAGGACCCTGACGGCTCCTCTCAGCCAAGTGCTGCATGCATATTGCTCGCTACTTTTTCATTTTGTTTCTCTCATGCTCCTCCCATATTTAATTTCCTTCTTTTATTATTTGACAATCTTGTTCCTCCCCGTCCCCGCCTCTAGGCTAACCAGAAGCTGCATCCCTGTCCCTTCTGCCATTTTACTTTGAATGTAGTTTTCCCACCCTTTGGAAAGAGAAGCTTTTCCAGGTCACGGTGCACTGCTATATGCCGAGGGGGGCGGTTTCTTTGTTTTGTTTTGTTCTTTTAGAAATTTCCAGCCAAAACCAAAGATTTCCTAATGATTGTATAAACTCAAAACAGACAAACAAACAAACCAAAGACAAAAGGGGCGTCTTCAGCACCAATCATATCTCTTAAGATGGCGCGGTCCCATCCTGTGCTAACTTGCTTGGGAGACCAAGTTCTGTTTGACCTCCACAAATCCAAAGGCGCACAGCCATTGGGAGGGAGAGTTCAGTGGGGAAAAGTGATGGACTCCACAGATTGGTTGTGAAGCTGAAGACATTGGTGCATGACTGGCGGCTCTGGTGGGTGCTTTTAACCCTTTGGGAGCTGGGTGATATTAATACACGCTGAGGTGCACTTCTGAGCTCTCTCCCCCCCCTCCCCCCCCGCCACTGCTTGGAAGAGGCTGTTCTGTTGTGCAAAATCTCTGAAAAAAATGTTTTGTTTTTCTTTCTCTCCCCCCCCACTTCTTTTTTGTTCTTTAATTATTTTTGCAGCACCACTGTGCAACTATGCATTGTATTTCTCAACCTTTTGTGCTAGGTAGGTAGATGCCTATGACTTTTTAAACTTTGGGGGAGGGGGGGTTGCCAATGAAGGAACTTTTTACATGGATCTTTTAAATCTCAGTTGATTAGGGGGTGTTTGGTTCTAGGGTCATACAAGCTCTATCCCAAAGCAAAATCCAAATGTTAATAATATTAGCCTGATGCAGATACCAAAGATAATTTCTTTCCTGCAGAACCTTAGACTTGTGTATTAAGTACAATTACCCAGCACTTGCATTAGTCTAACCTCAGTAATTCCAAAGCTTAGATGTATATTTTGGTATATTTCTGGGATATTAAAAATGTCGTTTAAATTCTTGTTTGTTTCAGTGTAATGCTCTTAAAGTCATAGCATGGAGATAACTGAATTGTCTTATTCTTAGTAGTTTGAAATAATAGTATTTTTGTATGTTTTGGGTGTGTCAATGTATGTATTAACACAACAGTTTTCACTGCCTAGGTGTTCATAATTGAGAAAAAGTGTACATAATCTGTGATTTCCACCAGATTGTCGATTTAGATTGCATTTTCTCTGATTGCCATTCCCAACAGGGAGATCTTTATTCCTTTTTTTTTTTTAAAGAGACAGCATGCTTATAACAGTGAGATTGTACTTTTGCCCTCCCATAAAGGTCCAGTTCCCTGAAAACATCGTCCTTTAATTTTGAAAGGTGAGGCAAGACTCAAAGTGTAGCAATTGAATAACTAAAAGCACGGATATTACTATGCTAGGAATTTATGCTTTTTGTTTTTATAGTGGGGGGGAGGCATCTTGCCAAGAAAGCTATGGTTTGTGGAAATTGATTTATAAAATCCTGAGCTCTTCCTATGGCAAAAAAGAGAGATTTGTGTTGATTACAGAGCTTCCCTGTCGTCAACCATCAAGTTGGCTTATTTCTTCCTCAGGCCTGCTAATGTGGTCAATTGTACAGCTTAATTTACATGAACACTTTGTATCTAACTGTGATAAATATATTAAGATACAATGCATTCTTGCCTAACTTTAAATTTGAGAATTGTAAGGCCCTAATTTGAAACTGTGTGTGTCTCCAAAATGGAGATGAAAAGGATGCTGTCTCTTTAAATATACCTTCTATTTTTTCCCTAGTGGCTGCCTGCAGGTGGCTGTGGGCATTGAGAGAGACTGTGTAGATTATAGTGAATCAGGATGAAAATGGTAGATTTTGTGTAGATGCATTTGTCTGCTGTAATTTTTATATATATAAAACTTAACTGTAACTGTACAGTTCATTTCTGTTGTAAACATCATTAAACCATTTTTCCAAGTGTTTTAACATGCATGCACTGGTTTGTGGTTTTTGAACAAGTGAAAGGAAATGGCTGAAAAGAAATGGCAGGACCTTGTATTTCTGTTGTTTTAAACCTGACAATCTGGAGCTGAAGGATGTTCCTCCTTATTTTCTCCCAACTACAAATCACAAGACATCTCAGGTTAGAAGACTCACATAATTGGACAGCAGAAACAGGTAAGCCTCTCAGTTCTGTTATTCTGCAGAAAATAAATATGCCAGATTTATTTTAAAAGCTTACACTACTAGTAACTTGCGGCTTCCATGTTGAACAGGATGTGTTAAATTCTTTCAGTTAAGTAACCACCATGTGCAGGTTGTCTAACTAGCTCGACATCGTAATGCACATTTATTTAGTATTCTCTACATTTGTGTCCTTGACAAGATAATTTGTTTATTGCTACAGGCACATGTGTCATGCATACTACTAGTTTGGTCCTACAATAGATATTGCTGCCCTTCTAAACTGTCCTAAAAGTCAGTGATGTGAGATCTGTGCACCCTTGTTTAGCTTTAAATCTTAAGGTTTTGTAGGACTTATTGCTCCTTTTCATTAAGCTCTTTTTCCCCTTTTACTTTCCACTGCAACATGGCGCTATGAAGTTCAAACGAATCCAGAATAAGACCAGAAGAGGGAAAAGCAGGTATATTTAAGAAGCTTTTATTTAAAAATACACAGAACACATGGTTTCAGTTCTTTAGATAGAAAAGCATTTTCTTTGTTCTTTTCAACTTAATTCATAGATTTAAAGCTCCAGAAGTGTATTTTTGAAAGATCAGATTTAGGCTGTGCACACCCCATACATTTAACCACCTCTGCCCAGTGCCGGATTTACATATAAGCTAAAAAGAGCTATATAGCTTGGGGCCCTACTCTCTTGGAGGCCTCCAAAAAATTTAAAGGAAAAAACTGGATGTATATTTCCAATATATAAGATGAACTGAAATACAATTGAGAAGATGTTTAACAATTACTTTGATAAAATACATATTTTGTTATGTGCAAATGGCTTTAGATACCTATTAGGTCCATAAATTACCATATAGCATATATTCAACACAAAAAAGAGCAACAATTTGTTGTTGACAAAGGACAGCTGGACATACAAAGGGCCTCATCAAACCTAAATCCAGCCCAAGAATCCTAGGATCTGTAGTTTAAGGGTGCTGGGAATTGCTCTGTAAGGAATAAACTACAGCCCCTGAGTTCGGGAAGTGGGTGTATGCAGCCTTAGTCTGGTATGAGTTCTGACAAGCAGACTCTCACTTCCATTTTGCTGATAGAGATGTATGTGAACCCTTTTTGGATCAGCCAGTCTGATAAGATGGGCAGAAGGAATAAAACTCCTCTGTGAAACTAGGTAAGGGAAATAGATTCAAGGTATAAAATTCTCACAATAGGCATTTGCCTGGGGAAAAAGCATAATAGGCAGCTGTGACTTCCCACGTCCTAAGGCTACAACTCTAAACACACTATGGAGTAAATCCACTGGCTATTCCTTTGTGTAAACATGCTCCCCAGCTAATTCCCCCCTTGCTCCACTGGTATTAAGCTCACTTAACCAGGACAGCAGCACCTGACAAGTTTGATCAGCATTCTGTCTTAACAGGAATTTGAAGCATCTACATTTAAAACAGGAGGTAATGTATTACTCATTTCAACCAACCATATGTCCTGTGGAAGAAGAACCTACTTCTATTCTCTTAACTATGGGAACATACTGTCTGTGCCTGCCCATACTTCTCATGCAGCGTAAGTCAATTTTCATATTAAATCCCTTTAGCTGTGCATGTTTACTCAAAAGAATGCCCTACTGCACTCAGTCCAAGGTCAATGGTGGTGCATGTTTTTGTATCTTGGCAAAAGAGTGTTTAAAAAGGTCCTTCAGGGCAATGGTGATACACTGTATATCTCCTCCCCCAAACCCCAATTGCTATTTATAAATAAAAACCCAAACCTATAACAACAGTTAACCTGTTGGTGCTCAGAATTATCTGATGTTTTGGAACGAAATCGTTCCACATGAGCAACATTTTTTAATGCACACTTAGCTTCAAAAAACATCTTTCTCCAGAAAAGAAAATGACTTTGAAATGGCCATCGCAACAGCTGGTCTTAAATTTTAACTGAGCAACAACATGGTGCCCAAGCTCTATAGCTATGTACACTTTGAAAGCTACAACTTGAAATTAGTTTTAAAAAGGAGCTTTGGTTTTTATGCTCATGTAAAAGTGGCATTTGTTGTAGAAGGCAACAGATTTCTGAACAGATCATCTTGAGAATGGTAATCAAGACTCCCGCTCGCCATGGAAATAGTTCTCCTCTTGCTAGACTCAACTGTAGCTAGTAAGGAGGTGGTAGGGGCTGCATTTGAAGGACATCGTATGTATCCTTCGTTGCTTTGCTGAGACCCTGATAAAGAAAGATGAGATGACTCAAAGTTATAACTAAATCAATATAACTGTAGTTATTAATCAGAAGTACTAAGTCCATATGCCCCTGCTAAGTCCAACAACTCTGGCTTTCTATCCAGAGTAAATAAAGGTGACAGGCTGATACTCATAGCAAGGCAAAAGTCCTGCTTAGGAGAAGAATGTGACTGGTCCATTGTTTGTTGGAGGAAGCAAAGTTGTATACTGCCCTTAGAAGCGCCTCTGTACTTGTTCCTTCACAGACTGCATTAACACCTCTGGGCAAGCAAAAATATTCTCTTAGGTGGCTCAAAGTGAGGAACAGGGCACTTGCTCTGTTCTCCCATTGTAGAAAGGTGATCCAAATTGACAGGGTGCATGTATGCCAGAAACTAATTAAAGCAAAGGCAAACAAGATTCCTGTGTGAGCTGTTTTTGTGCAGCTTGCTTCCATAGGATTGTGACCCTGAAGTTTGTAGGGAGATAGGCTTGCTATTGCTGTGCCTTACCTGATAAACTGTTTCACTGCCTTTGCCACGTCGTCTCTGAAAAAAAGAAGCCCAGCATCAATACAAAATCTCCCTGCCAAAATCTTTTTGCCCATGCAAATAATTACACTCACACTTGGCTCAATTTAACTGGGGGAAGTGGGAGGCTTGCTTCTGATTGGTCTTTTAAGAAGGTGCTGCACAATCTGACTCAACTGCCCCTTAATCAGTAATAAATAAAAATTATAAAGCACAGAAGTGTCATTCAAACAATATCAAAAGGGTGAGGAGGATACTATAACTTCTGTTTTGCTTGACAGTACTGCTTTAAATAAAGGGTAGGAAAAAAAGCAGGCAGAGTAGTGCCTGAAGCCACCTTGGCACCTTATGTGTAGAGCCAAATTGGCAAGAAGTGTCACTTACCTCTCCTTTCTTTCCAATTTCGCTGTATGCTTCAGCCATCTTATCCCGCTGTAGAGCCTGGCCATGGAAGATCAGAAAATAGTGTCAGCACAAATAAAATTAAAGTACTGTTTTCTGTCATACCACTCCTCTTTGTCAGAGATAAGAAACCATGGACTCTCCCTCCAGATGTTCTTCCAGCTCACATGAACCCCAGCAAGCAATGTCCAGTGGTCAGGGACGATAAACATTGTAGTCTAGCATCATCTAGAGAGCCACCTACAGGTTCCCTATCCTTGCTATATAGATATAACAAAACAATACTTACCCTGTGTTCATTCATGGGAGAGGAGATGTGATTGGTGGTCCAGACTAAGGCAATGTTTCTTCCTTCACATTGCAGTTAGACTTGAAAGAAACCACTTGTTGAGTACAGTAAAAAACTCCTTTCAAGTCTACTTGCAGAAGGGGGGATGCTGCAGGCCAGTTGGGGAGACCCTGCAGGTCAGCACTCTTGCTTTATACTCTCTTTATTTGGTAATTTCCCCCCATGTCAAATAGGTCCCTGCTACTCCCATACCACAGACATGGGAGGATTTCAATGTTGCACTAATTGAGCATCCCTTGGTGGGCTACTAGTTGCACAAGGAAAGGGCAGGAAGCCTTGTGGCAGGTCACACAGCAGATTGCTGTAGTCAACAGTACTTCCTCCTGTACAACAAATTTGCACTACCACAACTGGGGCAGGTGCTGGGGAATACAACCCCACAGAGCAGGTTGGGGGAAACTCTGGCCCTCCAGATGTTGCTGAACTTCTGCTCCCAACATCCCTGACCATTGGCCATGTTTGCTGGGGCTAATGGGACTTGGAGTCCAACATGATATGAAGAGCCAATGGTTTCCCATGCCTGCCATACAGTCTGTTCAATTGCACATTCTACCTGTCATTAATGGCATACAATTCTTTTGAAAAGTGATTACATGGAGCCTTATGCTTTGCTTTCCTAAAGTTCAGTGCTTGTGACTTTGGAACCAATTGCTGTTACCGTAGTAGCACCTCAATGCCTGAGAAGCAGCAATTCCAGCAATAGTTTTTCTTCCCTCCCTCAAGTTACACTAAGGGAGGGATGCAGCAGCTAAATAGAAACAAGGAGTAGGAATACAGATGATAAACCTGGCTGGGAGTAGGCAGAGAGAGAGGTTCATTTACACACCTCACAAGGAGAGGAAATAAGCTATTTCATGGCAGCTGTTTGCTGCAGCAGAGGAAAACAGATCACAAAAGTAGCGTGCTGCTGAAATGGCATAGGAACAGACATGAACACATATAAAAAAAGTTTGCATGCAGGTGCAGAAAACATTCTTTAAAAAGAAAGAAAAAGTGGACTCTAGCAGAGTGAGGCTAAAATGCAACAGGAATATCAGTTTTTGTAAACCAAAGCAGACTGCTTATGGGGTTCATTAACAGCATGAAAACAAGCTGGGTCTTGAAACACCTTCTGGGAGAGGTATTTGGCACCCATGCGCTCACAAACAATCAAACAAATACACTGGCAAATCATCATTTGTGTGCAAAACGAGATAAATTAATGAGGGTGATGCCTACATGGTAGCACAATTTACTTCCCAGTGTTGTTTCAGATGTCTTTAGGTGGGTTTTATGTGAAGGTGGCTGGTCATTTTAGAAAACTGAAAAGCAATTTAGAGAAATTCTAGACAATATGGCAAGAAACCAAAATGCTTTTCTGAAATGGTCAGTTCTTGGTTTTACTTACACTGTAAACTCTGTCCTGAGCTTGTTTTCTTCTGTGCTGAAAAGGGGAAGAATAAACAAGCAGTTCTTGGAACCGTTCTTGCGGACAATATCAAAAAAATATTTGGGGATGCGCAAGCCATTGCAGAGATTCTTACAGAGATGCTAGTCTGGGATTAGTCACAAAATTTCTAGCTGCATTTGACGATGCATGAAGCATTATACTGAGTTGCTGGTATATGTACACATGGCAGTGGGAAGGGGGCTATCAACAGCTGTTGATAGCACCGACATCCTGACATATATAATGTGTGAACGATCCTTTGTCTCTATTCAGCCCACAGGCTATGGGGCTGAAACATTGCAATTTAGTGGCTTAACCAAACCACATACGTGTGCACCCACCCACCCACCCACCCCTGTAACTCAGAGTAGCACTTCATGCACTTAAGGAAGTGGACTGTAATCCACAAACATTATTCCATCCTTAATAATAAATCTATTAGTCTTCAAAGTGCCATTAGATTCTTTGCTGTTTTAGGAGAGGTCAGGGATGCCATGTCCCAGTGGCTGCCTGAGCTGGGCTGACATTTTCTCTGCACAGAAAAGAGTGGCCTGAATTTAATAAAAGGACCAGGATGAGATGAATGAAGGTACCTGGGCTTTCCCCCCTACTTCAATGTCAGCATCTGTCTGTTTCGCTCCCAGCGATGCATATTCATCTCTGGTTCCATGAGACAATCTCTGAAATGAAATATATAGATAGGGACATTTACAAGAATGACAGCTCATTGGTAAGTTGCAGTCCCGAGCTCCTAACGGGCTGACCAGTACTGTGTCTTCAAAATAGACTCAAAAACAAACATGAGCTCAATAAATCACATTCTGTTATGTTAAAACCATCCCATAAAATCCTGGTCCTAGACGCAAGTTGCTAACACTTTCCCCAATCCTTCCGCAGTCAAGGGATTAATTAAGAAACTGAAAGCCCATCTAATCCAGCATTATTTTCTCTCCGTGGCCTATGCTGAGCGCAACACTCTTCTGGACCATACCTGGGTCATACCAGGTATTCAGAGACATACTGCCCCCAATGCCAGAGGTAATACAGCCATTGTAACTAGTAGCTGTTGATGATCTCCAGGAATTTGTCTAGACACCTTTGAAAACTCATAAATTGGTGACCATGTACATCTTGGGGCTGCAAATCCCATAATTCAACTCTTGTGTTATGCTGAGAAGTAGTTGCTTCCTGAATCTCCCACCATCCACCTTTCATGGGATGCCAGTGCAGGCTTCCCAGTAACCTCTCATATAAACCCTTCCATTCACAAGGGCCATCCCAAAGTTTTCTGCCAATTATCCTTCTCTCTACTACTGCAGGGCTGCCTCTCGTTGCAGGAGAGAATAGCCATAGTCACAGTCCCATGCACAGCCCTTGTACAACAGGCCTCTCTCTTCACCTTCCTTCTAGCATTAGAGCCGCTGGCTCTTATACTAAACAGGAAACCGAGCTGGCCACACATAGAGTCTTCATGGCAGCAACATGGTGTAAGCTGCACGTGCAAGTTCAGTCTCTCTTCTAGCAGGAGCCAACCAGAATCTCTTGATTCTAAACAGGAAAACAAGGTTAACCCTGCTTTCACATAGGACACTGCTGTGGAGAACTCATGTAGGTCGCGCTCTCTCCTCCTTCAAAGCCCACAAACCACCTGTCTCTAGACTTTAGGCCAGAATAGGACCACTATATGTGTAGCCATTTCCCCATAACTACACAAGGCTTCCCTTGCTTATTGACTGATTTAAGAATTTAGAAACTGCTGTACAGAAAAAGAATACCTGAGTGGTGTACAAAAATAGACTGTGGGTGGGATACTATGTCAGGCTAAGGGCATCATTTTGTCAGTACAAGCATTTCTGCTTTCCCGATAGAATGATCTCCCTCTCCTCCTCTTGACCCTCCCAAGCAGATTTATGTAGGGTGTAGGGGGAGAAGTTCCATTGCACTAAAGGAATTTGTTGCACTGGCTTCCACTGGAACAACCTATGTTATTATGAAATATAATATGAATTTTTAAACAATATTCAAAATGTGAAGCCAGCTAGAATTAAACGCTGCAGAAATAAAAGGGGTGATTCGAGAAGAGTTTTTTTCATTGAATCATAGAACTGTAGAGTTGGAAGGGACCACAAGCGTCATCTAGTCCAGCCCCCTGCAATGTGGGAATGTTTTGCCGAGCGTGGGGCTCGAACCCACAACCCTGTGCTTAAGAGTCTCATGTTCTACCGACAGAGCCATGCAGTCTCCTGCAAACATCCAACACACAGATTTCCTTCCATGGGTGTAAATCAACACCGAAAGCAACCATTTTATATATTTCCAGTGTTTATAGGTTTACACAATATCCAAAGTGGTTTACACAATCTCAAAAAATAAATACCGTATTTTTTGCTCCATAAGACTCACTTTTTCCCTCCTAAAAAGTAAGGGGAAATGTGTGTGCGTCTTATGGAGCGAATGCAGGCTGCACAGCTATCACAGAAGCCAGAACAGCAAGAAGGATTGCTGCTTTCACTGCGCAGCGATCCTTCTTGCTGTTCTGGCTTCTGAAATTCAGAATATTTTTTTTCTTGTTTTCCTCCTCCAAAAACTAGGTGCGTCTTGTGGTCTGGTGCGTCTTATAGAGCGAAAAATACGGTAAATCGTAGTGTATTTAAAACAAAAACTGCATGTAAAAGTGTAAGTTCCACAAATAGGCAGTGTTTAAACCAAACAATATTGGCAATAGCATTCTGGAGGGAAAGAATTCCAGAGAACTGCTACTACAATGCTAAAAAAAACCCAGCATGTTCAAGTCATGTCAGCCTTTACTGCACGAGCCTGTGGCACTGTCAAGAAATCTTCATCCACAGATCTAAGTGACAGGCTTATCAGATATCATGGTCCAGAACTGTAATATGGCCCAGGAGCAAACTGGAAACTCATGCAATGCTTTCAACAGAGGTGTCATATGTTGACAGGTTGCCTCACAGACCAACAATAGCTGCAGTTTCTGGACCAAATTCAAGGGCAGCCCCATGTAAAGTGTGTTCCAGTAATCAAGCCTAGAGGTTACCAATGCGTGGGCCACTTTCTCCAATCCACCCCTGTCCAAGAATGGTTGCAACTGCCATACCAGCCCAAGCTGGCAAAAAGCACTCTTGGACATGGAATACATCTGAGTTTCCAGTGGCAATGCTCCAGTTACACAGCTGCCCAGAACAGCTGATGGACCAGTTTCCTGGACCTAGGAACCACTCACCCACAGGGCCTCCAACATGATTGCCAGCTGATTGCCTGGCACAATCCCCTCTCAGCAATGGGCATACACCTGGTTGGTTGGGAGATGATTGCCTGTGGTGAGCACCTATCAGATACTTGCTACATTCCAGTTTTGGGCTATTGACATAATGGAGGAATGTGCAGAAGTAACATGCAAAAGGTAAAGAATGGGTGGGGCAATGGAAACACTCTTGAGTATTTCTGTACATATTATCAGAACAGAGCACTGTCATATCTTTCATATCAAATAGGTAAGCCAAAAGTTGCCTTACTCTAGACTTTAATCTAGTGATTAAAAATAGAAGAATACTCTTGAGAGTGCTGCCCTATCCAGAAACTCCTTAGAATGTATGTTTCTTTCAAATTCTTAAAGTAGGGAAGCAGCAAAGCAAAACCACTATTTTAATTAGTATGGAGACTACACACTGAAATACAAGAGTATATTCCAAATGGAATATAGTTTAAATCTAGTTAATTGGGAGGCGATCTACTGGATGCTGTAATTTTATTTGATATAAAACTGGGTCTGCATGCTGCTCATTGTGGAGGGGCTGCCACCACACTATGCTTTGAAGTCCCAACTATTGGGGCTTCAAAGTGCAGCAGCATCTGACATCCCTAAGACCACCTGTTTAATTTGGTCCACCAGGAGAACAGATTAAGATCTGGTCCACCAGACAGAAAAGATTCTCCACTTCTGATTTAAACCTAACTCCTGAGACCCACTACTGATACCTCTATTGCCAGAAGATCTCACTGCCATTAACTCTCCCCCCTTGCTAAGCTGGGGGAACTTGAGAGGACTCTGAACAAAAGGGGTAATGAATTTTAAAAATCCGCTTAGCATTTGCCCAGACTCTGGAGGAGTCCTAGTTGAATCTTGAGGGCAGATCCATGAAACCTGGTCTCATTTAATTGTCCTTTTATAATTATTTTATTTTATTTGTGAAATAAAAATCATTCAATTTCAAGACAAGACGTACGTTTAGTACTTACATTATATAGGTCCTCTGAATTCTGAGAAGTTTGAGGTTCAGGAGAGCCTTTGCTTATCTGGAAAACAAAGCCCATTTCTATCTCTGAATGCGACTTTAACAGGATAATTTCTGCTAGTGATTTATAAATGGTGCTTTATAAACCCACAACCCACATATTTCATGGAGATTCTAATATTCTCTTGTTCCCAAATTCAAATAATGGCAATTACGTAAGTGTATGAAAACTGCATATTAAAAATGCACGTAAAAATGTAGATTCATCATAAAATTTCTAGATCTTTGGTAGTCTTTTCCTAAACTGTCAGGAACTATGCATACATTGTGATATCCAGAGCACCAAGCCTTTAAGAAGATCAAACATGTTTTAGGATATTAATAGAGTATTCAAAAGTTTCTCTGCAATGTTCTTGCAATCTTATCCTAACTTTATTTGGAGCTAAACAACCTCCTAGTGGCAATGGTAGAGATTTACCCATTTGTTGGTAAATGGAAAAACGGTTCCAAAGTAAGTACTATTCATCGGGCACCTTTTAATGGCAGGTATGAAATCTCAGATTTCCAAGAGGGAAAGTGTTTTGTTTTGTTTTGTTTTTAATTAGTTATTAGTTTAATTAGTTTTCTTGTGTAACAAAAAAAATACATATAGCATCTCCACTTTCAGTTCATAGAGTCTTTTTCACAGTTCGTTTACATTTGGTATGAGGCACCTTTGTCATAGACATTATGCGGGGGGCATAAGTGGCAGAAAAAACTACACTCATTTAACTTCTCTCACAAAAAACATGAATAAACTCCACATTCCTGCACCTCCCATCCTCAGAATGATGGGGAATTCCCAACACAGAACTATACTATATCACCTACGAAGTGCACCACATAATCCCATAGAAGACGGAATGAAAGGAATGGGTACACATGGAAATAGATAAAACCAGAAACACCCCCACTACAGTGTACACAAGAGGGAAAGTTGCATTGAAGGTTGGCAACAGGACTGCATCTTCCCTTCTCTCTCTTTGTACTTCTTGTCTCTGTATACACTGCTTACCTGTGTGTGAATATGAATACAGAGTGGGAAAAGGCAAAAGATTCAGTCTTTACATTGATAACTCAGCTTGCAAAGGAGTCACCTGAGGACCACAAACAGCTGCTGCCACCATTTAAAATGTCTTTCATTAGGTTTGAAGGGATGGTTTTTGCTTTTCACTTGGCCAATATCTGGGGCTGGAAGCAAGCAGCTGGTTGTCAATTGACTTACTCCTCGATCAGAATCTCAGCGGTAAAACAGAGAAACCCTTTCACTAGGGTACTTTATCATGCCCTCTCTAATGATCACCACCTTGACTCGGCAATGGGCAGAAGTTTTGACTCCAGTAGTTATAAACAATGTGTATCAGGCAGTGGGAATGTAAACCAATTTCTTTACCCTCAGGCTAGCTCATGAAAGGTTTCCAATGTTAAGATCGCTGTTTTCTGCTGGAGGCAAGCATCATGGCCCCTTCTTGCCAATTTTGGCCACTGACTATTTTCACTTCTTCATTTAAAGCTTTCTTCTTCTGTATTTAATGCCAGTGAGAAAAGGGACCAAGTTTTCTGTCATATTGTTGCTTCCTGCTTATAGGTCAGCAGGGAGAACTTCCAGCCCATCTGCCTCATTAGGTCAGCCACACTTCTCCATTCGTCCCGCAAGGCCATTTCGGCCAAGCCACACCCACACAGGACTGAACTCTGCACATCAGCAGATACACAGGATATTCAGTCCTGCTTTCTGCAACCTCATTCCTACCTACCCCCAAACCTGACATCAGGGCTAGGGCAGGTGTATATGGTTTCAGAGAGAGAGAAAAGTCTCTTGAGCCAAATGGAGAAGACTGGCAGGTGAAGTTTAGCTTGCAGGCCAGAGATTTCCCACCTGGTCCTAAGGAATCAATGAAGAGACCGCAAAGTGCCAGGCATCTCCAGTGACTTCTCAGGAAACCCTCCTTCAGGAATGGGGAACCTGTGGTCCTCCAGATGTGGCTGGATTTCAACTGTCATCACCCCGGGCGCCCAGTCAGCATGGCCAGTGGTCAGGAGTGATGGGAATTGTAGTCCAGCAACTCTTAGAGGACACCGGTTTACCATCCTTGCACGACTTCCTTGTTCCATCTAGCGATCCCAGAAAGGGCTTGGGAGGATCCAGCAAGTTTAAAGAAACCTACTTCTGAGTGGTGAGAAGTTCCTTAGCACAAGGCATCTTTGAATTCCTGAGGTTATACATGACTGTATAACCATTCAAAGCATTGTCCAGCATACCAATGAAATGCTCTGTTGAAATGCTGAAGTTTCCAAACACCATGGATAACCGGTTTCTCGAATGAATCCAAGTGCCCAACAGCTCATCAGTGCTCATCCTTATTCTCATGTTGGAAAAAGTGGGTGGAATTGGTGCAGGAAATTGAAGACACAGAGTTTACAAATAAAAATAAAGTTTCACAGGTCATTCTTTGTATGTTAAAGATCAAGTGTCTTCCCATTTTAAAGAGGGTGAGGACTCACCTTTAGTTTTACGAAACAGGCTGTGATGATTATAGCATAAATCAAGAGGATCCCATCCAGAATGTAGCAGAGTCTTGGATCTGTCAGGCCTAGTGCACTGGCATCTGCATTAAAAAACAAGCCCATGTGTTGATTATTGAGAAAGTTGCCCTGTACTGAGTCCAGAGTCAAACTACTGGTTCCCCTCACTCAGTATTGTCGACATTGACTGGCAGTGGCTCTTCGTGGCTTCAAATAGGTACCGCTCCAGCGGGAAGGTAAACAGTATTTCCGTGTGCTGCTCTGGTTTGCCAGAAGCGGCTTAGTCATGACCCTGAAGCTGTCTGCGGACAAACACCGGCTCTCTCGGCCTACAGAGCGAGATGAGCACCACAAACCCAGAGTTGTCTGCGACTGGACCTAATGGTCAGGGGTACCTTTACCTTTAGTGACTAGAGATCAATAATACAAATGCTAATTGGGCAAATTAACAGACAAAGAGGTTGATAGGTTTCTTAGAATGACCACCTCCGGGTTTCATTAGAGATGTGATTGAACAGTTCACAAGACAGTAACATTTGCATGAATCGGTACCAATGTGCTGTCAAAGTAAACAATTAATGGGTGACACAAACACTAAGGGCTGCCCCGTCCCACTTTCCTGCAGCTAAAGGACCAAACTCCACATTGTGTCAGTCATATATTTTAACAAATTTTTCTCCACTTTATTTTGGAGTGAAAAAACACCCATCAAGCCCCAATTCTGGCTCAGCAAGCTCCCTAGATTGCGAGACCATGCTGGTTTTGTTGCTAAAAAACATCCCCTTATCTGTCTGCTGGTTACCCCCAGATGTGCTGTTTAGAGTAACAGTTGCCTAGACTGAGACGCATATCCCCATCCCTATCTAAAGACTCATCCAACCTGTTCAATGGTTTCTAGAGAAACACTGCAAAAAAGGAAGCAAGTATACTGTATATCCATATTCACATTTGCCAACTCTAGAGGAAAGATTATGGTGCTGTCTTTGAAGCAGCAGAGAAAATCAGAGCTGGGGATTAGAGGAAAATTCAGTACTCGGGGACTCAGATCCAAATAAAGTCACACTAAAGTCCCAGTGAAAATATTCAAAAGAGTATTGTGGCACCTTAAAATTTTATTATGGCACAAGCTTTTGTGAATTCCAGTCTCAAATGACAATGATCAAACAGCAACGGCCACACTCTGGCTCTAACCCTTAACTAGTCATTCTAGAACAAAGGAGCTTCCAAGGGAGACTGAAATGTGAAACCACTGAATTACAATTCATCAAGAGCCTCAGTGCTATTACTTGTGGACTGAATCAGGGCAGGGTTTTTTAATCACACTATGTGTCATTAATTGGCTTACCAATGCCAGGGTTTTCTCATCACCAACATCTTTTTTGTGAATGGCCAAATAGCCATTTGTATACTTTTATGCCCTTTCATTGCCTTTTGATCTGGCTGTTTACAATTCCCTCTCCACTACCATGTGTATAGACACCTGCACCTCAGGATAATGCTTAATACATCTGATGAAGTGAACTGTACAAAAGCTGCTGCCATAATGAATGTATTAGTCTCTTAAGGTGCTGCAAAACTCTTTGTTGGCAGTTTGCTGCAACGGCCTCATCTGGCTACTCCTCAGGAAAATGAAATTAATTGAACTTAAAACAATTGCATGAAATTGAGTATAGATTTCAATGGGATTAAAGCACAATCTCAATAAAGACCAGTTAAAGGCTGATCAGAATAAACACAAGTATGCATCACATGGAACAAAGTCAAGTTACAGCAACATTTAAAGAGGACAGTCTCTCTCATACATGTGCACCTTCATGTTTATGGCACATGTGATTGTTCTTCAGGAGTATTGGGCAGCTCTCTGGTTCGTACATTAATACAAGCAATGAAAATTGCAATCCAATGCATGTCTACTCTTAAGATCAAATGGAGCTCCCAGGTTAATGGGTATAGCAGTGGTTCTCAAACTTTTTTCTCTGGGCCACGCTTTCAGAATAAAAATGTGCTCTCGCCACACTTAATTTTTTATTGATAAGAAATACATTTAGGATTATCCTCAGTATCACTTGATGCTCTTGTTCTTGTTTGTAAACGTTACCTATCCATGTTAATGACTGTTTTCGGCGAGTCCCATATGTGTGCAACCACGCACACATGCATCGCACCAAACCTGGAAGTGACCCAAAAAATCCCAAAAAGTGTATCTTGGTAAAAGTAAGCCTCTTGGCACATTGTTTCAGTGGTTTGTCGTGACACGGTTTGATTTTATGTTTCAATCAAATGCAGCCATAAATTTCCATTCTAGGGGAAACTGCCCTACTCATGCTGGCTCCAGTCCATGTGTGGAGAGGCTGTAGTTCAGTCATGAAGCACATGGTAGTGGGTTCAGTCTCTAGCTACAGCTGAGGAAAGCTGCTGTCTGAAGTGCCAGCGAGCCAGTGTCAGTAGGTGTAGACAGAACCAAGCTAGATGGAAAAAAACTGTCAATTTCTTTGCAATTGTCCAATTGTGGTTTAAAACAGTGCCATGAGGCGTGAGCGTCCTTTTCAGAGAAAACTACTGAATGAAAATTTGCATGTCTTAACAAAATACGGAACTCTTTCAGCCCTAGTAGGAAGGGTAGCCCCCATAAGAGACAGGTTAAAAACAACAACAACAGCAGTCTATTTCCCAACAGATTAGCCTGCTGAAGTTTCATTGTAACAAAATAGTTTTGTTGAAGCACGAGATTGGAAGTCACCATAAAGGAAAGGAAACCTGTGCGCTCGGGGTAAAATGGAGCTCAGCTTCTGACATCAGTGCAAAGAGTTCCCTTGGCTGTTTGTGGCATTCGGTGTGGTTACGCTAAGTGTTTACAGCCCCCTCCACTCTGATCTGACAGCTGTGCCTCCTGCCTGCAAGGTTTCCTGAGTGCAACGTTTCCTCTACTAAGTTTTCAAGACCAAGTGCAGCAAAAGCTTATGCCATAAAGCAGGGATGGGAAAGCTGTGGCTGTCCAGATTCAGCCACACTGGCTACAGCTGATGAGTCTGGAACAGAGGAAGTTGCCATACCTTGGCAGACCATTAGGACCCATCAAGCTCAGCATTGTCGGAGACCCACCTAAAAATGCTGGGCGTTGAACTGAGACCTTCTACACACAAAGTGGATGCTCTATCACTGCTCCACCCTTGCTGAAATCCAACAACGCAGGGGAGGGGCACAGAAGTCCCTACCTCTGCAATAAGAGGTGCTCCTTTTTGTTGCTGATATTGTGATCACCAAGGATTAAGAGCCAGTAGGCTGAATGCAAACTCCAAGACATGTAAGAAGAAGCGAGATTCTGAAGAGATGCAGGGCACAGTTTCCTCCCACTCTTGTAGACATACTTCTACATCTACAACACACTAAGAACCAAAGCAATAGGAAGCTTTCATAGAACAAGAAAAAGGGGACTGGAATTTAGAACAACTGTCTAGCCAAAAGCAAGCTGGGAAAGTTTCTTCTCAGCCAAGTTCTTAAAACACAAACACACACAAAAACCAACAGCATGTGAACACGTGTCTTCCTGAAAGTCTAGGGGAAAGATATGAACTTTGAAACCTGCCTTCATGCCACAGCAGCCATTCTTAACTTATTCATCTCTTGAGGGGGCTGGCGGCAGCATCAAACACACTTAGTAACATTCAGAGGAGGAGAAACACACACACACATGCACAGCTGTTTCAATTCTAGAAGACTAGAACCTAAAGAGATTCACAATGTTAGCAAAGGAGAGCAGAGTTTGTGCAAAGTAGGTGTGAGCCAGTTGAGCTGCTGTCAAAGCCCCCACGAGCATTGTACAGAGGTGGACAATTCTCCCCATGGCCCATTTCCCCACACAGTCTCCGTGTAAGCATCCAACACACAGTTCCGTCCCTGGGTGTAAATTTATTCCATAGCTTAATAAACAAATGCCTTTGCCACCCTAGTGACATTATAGTTCATAAGTGAGCTGAACTTCATTTCATAGACTTGGGGGCAGATGGAACCCCACAGTACGTGTAACTGGATGTTTTTAAAGTATAAACATATGTGCAGGGCCTGTGAATCAACACTGGGTCAATCTGAGCAGAGGTGTTGAGAAACTCAAATGTATATACTGCTTGAGACATAAGAATATTCCAGTTTAAAACCAGGCTGAAAAGCTCCTTGGCTTCCTTAGAACAGGACAAAATCCTCTCAGTGTCCATATATTTGATTAAATCCACAAAAATGTATGCCATAATAGATTAGTTATTCCTTGAGGTACTGTTTTGACAGGATGGCTGGGGGGAAATTGGCCTTTCAGATGTTTGCCAGACAATATAGCTCCCATCATCACTGATGGGGGGCTAATGGGAGTTGGGGTCCAATAACATCTGGTGGGTACAAAATGTCCCACCTCTGGTCTATAATAATGTTCCAAATCATGGTAGCAAACTTACTTCACTTACGAGATTCTTGTCTAGAAGCTAGACAAATTCATGGGGGGAAATAAAAATCAGGCCCTCCTGGGCCAAAAAGGTTCCCACCTCTGGTCTGGATAATGCAGCCTTGATTTTTACAGGCTTGTTTGTTAATACTTTAATTTATTGTTCATCCATGGTGTGTGGGGGTGGGGTTTAAAGGTTGTAAACCACTTTGGGTGATCTTGCCCCCCCCAAAAAAAAACAGTTTTAAAATATGATTAAATAACATAACGTAGCATAATCCCTCCAGTAAACAGTTGGTGAAGAAGGGAGAACGTGGGAGTAGATCCAGCCCTTGGTTCTAAAAGAGCCTCTCATCCGAAGTGTCTCAGCTTTTCATATTAAATGAAAGAGCTCAAATCAATGCAAGAGGTTTCAGGGCACAAAGGCAACCTAAGCTGTATGTTAAATGAAACCATTGCTCTCATGAACAATCTTGTAAAGTTAAGGAATACGGTAGTTGGTTTTCCTCTTATTGAACTATTGCTTATTCAAACATACGCAAACACTCATATCTGTTCTTCTCTGTGCTAGAGATCATCACGTTGGTCTCTGAACAGCAAGTGGGACCTCTATATGAAAGATAGAAAATGTGACTTTTGCAGTAAGAGCTGTACAAGGGTAAGCTGATGCAGACTACATTGTCATGTAAGTACACACACAAGATACTGCACGCACCATGCTATAAACGCATTATGCAATCACACAATAACAGTTCAAATGATTTAAGAGGACATTTTTTTTTTATCCCATCTAGAAAGTGGAAGAGAATTATGGGCACTGCAAGCTGACAGAAATGGCATTCTCCTCACATTACTAGGACATGGAAATCATGTTTTTTGCCATTGCAAAGGACGAGTTTCCTATCATCTACATGCAGGTCGTGAAATCTCAGGAAAATCAATTACCAAATTCAATCACTTAATTGAATTAGCTCAGAGTTTTCCATCTCCATATTAACAGTTATTGTCCATCTTCCCTGCCCAGACAGTGATCCTCTCAAGGGGCACAATTACTTATGCTCAGCATCCATACCTTCTGAAAAAGTCAAGTACAGCATTTTCCATAAATTCCATTTTCTTATCCTCCAACTTACTACTATACATACATACATACATAAATTTTATTTGTATGCCACCTTTCTGTAGTTCAAACAGTGCTCAAGACAGCTTACAACATAACAAAAGTAGTCATACTATATCAGATTCAAGAATCAAAACACATAAAGGAAATGGTTAAGAAACATGAAGCAGAAAGTTGGAATGAATGGACAGCTCTCCCGAAAGAGGACTGTAGAAAGTGGAAGCCATCAAGAATCAGTATTAAGGCCTTGTTCATTAATGACCTAGAGAGTCATTAAGGCTTTATGCATTAAGGGTGAGCAGTGAGGTAGCAGTTTGCTGATGATACCAAATTGTTCAGGGTGGTTAAAACAGAAAGGGACTGCAAGGAAAAGAATCTTTTCAAACTGGGTGAAGGGAGTAAAATGGCAAATACAATTCAATTTAAGCAAGTGTAAAATTATGCATGAGGGGCGGGGAATCAATTTCACACATATGTTCACAGGGTCTGAACTGGCAATGACTGGCCAGGAATGAAACCTTCAAGTCATAAAAGAGCTCGGTGAAGATGTTGACCTAGTGTGCAGCAACTGTGAGAATCCTGTGCTTGTCCATATCATATGCCATTACAGTGGTACCTCGGGTTAAGAACTTAATTCGTTCCGGAGGTCCGTTCTTAACCTGAAGTACCACTTTAGCTAATGGGGCCTCCAGCTGCTGCCCCGCTGCCGCCACCACGCAATTTCTGTTCTCATCCTGAAGCAAAGTTCTTAACCTGAGGTACTATTTCTGGGTTAGCGGAGTCTGTAACTTGAAGCATCTGTAACCTGAAGCATCTGTAACCTGAAGTGTCTGTAACCTGAGGTACCACTGTATACAAATCTATGGCGTTGCCTCACCTTGTAATGGACATTGCAGAACTGGGGAAAAACTCAGAAAAGGGCAAGAAAAACAATCAAGGAGTTTTAGCAACTCTCCTGTGAGGAACATTTACAACATTTGTGGCTTTTTGCTTTACAGAAAATGTGAATTGGAGGTGACATGAAAGAGGTTATAAAATTATGCATAGTATGGAGAACGTAGGTAGTGAGAGGTTCCCCCCCCCCACACACACACATATAATGCTAGATGGGATATCCAATGAAGCTGGATGTTGGGAAGCTCAGAACAGGCAAAAGTAAATACTTATTCACATAGCATGTGGTTGAATTATGGAATTCACACCCACAAAAAGGTAGTGATGGCCACTAACCTGGAGCACTTTAAAAGGCCTGAAAGAGGCAAGACAGCAGCAGTTTGGTGGCAGGCAGGAGGTGGTGGTCAGGGGTGACACCCACCATATACTAAGGCAGCAGATGGGTAAATAGTTACAAGTCAAGGTTAGGGAACCTCAGACCCAAGGGCCTTATGCATCCCCCCAGGCCTCACTGGCTGGCCATCAAAACTCAGCTCACACACCTGGGCCCAGATCTGCTTTTGCCTCTGGCCCTGTTCAGCACTGGACACAGCAGACATAGGCTGCCTATGGAGGAATGTGGCTCTTGGGCTGACCAACCTCTGGTATAAGCAGATATTCCCTCCCTACATTATATTCACTCACCTGCTGCTGACCCATTAAATGAAGACTGGGTTATATCACTGTACAGTGCCTTCTCGCTTCTCACGCAGGGAGCGAGAAGTGCGGCCGGAATACGTACAGCCACAATATTAGAAAAAACTGTAGAGCAAAAATAGCTTCAGCCATTCCGACCTCAGCATCTACCCAGCAACTTGATTCCTTTCATATTAAGGTAAGTTTAACTATTTTTAGGCCTTCAGAGGCCTTGTACAAAAGATAAGAACTGCAAAAAACAAACCCAACAACTTCACCAGCCAAGTACATCCACACATCAAGTGATGATTTGTGAGTATGAAATGACTATTCAACAATATTTTCAAAATACCATGCAGTTATACAGCTAAAACCTTCACCCACAATGGTGAAAGGAATGCATACTTGGGTGGTTGAGGCTGCTGTTTTAAAAGCAGACGCCACAAACCTGACGTAAAAGTGCTTCTCAGTATCTTGGCATATGCTTTTCTAAATGGACATTTAGTGTAAATTTCAATAACATTTCAATTTTTATTATATTGTGAATATGAACTGACGTTTTTGTTCTGGGGGTTCTTCTGTTTTTTCCCCTTCTTTTTGTTGTGTGTGTGTGTGTTTTCTTTCTTTAATAAATCTATAATTTTAAAAATAAAATTTTGAAAAGAAATGGTGTAAATTTAAAACCTTAAGATCCCCACATGTGACAAGAGCAGATGGATATATTTCATTATGGGGATATGCTCTGGGATAAGCCTGTCATGTGCTGTGAAGATGACCATGTCTGTGAAATCTATGGATATATGCAGCACAGAAAGGAGGTGGTCAGGAGAGAGAATTCCCCATAGACTCACTTCTGTCAGTAACAGAACTGGAGTTAAAACAAAAACTTTTAAACTCCATCCTCAAAATGAATAGGGCTGAGTTCAGAGAAAATATATTTCAGATGGGAGCATTCATGCAAAATATTTCTCTTTTATAAAGAGTGGAATGCAGCTTCCCCCTGCGCCAACAAAATGTAGAAAAAAACTGCCCCTTCTGTCCCTTTTGTGCCTCCCCCAATATTTTTTTGGCACTACCATAAACTGCTGGAAGGTTGCAGCACCTGCTGTGGATGTAGAGACCAATACGGGAGAGACTTTTTTGTTGCAGCTGAGGCAGATGAAAGCATTCAGTTATGCTTCTGCTGAAGCACCTCAGCATTTCTTCTCTCTGCTCTCTTCCTAGCAATCATTCCTCCTGTGGTCACTGCTGTGGATACACAATCTGACTGTCTTTCTGCAGTCACTGTGGTTGTCTGCAAGGGATTCCCACATGACAGCCTTCATGTCTCATTTGCAGACATCTTTGTAACACAGAGCAGGTGTGTCAACAGGTCTGGTGCCCGAAGCCAGCTCCCCGTAAAGCACATCCTTGGGGAACCTGCCATCTTTCATTCTGTCAACATGGCCAAGCCAGCGTAGACATTGCTATGACAGGAGTGTGAACATGCTGGAGATGTGGGCTTGGCGGAGCACATCTTTGTTTGAAACTCTGCCTTGCCATGTGATACTCAAAATCTTCCCGGCGCAGTGCATGTGGAAGGCATTGAGGTGTCATTCCTGACGCTTGTAAGTTGCCCACAAATCACTTCCATAAAGTAATGTATTCAACACACAAACTTGGTAGACTTTCATCATGGTATTGGACTTTAGCATCACATTCTCCCATACCCTTTTGGAGAGGGAAGCTATTGCTGTAGCTGCCTTGTCAATACACTTGTCCAATAACTGTGTGTGTGTGTGTGTGTGTGTGTGTGTGTGAGAGAGAGAGAGAGAGAGAGAGAGAGAGAGAGAGAGAATACACACACAAATTAATGAGGCTTAAGTAGGGATGGATCCAAATAATCTGAGAAAACTGAACATCTCTACAATCTTAAATGTCCTCATTTCTTCATGATCTTTCCTTAAATCCCTAATTCATGAAGTGGCCACAATACATTTGTTAGATCTGAGGAGGGGACTAACACAACAGAAGCAATTTTCACACACGGAGCATCAAAATCAGCAAGACATATTTTGACCTACTCTAAAGGACTCATTTGTATACACATGTACATTCCCTTAAAGGTAAAGAGACCCCTGACCATTAGGTCCAGTCGCGGGCGACTCTGGGGTTGCGCTGCTCATCTCGCTCTATAGGCCAAGGGAGCCGGGATACAGCTTCAGGGTCATGTGGCCAGCATGACTAAGCCACTTCTGGTGAACCAGAGCAGCGCACGGAAACGCCGTTTACCTTTCCGCCAGAGCAGTACCTATTTATCTGCTTGTACTTTGATGTGCTTTCGAACTGCTAGGTTAGCAGGAGCTGGGACTGAGCAACAGGAGCTCACTCCATCACAGGGATTCGAACTGCCGACCTTCTGATTGGCAAGCCCTAGGCTCTGTGGTTTAGACCACAGCACCACCCACGTCCCTGTACATACCCTTACTCAAAAGCTTTTCACTTGGTTGAGTGGCAGTGAAAAGGTAAACGGCCTTCATTGTGCTTCAGGGATGTCAAGTGATATGAAAGGTCTGTCTTATTTAATCAGTAATGGTCATTTCATACACACAAATCACCACTTGATGCTGCAAACAAATTACTGTGTGATGATGAACACAGTGTATGAATTCAGATTTAGTAGGGCACAGAAACAGTCTTGTTGTCTCAGCTTCCCATCTACACACAAACACACCTTTGAAGCCCAACGTATCTCACAATGGTTTCCTCAAGGAGAGATATTTATCTAGACTCCACCTTCCTCAGCAAAGGTATGCTGGTATACTTGTTAGAAAGAGACTGATGAGAAAAACACACAATTGCTTAAGACTGGTCTTCTCAGAATTTCACATTCCTTTTGGAGAATGTAATAAATTGACTATTAAAGCCAGAAATCAATACAAAAAATTGCATAGTACATAGATGAATGTCCTGTATCATTAAGAATATACAAAGAGATTATAGGGTTCTGTTCAGTTATTTGGCCATACCTCATGAAGCATTCTATCATATATATTGTTGCTGGAGCCATGGGAAGGCATTGTGAAATATAAATTCAGTGTGAGGTGCACTCAGATTAAATATATATACAGGTCTAATATATAATTGCCTCGAGAATGCACATGGACTTTGAATCTCTGCAGCCAGGCCTTTGTGTCAGTAACCTTACGATGCTGTCAATAACTTCCTAATCCATATTACCATAAAAGTTTATACTTTATAGTACGAAGCAAATTTAGCTCTCTTGCAGAAGCTTTTCAAATGTTTAAATGTAGTGTTCAAATGTAGCTAGCAACTCATATTTTATTAAGAAGCAATAATAAAGCTGAAATTAAGCTGAAAAGGACTGTAGAAAAACAAGTTTCAAAGAGCAATAGGGAAGATATAAGCAGTGGTAGGTCAAATTATAGCAGCCCATCATTCCGCCTATTTATATGAAGCTGGGGCAAAATTTTGATCCCCTCAAATTCCCCAAATATTAATTCCCTGTGAAAACATATAGCAATCTCTGGGGAGATGAAAGACACTGTGTTTGGGAGAGGGGTTGATTTTTTTTGCTTATTATGTTATTTATTTTTACACTGTAAACCACCCTGTGATCCTCAGATGGAGAGTGGAAAATAAAATAAAATAAACTGCTTTTTTGTGGGGGAAGCAATTATCTCACTGGGTGCTTCCACGTGAGCTATTTATTGGGCTTTCATCCTGACTTGCTTGCACAAAGCTTAGGGGTGGAACCCCATCCCCACATGCCAATCTTGACCCTCCATCTGGGCTCTCGGTGCAGATTGGGCCCAGAGAGAGAGGGAGGACAACTGAATAGGCAGCAGTTACAGTGGCAAAGAGAAGAGAGCCCAATGGTGGCATTTTGCCCCCCTCCCCCCCAAAAAACACACCTGGATCCAGCACTAAACATGTGTAAGAGCACCTGAACACAATCCCCTCTCTCATATCTTTATATAAAGACCCACTCAAGAGTGAAAGAACAAGCAAAAGCCAATACTTTGCCCTCCTTTCCTAATGCAGAAACCACCCCCACCCTGTCCCCTCAACCACAGCAGGAAGACACATTGAAGCGGCAGCGCAGGGGACGCTACATCAAATCACCTTTGAAATTGCCCTTGAAAGAGTCGTGCTAAGACCTCCTAAATGGTTTCCTCCTGCAGCATCCAAACCAAGTTCCCTCCCCCCTCCCCATTTGTTGGATTCAAAGTCAGTAGCATAAAAGCCGCCTCCTCGGCGCAGCGCTGCCTTGACTGGTAACCAGTGTGACTTTCACAGCTAGACGCAGTTAAGTGCCGCTTGGTGGGAAAGAAACAGAAGAAACAATTAAGGCAGAACAGAAAAAAGTGCAAAAAAAGAGAAGAAGTTACGAAAAGAAAATAGAAGGAATCTGGTTAGCAGGCAAAAATATGAGAAGGAATGTTAGGTGGTTAACTCATACCTGCCATACTCCCAACAATAAAAATGAAATAAATTCACAAAGCTAACAGGGACACGGGTGGCGCTGTGGGTTAAACCACAGAGCCTAGGACTTGCCGATCAGAAGGTCGGAGGTTCGAATCCCCACGATGGGGTGAGCTCCTGTTGCTCGGTTCCGGCTCCTGGCAACCTAGCAGTTCGAAAGCATGAAGTGCAAGTAGATAAATAGGTACCACTCTGGCAGGAAGGTAAATGGTGTTTCCGTGCACTGCTCTGGTTCACCAGAAGCGGCTTAGTCATGCTAGCCACATAACCCTGAAGCTGTACACTGGCCCCCTTGGCCAATAAAGCGAGATGAGTCATCTGCGACTGGACCTAATGGTCAGGGGTCCCTTTACCTAACAGGGATAAGGAACCTGTGGACCTCCAGGTGTTGGATAACAACACCCATCATTCCTGACCAGTGGCCATATTGACTGGGGCTGATAGGAATTGTAGTTCAACAACATCTGGAAGGCACCAGGTTCCAACAAATGGGGGGATCAACAAACTGCGATTGCATCCTGGTAAGACACAGAGACAGTGGTGGATCCCAGGTCGAAGTTGGGGAGTTCAGTTCTGGACAGGGAAGGAGCAGGTGCATGGTTTGGGGGTACTTTTAAATCCATCTTTGTCACTGCAGGCTCAGGTGACTTTTGTGGCAAGAAGCACCCATTATCAGCTTAGACTGGTGGTCAGGGATAGCTTAGCCACTGTGATTCATGTGTTGGTAACTTCACAATTAGACTGCTGCAATGCATTCAGTGTGTAGCTTCCCTTGGGATTGGTCCAAAAGCTGCACTTGATGCAGAATACTGGAGTCAAGTTGTTGAGTGGATGCGCACATATTATTTCCGTGTTGAGGAAACAGTACTGGCTGCTGACCAGCTCCTGGGCCATGTTCAAGGTCTTGTTGTTAACACATAAAGTCCTGAACAACAGTGAATACTACATGGAGATTGTTGAAATATTAAACATTTTAGACATGCATCTTAAAAATAAATAAATGGGGCAGGAGAAAAAGACGTCAATGAATGTTAATATGACAATATTGAATAGGAAAAGACCAGTTTCCAAAGGCAGTTTCCAGTTTCTGGAAACTGCAGGATGGGAGTGTGCTTAGGTCCTGCTTGCACGTTTCCAACGAACATCTGGGCAGCCACTGTGAGAATCTGACACAGGACTAGATGGACCATTGGACAGATCCAGCAGACTCTTCTGATGCTCTTGTGACAGTTTCTGCTGTGCTTTTACCAAGGTAACAAATACCTCTGAAGGTCAAAGGGCAGCCCAGCAATGCAGAAGGCCTATAATGACTATAAATATTTATTTGTTGAGTATTATCTTATGAAATGTTGTTTTCCTCGTTCTCTTTAACCCATCTACCTTAAAATGAGTACCTTTTTAATCTGACCGATACTGGGGTCAAATACAGAGCAACAAAGCCAAAGTCTAAAACACAGGGGGGAAGTGTGATGGACTACAGTTGTGTAAGGAGATTAACCCTCTTTATAAAACCTACTTTACTATTCTGATATCAGAGTTAAATACATACTAAGACAAGCTGCTTTTTATCTTACATTGTAAACGGACAGGTGTCTTGTCTTTCCTGTATGTATTAGAAACCACAGAAACCCTTGACCATATAGCATGTTCCTCAGTAATTTTCATTGCCGTACCTGAAGTGCAGGCGGTCCTTCTACAACAGTGTGAGAACCATTGATCTGTTTGACTTTCTTTGTCTACAGCACTTTCCTATGTTTCATTTTTTGCACTTTTATGTTGACCCCACCTTTCATCTAAAAGAAAAATCCACCCTCCAGCACATCTAATAAAACTACAACACATGACCATTGACCACTACTCAAAACAAATATTTAAAAACAAGGCTTAAAAATGCCATCATAAAATAATGCTCAGCAAGAAAAACAAAGCGTACATAGTAGCAATGGAAACTTTAAAAACAACAGGGTCTCCAACGTATATTCATATACCCATATTGCTATCTGTCGTAGAGTACAAGTGCTAATATGAAAACCTTACTGACATGATGGCAGACGTAAAGAATGAGCAAACCCAAGCAGGAGTCCTCAATGAAATGGGGGTTAAGAATCAGTGGAACAGATGATACTTTGTTTTGAGGCAGGGTGGGCAACGTGTCACCCTCCATATATTGTTGGACCCCAACTTTCATCAGCCCCCAGCCAGCCAATGGTCAGGGAAGATGGGAATTCTAGTCCAACAACATCCAGAGGGCTACATGTTGCCCAACCCTATTTAAAGCAAATAAGGCTGCAATCCTATGCCTACGAACATGGGAGTAAGCCCCACTGAATTCAGTAGACACGTTTAGGATTGTGCTATAAGGATGTGTTTACACAACACATTGAAAGCCCATTCAAAACACATTATCTCCCCTAATCAGATTTCTCATTCCCAGCAACTCTTAACCACAGCACCCAGAATTCTTTGACAGAAATAATGTGCTTTGAATATATTTTAAAGGTGTTGTGTGTACACAGCATGTAAGACTATGCACACACACCTGGGAGTAAGGCCCATTGTAGGTGGGACAACTTAAAAAGGTAAAGGTATCCCTGACCGTTAGGTCCAGTCGTGGACGACTCTGGGGTTGCGGCGCTCATCTTGCTCTATAGCCCAAGGTAGCCGGCGTACAGCTTCCGGGTCATGTGGCCAGCATGACTAAGCCGCTTCTGGCAAACCAGAGCAGCGCACGGAAACGCCGTTTACCTTCCCGCCAGAGCGGTACCTATTTATCTACTTGCACTTTGACGTGCTTTCAAACTGCTAGGTGGACAGGAGCAGGGACCGAGTAACAGGAGCTCACCCCACCGCAGGGATTCGAACCCCCAACCTTCTGATCAGCAAGCCCTAGGCTCTGTGATTTAGACCACAGTGCCACCCTCGTCCTGTGGGACAACTTACTACTGAATAAATACAGATCAAATGGCACAGCAAATAATTTGAAGGGCATGAAAAAACCACCAGGCTTATATTTCTTTATATTTAAATAGTTGCTACATCTCACATGGAGAATTATAGCTCTTTCTTCTTATCCTGCCAGGCTTCTGGAGCACTATGCCTTTCTGTCCATTATTAGGAGATATTATTTGTTTCCATCCAAGCTATAATTTGGAGAGATACTTCACACTTTACATTCACTTCTAATAGGGATTGTTCAAAGCTTTATCTTAACTTGGTGTGTATGGCTTACCTCAGGTGAAAAAGCTGTTTATGCACACCGCTTCCAAGATTTCTAGCAAATCTGCCTAAAGTGTATTGGAATTATTACTTTTTTGTTCATGGAAGAGATCCAGGAAGGCAAATTCTCCCATTGCCTCAAATGACATGATTAAAGCCATATCTAACTTGTACTTTTACCCCCAATTTGTGCTTTTGCTTCTAAAGAATTGAATGTGAAGGGAACACAACATGAAGGTCTCTTACCAAGCAACCTTTTCTATGTTTTCTCCCCCTTAATCTAATTCTTTGCCACTCTTGTGATCTACTAACTGGGCTTTTTTTATCCTTTTCTTGCTTTCTCCCCATCTTGCCTGCCTCGGCAAGTAGCCTAACCTTTTACAGCTTAATTGATTTCTCTAACCAGCCTTTATTCGCTTGCTTCCCTCGTCACCACCATTTTCTCCTCCTCCCTGTCTCCTTTTCATCTTTTTTAGAATACAGGAAAAAGCTTTCCCGTTTTCTCTCTTTGATAAGCATAAATTGCACCCAGCTGAAAATGGGGCATCAGTGAGGAAATCATTAGAAGGCCTGGTTCCAAGAGCTGCTAAGAACCCTGGTGTTGTTACGCACAAGAATAGGGCACAGGCCTGTACTTGGTGAGACCTGATCTGGAGAATCACATATGTTACAGCTTTCTTCTGTTTGCCAGGCAGCACCTGGAGCACTCAGCAGGGGTGATTTTCTCTCTTTTAATTCTTTTCAAGCACCACAGCACTGATGTTCAGTCATGACTTTCATGAAGTTCAAGAAAGTGAACAGAAGTTAATAAGGCCTGTAACATGCGCACACGCAAGGGAGATTTACTCTTGCCCCCCCCCACTTGCCTTCTCCCAGTCACACCAGAAGTGAAGACGACCCGGAAGGAAGACCCCCTTCTGAGTAACTACTTAACCACAGTTTAACCTCTTGCTAAAGGTAAAGGAAAAGAGTTGGTTCATTTTTAATGCAGATACAGCAACCTATAAAACAAAGATGGCTAACAGTTCTTGTTCTGAGGGCCAAGCTCTCCTTTGGTCAGCCATTGGGGGCAGGGGGTACATGCAAGAAATGGTTGTGTCCACCCCACTCTCTCAAACACACACTCCAGAGGGGGAGCAAATGCCCCCTCCCTGCTCATCTAATGATCTGTTTAATGATGAAAGGGAGCAATCTCCATCCTCACCAGGGTTCTGGGATGGGCAGAGAGGATTCAACTTCTCTGTTTACCCAAACAGTGTCTACTTTTTAAAATATACATTTGCCACCACTGCCAAGTATCGGTGGGGCCTTGCAGGGGACAGAACATTTTGTTGGGGGACCTGGACCAGTCTTTAGTACAGAGGTTAGCCGCCCCTGCTATAAAAGATTAAAGAAAGCAACAATGGTATTGGTTCAAAAGGAATAGCTGGTAAAAGAACAACTCTGGAATACCTTGCTGACAATCTTATCCCTACACACAGTGGGGAATAACACTGCACCTTCCCACCCCACTCACTAGGCAGTCCTGACCTGTCACACAGCTGCATGTGGGCAAAGTGTATATGCATAGCACATGCATGCATAAAATCCAATGTATGCAGGACAGAACTACACAATCAATCAGTTATGTATTTAGGATTAGCCCTTTACATGAGATGTGGGTGGGGAGCAGAACTGTGTCTGCTGGTCCTTCCCTGACCTTCATGCACTCATTAGAAGTTCCAATTCAAGCTTACATGTACAAGCTATGAAAGCAAAATTGGAAATACAGCCTTGTACAGGGTTGACAACTGCATAGAGAGCATTGTGCTCTGTTCTGATACTCTACTGAATACCTGGAGGGTCAGAATGCCCCTCCATGCATTCTTTGGACACACCATTGTTCCTGTGATTCTTTCTGAAAGCAGAATTTGTCACTGGGATTTTTGGCCAAGGGTTTTCCCCCAATTTCTGGTACTAAGAACAATGGGTCCCTTCATTATTTAAGGGCCAAGTTCCTAAAACTGACAAGTTTTAACAAGCTTCAATCCCTGGTTTCAAATCATGATTAAAAGCATACACTGGCCAGCTGTAGCAATGGAAAATCTTGGTGCCTGCCAAAAGAACTCTTAGTTCTGGTTAAGCCCCAGCAGGGCCCTGCGTGCAATGGGGGAAGAAGCAGCCAATTGATCAGCCTCCCCCTAACCCTCAACCAAGGTTAGAAATTAGGGATAGTATAACTAGGGATCTCAGAGAATTCCCAGGAAAAAAGTCAAGGGAGCAGAAATTGCTGGTCTTTGCTTTTCTTTCGTATGCCTGGAACAGAAAATATGATCAGTATTTGTTGCTTTTGGGGCACAAATATGCATAGTTGATTATGTCACCCCCTCCCCATGTGCACTGTGTTTATTTTGCACTAAAATGAATGGGGGGAATATTATACTGACAGCATAATTTATGCAATCAACTATGCAAGTTATGTATTTTCACCACAGTGGACAGTAAGATGAATACTGTACTGTCAATTTTGGCAAAGGATCAGTTGCACTGGAATGGAATCTGAGTCTGCCCCTACAGGAAGAGAGAATGAGCAGAACCAACTACTATTTTTGTAACAGAGATAGGGAACATCTCCAGGTGTTCTTGAAATGCCATCACCCCCCCCCCAAACAGCATGGCCAATGGCCAGGAATGAGGGGAGTTGTGGTCCAACATCTGGCAGGCCACAGGTTCCCCATCCCTGTTATATAAGCTGTTCTACATGCAAGAAAGGGCATGTAGAGTCCCACAATCATTTTTCACAAAAATATACTACACAAAGGGTTTATTTAACCTTTAAAAAGAACAGACAGCCTAAATTTGTATCCCTGCCACTCCCTTTGAAATGGTTCCATTGATCAATTTTTTTTTCCTTATCTACTGTATCTCTTCACATGTTCAATGAAAGTGTGTGGGGAGGGTGCAAAGTTGCAGCAGCAGGGGCCAGGGTTCAACCCACAAATGCATGTGTTCATTGAAACAACTGTTATTGTACAGAGGACTCTCTTTACATGTTGGGGACTCCCAAATTTGTGAACAGAGCCCTCTATTCACTGTTGCAGGTGCTGGGTTCTTTTCAAACCCTGTAAATGAAGGCATGTAGGTGTGTGGAGGAGAGAAGAGCTTGCCACCGGCCTGCCACATCAAACAGCCACCCACGTGTGTCGAACATGTGAGGAGATTCTCACACGATGTTCGTACCTGGCACCATGCCATCTAGTTTGATCAAAAGGATAAGCAAACCCTCTGATAACTAAAATACCACTTTTATTCATATTGACTGCCATCCTGAGAGCTGTGTGAGTATAAATATAGCTTTGTGCAAATAGTGCTTCTTTCAACTGCCCAAATATTTTAGATGTTGCTTGGGTTAATCAAACTATGTACATCTCATAATAAATTCTTCAGACACACCTATCCTGTAATTCAAAAGAGTACATGGAAACCAGAACAATTGGTTAGTGGGCAGCCAAAAGAACCTAAGACGAGCCTTCTTGATCAGGCCAATGGGCCATGTTGTTCAACATCCCGTTCTCACCGTGGCCAACCAGATGCTTGTGGGAAACCCAAAAGGAGGATCCAAGTGCAACAACACTGCCCATTTGTGATTCCCAGCAACAGGCATTCAGAGGCACACTGCCTCCATCTGTGGAGGTAGAACATGGCCATATCTCAGTTGGTCATGCAACTGAGGCCAAGGCAGGTCTAACTCAACATGTCAATATGGAAACTCAGATATGATGATGGCATCCTCAAGTCACAAATAACATGAGAAACATAGGCCTCTTTAATATACCCCAGAGGAAAAATTAGCAGGAGTATGAGTTCATTACTTAAGAAAGCACATACAGAAACAAATTCCTTTGAGCAGTGACAGTCATGAAAGCTTGGGGGGGTGAGTATCAATTCCTAGGGGAAATGAGAAGGCAGCTATAGCCATCAAGCCTTGCTCATGGACTTCCTGGAGACATCTGGTTGGTCACTGAGAAGCAGGATGCTAGACACTGATTTGATCCAGCAGGACTCTTATGTTCTTATGTAAGTAGCTTGACTAAAGGCCACTTAGTGTACTCCAATGCATATTTACCCAAAAAGGAGTCCCATGGGGCTTGCTTGCATGTAAGTAAGTGTGCAGAAGACTAGTGCCTTAAAAGAGTCTGAGATCTTAACTGCTTGCTACAGAGAAATCAAAGCACAGAAACACAGCAAAGAACATGAGGAAGAATCTGGAGGACGAAGAAGAACTGACCTCAGCAAAAATATTGTACCAAGTAGAACAGAATGGCTAAACAAGTACCAGGATGGAAATACCCTGGGTTAACTCATGTCTTATAAAAAACAACAACACACTATTAGACTAGAATAGATAACAGGAGTCTAATACGGTTACATTGGAGCAGAATTACATACCGTTAATTCAAAATGTCAGAATCCAGTTTAACAAGCTCTCTTTTTCCTCTATTATTTATAATATTTACTGGCATTTTAATGTATACTTTAATTTCAGCAAATTTAATTAAAGACCCATTGTCAGCATCTAACTGCACAAGGAAAACCGAGGGGTATATTAAGGAAAAGGTAAAAGAGGCAGAGCCCAGCAAATGTATGGTGGGGTGAAATCACTGTGATATTGACTGTTCTAAATAAACCTTTAATTCCACAAAACACTCAGGCATGAGGAGCAGAACTCCTAGCATTCCCATCTCTACTTGTTTTGCTCACCCCCACCCCCACCCCAGATTTCCAGGTTGGCAGAATGAAGCTGTCACTTCCACCAGCAGGTGCTGTCAGATCCAACTTCACTTCACAGCAGTTATTACATGAGATTAAGACAACAAGCTTCCCTGGGCAGACCAAATGGGCGTAATAGATGGGTTAACCTTGGATTAACCAGATAAGTGTGGGCAGGTTCACTTGAAATGACAATGCATTTTGTCATCCATTTTCTGTGAAATAGATTACTAGCACCAACACTTTCCACTGACTCTTGGGGAAAGTAGCCAGAGACCTGGGTCTAAGCCATCTCAGTAAACAAAGTACTGAGTGAAAAACAATTCACATTCTTGGTTACAATTCTTTTCCCCTGCAGCACAACACATGCCACAGGTGATCTCGGGTCATTTTTTCCACACTTCATAATAATTATGACATGGGGAACTAAATGAAGACACAAAAAATAGGCTTTTACAAGAAAAAAGGCTTTTACAGGTTGTACCAACAAGCAGATGACAGGTGGAAATTAATATACAATAAATTACACTCTAATAAATATTTTTCTTATTATTATTACTGGAATGATGCATTGAACACACTCTGAAAACAGGATCTCTTCTTCCTGATATGCTGAATAAGATTTACCAGTGATCACTAGGCTTGACAATACAAGCTCCAGTCAGTTTCTCCCTTCCTTGCAGTGCTTCAATTACTGCCAAGGCATTTGTGCCATATAACTTGATTTTTTTAAAAAAGAAAAAGGCAACACAAGTTTGAATTCACACTTACTCTGCCCAAAGAGCAAGAACATCCTGCTTCATTAACTGTCCCACATTCAGAGAAATGGCTGGTTCTAAGAACTGCAGTGAAGCTTAAATGAAAGTAAAAAAAGGGCAAGGCACAGGTGTCTGCACCCATTTCTATAAAACAAAGTATTTGATTCTTATAAGGCACTACATGGTATCTCACAGTCATGCCCTTAGTTTGCGCATGCAGTGGCATGGCACTCATTTACTTTGACTCAGTGTGTCTAGGGAGCCCGCACTGTGCGTTGTGTTTTACAGATATGCATGACGGTCATTGTCCTTTAGATTCTACCTTGATGAAACTTTAGGTCAGGGATGGGGGACTTCTGACCCACCTGGTGGTGTGGGGGGACACCTCCTATCACCCTGGACCATTTGCCATGCTGGGTGAGGCGGGTGGATACTTCAATCCAACAACATGGGGGGACACAGTTTCCCCATGCTTGTTCTCCATATAATGCGAGAAAGAAACTTGGTTGAGAAAGCTGTGTCCCCGTGCTGGGGTTGGTGGCTGCCCTGGCTGGTACATGGGCACAAGAAGAACAGGATAATTTTAAAATATGAATCAATCAGTGGTAAAATATCTCTGAACTCTGTGGCTATGCCTAGAAGTGCAGAACAATCTGTCCAGTTCCCTAGTCTAAACCAGCCTTTGACTTAATGGATCTGTCCTACATGCCAGCTTTCCAAGGAACACCAGGCAGCCAGGTAATTATTTTGTCTGCTGCTGACTGCTTCACACACATGCATAGCTTTAACCTCCATTCTGAGAGGTTGCTGGAGGGATGGAGAAAATTCATTCAACCCTGCTACTTCTCTGTGTTTTGCCTATCTGTTATATTCTCAACCAGGCTCAAGAGGCACTAGTATTTCACTACAAACCAGTTCACCACCAGCCCATCTTTTCAAGCTTCCATCTAACTGTTAGAAGGAACATTTGTAAGTGTTGGCTTCTTTCCCCTTCTGCCTCAACAGAGAACCCTATTAGTTCCATTAAATGCCTGAAACAAAACAGGTCATGATCAACTTTCTGGATTTTCCCTACAGCCTTTAATGCCCTTGAGGATTCCCTCTTCTCCTATAATCTGCTGATTCACGTGTACTTGTGATCTTTTCATTTTAACAGATTTTAAAGCAAACCTATGCCATAGTAAGGAAAGAGCAAAAAACAAACAAATCCACAACACAAAATACAAATTACTTAGAAATATAAATTTGAAAAATCAAGTACAGATGACTAAAAGACCAAAACTGTAATAATGCAATTAATACCTTGACAATGTTTTTGCAAGTACAAAACGTAATTATCTAGAATTATGCATTGTTATAGCTATCTTCCAGAGGGGTTAACATCTTAGTCTGTTGCTGCATATACTTTTGATGAAGAGGGAGCTAGTCTATGAAAGCTTATGCTGTGATTATATGCATCTTTCTGCTACAAACATTTTAACTTCATTTAGGAGGTGACTGGCTTATACTGTTGGCTGACCCATTTAAATCCAATTGAGGAAGAGAGCATGCCTGTCTGCGTACATCCCATTAATTAACTAGGCAGACTTTTCATACTATTTAGAGGCACTATCTATATTATCACTGACCTGTTTTCTGCAATGACAGTATGGATGTGATCAAATCAAAGCGAATTAGAACAACTCCAACTATTCCTCAAAACTCAACAGATCTTAAATAATCAAAACAAGGGGAAATTACAGTCCTGTACATTCTAAGCAATTTTATTGCAGGGGTGCAGAGAGCAAACTCTGAAAGGTTGCAGGGGCCAGAAGCAAAATTGGCTGAGGCTGTGGTGATATTCTCCCTTTAAGACAAGCATGCAGATTGTGTGGGAATTTGTTAGAACTCCTGGAATAATGATTTTAAACACAGATGTCTCTCATTAAGGCCTCAAGGCCAGTGTGGAACGGTAATCAGACATGTGATGGGAGCAGGTGCTAATTTCTTTGGGAGGAAATGGTGAAGGCCCATAGTCAGTGTTCCCTTAAAACCTGGGGTTTTAAGCAGTTCTCCCTTCATGGAAGGTCAGCGCCTGTTCAGACCTAGAAGGTACAGTGGTACCTCGAGTTACAAACGCTTCAGGTTACAAACTCCGCTAACCTGGAAGAGTTACCTTGAGTTGAGAACTTTGCCCCAGGATGAGAACGGAAATTGTGTGCCAGTGGCACAGTGGCAGCAAAAGGCCCCATTAGTGAAAGCACGCCTTAGTTAAGAACAGTTTCAGGTTAAGAACAGACCTCCAGAACGAATTAAATTCATACCTAGAGGTACCACTGTATTTTGCTTTGCCGCTCAGCCTGCTAAGATTTATGTGCATGTGTTTCTGTCAGCTAACTAGATAAGATAGTTATGTTTGTTTTTGACTCTGAGCAGTCTTAACTTGCATAATTGTTTGAAGCTTTTCATTTTTACAGAGTTTGGCTTTTAATAAACTTTATTGTATGCTTTTATGGGAATTGGCCTTGCTTGAGTTTCTGAACCTTCCAATCTTGACGACACTTTTCGAAGTGGGTCATTCGTCATAGAATTCTACATTCCAACCATGCAAAAACCAAAGGTTTCCACAACCTCTCTCTCCATCTCCCCATCCAGGCAGAGCAAAAACACATTCCAGCCAGGTAAACGCACACAAGGAGGGTGGACAGCAGAGCAAATGAGGGGTGTGACCTAGAGAGTCCTTGGAGCTGGACAGAGTCCTCACATTTGGCCCCATTCTGGAGGTTCCTCACCCGTTTCATTGTCTAGTATCTTCCAGCATAGTTTTTCTATTGGCTGCACCTTCTTAAGGTGGCATTTCAGTGGTACTCCACTTCTTTTCCAGGTGTTTCAAAGAATAAGTCAGCCTGATGATCCACTTAGCATTATATTGTAAACTCAACTCTTCAGTTCCTTGAAGGGCCTTTAAAAGATACAGTATAAGCTCCTAGGAGTAGCAGCAATTTCCAACACAGTAGACCCTGGGCTGGCTAGCTAACTGCAGAGATTCAATTCTGGAGCAAAAGTATTTACAATATTGAGTTCTGAAAAGTATTTTTTTTAAAGATATACAGTGCAGTATTGTGCATCTTTACTCAAAAGTATGTCCCAATGTTTCAGATGGTCCAACTCAGGCTTCCTCAACCTCTGCCCTCCAGATGTTTTGGAACTACAACTCCCATGATCCCTAGCTAGCAGGACCAGTGGTCAGGGATGATGGGAATTGTAGTCTCAAAACATCTGGAGGGCCGAGGTTGAGGAAGCCTGGTCCAACTCCATACTCCTAGTTTAGGAACTTAGCATTCATATCACATGGTGATGATGATGATGATGATGATGATACCATTTCAGCAACATAAATCACTACACCCCTGCAATGTGCACAGATCAGATCTTTCTGACATTTTTACTTTCCATACTCCCACACTGGGGAAAATAGATAAATTTTGTCCCATTGATTTCAGGGGGACCTAACTACAAATCGTAGCAGCATAAATCCTATACATGGCTGCTCAAGATCATAAACAGCAAAGAGAATTCTGGCACCTTAAACACTAATACATTTATGATGCTTTCACTGACCACAGTCCACTTCATCAGATGCACTGTTAATCTTTATGGCAGCCAGTGGAGACTGGTCCATTAGGTGGACCATGCCCCACCAACCTGAGTTTTCCCTTAGACACCTCCACCTGCCTGCCTGATTACCCAATGAGTGGCAGCATTGCCTGTCAGATTCCTCCCCTTCTTTGGCTCTGGCTGCAACTACTTTGGCCTTTCAGCCTTCTGCCCACCAAGCACCACTAATGGTACCACAAGACAACCTGAATTCATAACAGAGTTTGGAGCACCTGAGAAACAGTATGCAGAGTTCCAGATTCAGTACCTTGAAAAACACCGTTGGAATTCCATTAAACTTTAATTCTACCTGGGCTTCTTCAGGAGGAAAGGAGGAATAGACAGACAGATAGATGATAGATAGTATTGCTGATTTATAGAGCTCTCTCACAATATTTCTCTCTCTCTTTATATTTCTGCCTTTCTGACACATTGTACTGGTAAACAGCAAGATCCCTTTGTTTTTGCACTTCAAAATAGCAAGAGAGCTATTTTCAGACTGCTTACTGGTTTCAGACCACATTTCAGACTCCTTCTGGGTTCTTGGAAAGCCACCATTTCTCCCACTCTGCAAATGTATAAAGCATCTGCCCACATGGAACAGCCATGCTGTGTGTTTACACAGCACACTGTGTACTTACATGAAGTGCCTCCATACAGTGCATACATGGTGTGGAAGCAGCCATCATGTGGGCTTCTTCCATGTCATATGTTCCCAGAGGGACACACAACACAAAGTCAACACACTGGGTAATGTGTAAACAGTACAACCCTTAAACTGTGATTGAACGTCCTCTTAAATACTTACATCCTATTAATGAAAAAAAATTCCAAAGACAACAGCACCAAAAGGATGCAAACCAAAATATGATGTTTAAACAGATTTAAAAAACAACTACTGGCCTTCTGCTTGAGAAAGATCCAAAGTTACTACTGTAGGGGGAAAATTATGAAGTCCTAACATAACTTTTAAGTACACAATTCATTTAAATAATGTCAAAAAATGCATGTCCACACACATACAGCTCTTCCTAAGCAAAATCCATTTTCTTTTCTTTATAAAATACACACCACTGTCCACTTCTGCTGTGTCACTCTAAACTTAAGTAAAGAACATCTGCTAGAAATATTAAATATTAAGGCACACAAATAGAAATTGAGTTTTGTTTTGCTTTTAATGTGGCATACGTTGTTAATTTTTATCTATTTGACCCATTTTCTAGCCCGGATAACGCCAAGGAAAACAACATGTTGCTTCATTCCTTAGGAACTGATCAATGTCTGAATAGAACACGTTTACTAGATTATGCTGATAAACAGAAAATACATAGAAGTTTAGCTGCTAAACCATTAATGGAAGCTACCCAATTTGCTTCTTTTTGTCTGATGCATCAACGTCCCAGTTCACAGCCTGCTATGAATTAATGAAATCACTGTGCATAAAAAGGTGCAAAATGGCTATAAATATTAAAGTCTCTTTCAGATTTTCCTGTCAGCATTCATATATACAAACAGGGAACGGACAATGATCAATGGAGAACATCTGATAACTGGAAAGCAGAACTGATAAACATTTCCAAAACAATCAGCATAGTATTGATCATCTGTGTTAGCATATTTAGTCCCATGGCTTGTGACAAGTCTCACAGCATTACAGAGGTTAAGCTGTACAGAAGAAGAAATGACTGCTTAATTTATGGTAAATGTCAGCCACAAGCTATCTTGATTCTCTAGAGACTAGTAACATAATCAAAATCCTCACACACATACCTGCAAGGAAAGTGAAAAAAGATATTAAATGGATATGGAGAGAGGGGTGGTGTGTATCGTTTAATCTATATATCTATTTGAAATGTAGGGTATCAGCACATGGACTTGGAAGGCAACAAACAGTGGGGTCAAGCAGGGCAGACAAACAGTGTGGAGGGGGGGTCAGGATCCCCTCCCACCGCTGCAGTCAAACCCCCTGGAATCTCCCAGCAGCAAAGAGCTGCGAGTAGGTGCTCACCGTCGTCTATTAGAACAGAGAAGCAGGGGGGTGGGGAGTGGGCTCCGATGATACACATTCAATTTCAACGTCCGCCATTCTTCTTTCCAGTTTGCCCCTTTGCACACCAGAAGAATTGTAAGAGGAGGGGGAATTGGGGGAATTTTAACAATTGGCACACTAATCACAAGCCCCCGAGAACATCTATGGGTCCCCCACTTATGTATGCATACAACATCTCTAATTATTGGCAGGGTTGGTGAGTTACAGAGTGTTCAAGAGCAATACACTACAGTGCCCTCCACACACAATGAACAACAGTTGATTCTGTTTAATCTCGGATAATCCCTATATAATAATCCTCATTTGAATTTCATATTTAAAGGATATTAATGAATTATTATTATTAAACATAATAAAGAGGGACTACCTTGGCTTGGACTGTGAGGTATTTTTGCCCACATACATTTTCAAAACAAAAGGGGAACTTTTTTTGTTGGGGGAGGGATTCACAATGTTCCTTGAAAAACAGGGTTTTTTCCTCCTTGGAATTCTGTCTTCCCTGAGTAGCGCCAGCCAATCGGGAATTGTATAAGAAATGTTATGAGTTACATGGCACTGTGACATATTTATGTCACTAAGTGCATAGCTTCACCTTCATTCTAAATTAGAGAGGAGACAATAACTCTATAGCTAAAGTATCTGGGCTGCACAGTTTTGTCCATATTGGAATGTGGAAGGGAGCAAACATTCTTGTTGATAAGGCAGCTGGGCTGGCAGGACCAAAACTGTTGACTCAATTGTCTTAGCAACAGAAACCATTCGCAAGTAGGATTGACTCCTTTTAAGACCCTCCCAGCCCAAACCAGAGGGTGGTTTCTGGGAACAAGGCAATATTCACAAAGACAGGCCCCTAATTTTGATTCAACCATATACGTATTAGCCAAGAGCAAGAAAGTATTTCTTTTCATACAATTTTTCTAATCACCTTTCAGGAAAGCGAAATGAGACTAAGCTTCATGTAAATGAAGGTTATTTTTCTACTCTCATTACCAGATACCGACATATTCAGATTATTGTTCTTGGTTAAAAAGTATATTTTTAAATGTTGCAATCTGGGGGCATCTTGTACTAATTCAGAATGCTTGAAGGACGTTGATGCATTTGTTTCAGTGTAATCTAAAACACAAGAACGCAAAGCTGCTTTCTGCAGTCAGTTTTTCAAAAACAATGGCATTAAATGCAGGTGGCTGTGACAGCTATGCTGGCAAACTTGCGTGTCTTCAAAGAACACATGGTGGAAAACAATTCCTAATAGCGATGGTGGCAGCAGTTGTTGTGGGCATGTTGTTGTTTACTGGTATTGGACTTGCCTACATAAGCTACAGGTGGCATGTATGGCTTTCCTGTGTATCTTGTGTTACTAAGGAATTGAGTTGGAAACTACTAACTCATCACACCATCTAGAAGAGCCCAGCTACCAGGCGACTCAAAAAGTATGTGGACCCTAGCAACTTGCTATGATAATGAAAACTGCCATGTGCTCTATCAACACCTAGAAATTTAAATCACTGAGAACGTAAGAGCCTGGCTGGATAAGGCCCAAAAGGCCCATCTAGTCCAGCATATTGTTTTCACAGTGCTCAACCAGATCCCTATGGGAAGCCGGCAAACAAGACCCGAGTGCAACAGCACTCTCCTACTTGTGATGCCCAGTGACTGGTATTCAAAGGTATACCGCCTCCAGCAGTGGAGCTAGTCAGACTTACCAATGAATGAAGGTCTGTTATAGGCCTATGCATTGTTTATGCAAACAATGCTATATGTAGATGTGTTTTCAATCAACAAACAGACAGATTCTGCTTAACACCTTAATAGAGAAAATAAAAAATCCTTGCAGGAACGGAACTTCTTCCCTGTGATGGATAACCATATAGGATTATCAAGTTCATGTGCCTGAAACTGGATTGGTGAAATGGACGCTCAAATCATTCATCATAGCCATGCATTTCAACATTGCATAGTTTTCAGTCCTTAATTTGCTTTCTCTTTTGATCAGAAACTGTTTATATGTTTCCAAAGTCACCTGTGCTGTACCTTGCTCCAAAGCAGCTTTTATCTCAAAATGAACTAAAAAAAATAAAAATCACCAAACTTCATGCACAGAGATAAATGGATATAGTCTTGTTGGCGTATCACTTTTCCCTTGGCTCCTACCTGTTTTGCTTTTAACCAGTGGACTGTTTCCAAGGCCTTATTTTTAATGGTCTTTCATCTTTATGGCCATGTTCAAAAAAGAAAAAAAGGCTAGTATTTCCCTATACTAATATATTCATTGGTAATAATTGACAATAAATTGGACTGGTTAGCAGTAAGAATGGTGTTAATACTTAGACCAATTTAAAGTGTGCCCAGGAGTAAAGTGCAAAAATTTTAATAGATGGTCTCTGACCACTGAAACATTTCTGATGGAACATACCTTTAAAACAAAAAGCTCTCTTCTTGAGGTCCAAATAGCAATATTACCAAATTGCTTTGATGACAAGTGTGCCAAATATATTGATAAGCCATCTGCTAGTAAATGTATTGGCTAGTAAATGATGTACCATGAGACCCAGTAGTTATTAAGAATTGAATGTATAAATTTTAGCAGCACGGGGTCTACAAAAATAATACATGTTTATGGAAGTCGAATTCCATTTTGTTATTTAATGTAGATGACAGTTATATGCTGACAAAAATCACTCATTTTGTATTATTTATTGGGAGACGTGCCCTTCATTTTGCCCTTGTAGCTATATTTCTTTTTCAGTCAAGGACTATCGGACATGAACCCTAGACTAAATGGATGTTATGATATTAATACTACCGTTCTGGAAACCGGTTTCTCTTGAAACTTACGTGTATATTAATACATTTATATAAATAATAATTTAAATAAATAGTATTTAAATAAATTAAAATACAGTAATGGTGCATTTAAATAAATAATAATAGTGAAACTAGAAAAGACTGAAGAAAATAACTTCTTGTATCAGGGATATTTGTAGTTTATTTCCCTCCGATGTCCATACACATGATGGGTATCCTCTATCCCTGGGCAGGTACAGTGCCCACATGGCAGGAGTCAGGAGATCCCCACAGTGTTCAAAGCTTTCCTCCTTTCAGCATGCCCATATAAGTGTGTCTAAGCAGAATGACAAGCTACTTTTAAGGAATAAGAGGCCTGTATGATATCCAGTCTTCCCAATCCATTCAGAAGAGTTGCCTTAGCACAGAAGTTCACATAACTTGACTGAATGGATTGAGAGAGAGCTGGATGGAAATATGGAGTGTGTCTGTGCACAGACCTCCCGCCCCCCAACTTCTCTTTTCTGGGGGGGGGGCACCTTTGGCAAAGATAGAAACATAGCTCTCTTAAGCTATTTGTGGAAGCTGCTGTATCCAATCAGGGAAGATACTTTAAACAAAATTGCACAGCTGTAATATTGTATTAGCTCTGTGTGTGAGTGTGTGTATAAATACAAATTAAAATAGATAAAGATCTAGCTTAGAAATAACTTCTATCTAGAGCCTGGTGAATATGCTCCATTTCCCTCAAAAGCTTTCTAAATGCTCTGGGTTCTTCATGGCTCTTTATATCAAGTATCTCAAACGCATTATACCATATAGGAATGCCATTAGGAATGCAATCAGCTCCCACATAAAGCTGAGTGGGTTCAACCAGTTCACTTTTGATTATTTTATCAATATTTGAAGTATACGTAAGGAGAAAGAAAAGAATTTACAAAGTAGGTATTTTCCCCTAGCCTAATATGGGTCTCCTAATATGTGCTATTTCATAGCTAATAGCTATTAAAATATTTCACATGCAAATCAAGCATCAGACTAGGCTTAGTGTAACTAAAGTCCTTATTATGCTATTAATTGTATAGTGGTATTGAAAGGCAGCCAATTAATGCTAGTTTTATCACAAAATCTAGTAGAGCCTTCCAGTGCAAAACTTAGAATTACCTTTAATATTTCCAACTTATTTTACATTTTACTGTTGCTGGGAATTTATCTTGAGCAGAAACGCAGAAGAATAAACAGCTTTGGGTGCTTTCTTTGGAAGGAAGCTTCTAACTATCACTCAGAAAACCATAGAAGTATAACTGAAGCAAACTAACATTTTGGAAACCGATATTGAAACACAAACCAAAGTTTTCAGATTTCTTTTAACACAGAATTAGGACATACATCTGTGCTCATTTGTATGGCTTGTGTATGCTTGTTTATTCAGACGTGCAAGTCCCACTGTGATCAATGATGCTTACGCTCAGGTTAAGAGCACACAAGATTGCAGTCACAGAGGTGCTAAATATGTGAAATGTCTGCTGGATTTCCATCCCAGACATAGAAACAGTTGGATAAGATGAAAGTATACAGCATGGTTTCAATTTTACTTACTCAGAAGCAAGCCCCACTATGTTAAGGACAAAGTAAATGTGCACAGCATCTTAGTCCAATCATAGAAGCAGCTGCTATATTCAAACACGCCATTGCTGCTTCCTTATTTCCCTCCAATGCCTGAATCAATTCAGAGTTTGACCATTGCCAGCTTCTTTTGGAGAAGGACTCCCCCACCATGGGAGCAATATGTGCTTCTTTAGAAGTCCTAACAACTTGGAATCTGATAGCTCCTCCCTTAACCAAGTTTCAAGAACGGCAGCAATGATTCTCATCCAGAGAATAATTGGGATGCTTTGTGGCCTGGCCATCATGAGGAACAGAACTCTACGACGGATGATTGCAGGGGCAAAGGAGGAACAAGCAGGTGGTCAGTAATTCCAGAGATACTCTTTCCTGCCCACCTCTGCAGGCAGACGCCAACAGGCCACAGTGTAGTTTACACCTCCAGATATGGTTTGTTATCTTTTATGCCACCCGTGCTCCTCACCAGCCCACAAAGTGCCAATATATGCTGTACTTTTAAAACTAATTATGGGGCTGCAGTTTTCCCACTAGATCATAGCTAGCTGTAACTAAGAGGGTGCACATACGGCAGAAGCTCAAACAGAGACTCCCCTCCTGGTACAAGGGGAGCATCATATTCAACAGCGGCGTCATCTTGCCTCCATTTAGAAATGAGTTTCAAAGGGGTTTCGTACCAAAATATGAAAAGCTAGCCTTACCTGTAATTGGGGTCCATGCCTGCAGGATGGCGGCGAGGAGGATTCCTTTACACTTCATCTTACTCCCCCCAAGGTCGCAGGGCAGGGGGGAGGCTGGAGGCTACAATTTAGCAGATAGTGGAGAAAAGGAAAAGAAAAGGCACCTTCACGGGCTTTGTTCTTCTCCCTGCCTCCACAGGAAGTGCAAAGCTCATAAGATCTTTCAGAGTCCACATGCTGGCAAGCTAGTTGAAACACACACCTCCTTTTGCTCCACAAACAGAAAGCTTGAGAGTTTTTAGAACTTTGTTAGGGGTTTTTCCCCCCTTTTTTGGTATGAGGTTGGTTTGTTTTTTTAAAAAAGCAGCTGACAGCAGCTCAACAGGTAAAGACATCTCATTAAAGACATTAATTTACTCACTTTACAAGAGGATTTGTATAGATGCTGTGTCTGCTTTTAAAAATGGGTGAAGGTGTTGACTATGTTCCTGGTATAGGAAGAAAAGAAGCTGCCTTGTACCAAGTCAGATTCACTGGTCCATCAACCTCAGGTCTGTCTACACCAACTGGTAGTAGCCTTCCTGGATTTCAGATAGGGGACTCTCCCAACCCTACCTTGAGATGCTGGGGATTAAACCTAGGACAAGCTTTAATTAAGATGCTCTGTCACTGAGCTATCATCCTTCCCCCGCTGCAATTCCCCATTGAGAAAAGGCTAGCACAGGTAGGTTTTTTAAAAATAGTTACCAGCCTTTGATGCCCAAACTAATAATCAAATCCAGATGGGATTGCAGTCGTTTGCAGCTACCATCAAAGGGAGGAAGGGGGTTGAGCCTCAGGGTTCCTGGAAGACATGCTGTTCCTCATTTCCCATCATATAAACATAGGAAGTTGCTGTATACAGAGTCAGATCGTTGGTCCATCTAGCTCAGCGCTGTCTACACAGACTCGCAGTGGGTTCTCCAGAGTGAAGCTGGTGAACAAATGCACAGGAGCAGCTGCTCTCTTATTATTGCTGATGTCGCCACACACTTAGTAGATGGTAGATGAGCAGGCAGCAATGGTGAACAGGTGTGGCAGCAGGGCCAACAGGCACACAGCAGTGGGATCCCAGGCCTCAGCAGGGGCCCAACTATGCCAACCTCTGACCTTGCCTCTAGGATCCCCAGTGATTCTTTGCAATAGTTGTTCAGTGCAAGCCTATTCCTATTTACTCAGAAGTCAGTCCTATGCGTGTTCAGGGTTTCAGTCCAAATGGAACAAAGAGGTTGTGTGAACTGGTTCAGTTGCTTGAATCTATTTAGTTCCTGCCTGAGGTCACATCACTGCCTTACCACAAACCTGTTATTAATAGTAGAAACTATAATGCAGCTCTTGTCTTCAGTACTCAAATACACCCTCTCCATGGAATTCTAACAAAAGCCCTGCAAGGGACTATTATCCTGGGAATTCAGATAGGAGGCTGGGGCTGGAATGTAATGGTTTGGTTCAGTTCATGAGATTTCAACCAGGGATCTCCAGCATATAGCTTATATTCTTAACCAATGTACAATGCCAATTTAGGTGCTGTGCTAAATTAGACTAGCTGTGTGCTTTGTGCAGCTGTTAATAGGGAGGAAGAGACACACATCACCAATCAGTTATGCTAATTCACCTGAATATACATAACTTAGAAGTTCCCCTTGATCAGCAGTACTGGAGAACAACAGTAGCCTCAGATGACGAGCCTCAGAGCGGTCAGGAAGCAACTATGCTTGATTTTCTGAGAATATATTTCTGTCTATAGGCTTACCCAATACAAAACCCAATGCACTTTCAAGATATTTTTAAGTGAGGTGTAGACAGTGGGCACGTCCAAACCTGTAGTTCAGGGCCCTTAGGCCCACCAATTTCAAATTATTTAGCACACAGAGCTCTGGTTTGGACTGTGGGCAAAGCCCTCATGGTAGAGTCTGTGCCCTTCATAACTTTGAAAACAGGCACTACTTCTACAAGATGCAGGGAAAATGCATATTGGCAAAATAAAATAAAAATCAGGATTTTACAGCAAGCTAGACTTAAACCAGGGCTAGCCCTACCATGCAATAGGAGTGGGGGAAATAAAGGCATAATTAGGTGTCTGAAGGGTGGCAGATTTTTATTTTTATTTTTAAGTTGGCCCTTGAAGACAGTGCAAACAGCAAACTGTCCTGGGCCAACATTGACTTGCATTGGCCAGAACTGCCCACCCAACCCCCAACACTTTACTTTGGTTTTGTAGTTCAGCATCTACTCTATGCAATGCTTTTCTAAAATGTGCATGCATTTAAATTAATTAACATGTGCAAATAATGTTACCACCTCGTGTGGGGGCAGTGGGGGAAGCTGTCATTGCTCATTTGCATGGAAATTCATTTAAATATATGTACATTTTAAATTGTCCCTAGCAAAGCATCAGCACCAAGTTAGGGGGGGGGGACAACGACAATTCCTCATCACAGAGAAAACAGGCTGGCATTACCCGCCCAATTTGAACGCCTCTAGTAAATGAACAAAGGCAAAATGTCCTTCCTAAGGAGACTGCATCTGCTCCTTGAAAAGTCCATTTGTCCCACAATTGCAATTTCTACCATCACAGTATCTTTGTAAGCTCTTGCCTATTTCCTTTCTCCTCCTAATTCCTCTTCAAACAAATGTTCCTTCCCTTTTACATTATGGCCAGCTTGATTCCAGGTTTATGGTGTTAGGTAATTTGCCCTTGTTTATTAAAGAGAACTCTTTTGAAGGCTGCCTCACTTCAATGAAGTGAGGTAGGAAGAGTTTTAAGGATCAGTAAACAGGGATGATCATTTCCTGGCATAAGGTCATGCTGCTAAGGCTCTGTAATCACCATACCTTCACAGCATATCCCTAGACCCCAAGAATTCTGGTATCGGTAGTTTTTTAAGGGTGCTGGGAATTGTTGCTCTGTGAGATGCAAACTGCAGTCTCTAGGTGGGATGTGTTTTGTATGTACACAGCCTTATGTGCAGTTATTTTGGAGTAAGCCACATTGAGCACATTGGACAAAACAAGAATATGGCCTGCCTGTGAATAGGCCAGCCCCCTTGGCTTTGGGGGGGAAATGAAGCAAAGTGCAAGAATGGTAGAGAACTATTTAAAAGATGGCATATAAAACTGGAGCACCATCAAGCTTCTTGAATTTGTATTGTTTCTTTACAACTGCAGTTTATTAAGACTAGTGTTCATTTAACCATTTGAGACTAAGTATTAGAGGGCTGTGAGCTGCCCAGACAAGTCACTTTTTTCTCTCCTCCTCCTACTAATAAATACTTGATTGAGATTATGCATTCTCCTTTTTTGTAATACTATAGGCAGAGTAGTTGGGTCTCATATTTAACCTTTCCATGCTTAGGAGTATTTTAAGAGTTCTTTGTCAAAATAATAGGGTTACACAATTGAGTACAAGGCAGTATTCCCATGTCTTTGATAACCAAGAGAAAAGAGAATTTCATTAGGTACAGCTTTTCCAAAAATCAGATCAGCTGCCAGACCACTATGTCAAAAACCTTACTGCTGTGGTGTGGTGTGGTGTGCATCTAAGACTGAAAAAGTAAATGTGATTCAAAATTAGAGGAATGCCTTAAATAAAGGACATCTGGCAGCCCTAGCTGTCATAGTACTGCATTGGAGGGAGATGTACCTAATAAATTGTCCCTCCCATGCTACTATTAACAGCACATAGGTCTTATGTTTAATCCAAAGAAAATGATTTAATGCCAGAATCCTATATTGGGTTTGTCTAGCCTACATTGGGAGTTTGACTATACTCAGAGGAATTAAGGTGCGCCTGTTGTTGACAGCAACCGCCTAAGAGGGGTAATTTTCCCAGGATAGGCTATGCTTCCACAGACAGATATACCATTATGTACTGTCACTGAATGTTCACAGGCAACAGCTACTTTGCTATAATCAAAGTACTTATCATTGGGTAGCATCTGCTGCAAAATCTTCCAACAGTGATGGGGTGGGAAAGGGTGTGTGTATGTTCCTGCCTTGAATTGATCTCTTCCTTGCACTAATAATGCTTCTCAACTAGGGTGAAGAACAGCTTTGCTTCCTGATAATCAGGATCCTGGAATCTTTTCCTCCATCAGAGGGAAAGGAAACAGATATTTCTGTGATGACATAATGGAATTAATAGTAGCTGTCATCGTATAAGTTAATGTAGTTACGGTAAGAATAATTTCTTACCTGCCCTTAACTGGAAGGTCCCAGGTTAGGTTACAACATATAAATGCAAAAAAAACAATCACACCAATAACTCCAAAGTCAATACAGTGGTACCTCTGGTTATGAACTTAATCCGTTCCGGAGGTCCGTTCTTAACCTGAGGTACCACTTTAGCTATTGGGGCCTCCCACTATCACCGTCGTGCCGCCGCACAATTTCTGTTGTCATCCTGAGGTAAAGTTCTTAACCCGAGTTACTACTTCCAGGTTAGTGGAGTCTGTAACCTGAAGTGTTTGTAACCTGAGGTACCACTGTAAACAGCACATTATAGGGAAGATACCAAAAAAAAAAAAAGGAATTCAACATTCAAAGGTGAAGGTAAATAGATATACTTTTAGCAACTGACAAAAGCTGTGAATATATGATGCAACACACACCTCTATGGGGACGGAGTTCCACATTCTTGGGGCCATCATTGAGAGAGCTCTCACAAGCAACCGCTGCTAAACTCTGAAAATGGCAGAACCACCAGGAGAGCCTCTTCTGTCGTTCTTAAACCCCCAGCTAGTATAGGAAATGAGATATTTTTCAGATATGGATTGACTCAGCTGGGTAAGAATCACCCATCACCACCAAGACAAAGGTACCCAGAACTACAACACAAGTATATCCCTCACTATTTCTAACAATGTGATCCACAAATTCTTTTTTGTACCCCTTATTGTCTAATGTGGTAATACTTGTTTTCCATCACTAGATGTCGCTATAGCATGGTTTGTTTGAACACTTTGAACAAGGAACAGCAATTCCAAAATGATAAACAAGCCCCTTAGAAACAGATAACATTGTCATTTTAGGTTGTAAGAAGAAATTTCCACAAGCAATCAAGCATGTGCTATAGGAGTTGGAATGGGCGGAAAGAAGACACTGTTGAACAGATCTACCTCATAAAAGCACCTATAAAGGGATTTTGTTATTATTTAAAAAATAATAATCTTACTGCAGTGTGATAATTAGCATATTCTATTACATTATCTGGTTCTGAATT